CACCCACAGAACTAAGGAACATCACATCTCTGAAATCCTTTTCTAAATCTATAAAACAATGGCTATTCAAAAATCAGACATGCTGCCATAATCTGGATTAATGTACTTTGTCTTTACTTGTAGTCTGTGCGCTTATGCTCCTTGTCTGTGCTTATACTGTATATGCTCCTTGTCTGTGCATGGTGCTTTTGTCTGTGTTAAATGCTCATGTATTTAAATGTGCTATATGTTACACATTTTTATTTTATGTCTGTGTGCTGCTTTATAAATTGCTTCCATGCGTATATGTTATGTTTTAACTAACACTTGTTTTATTTGTTATGCTTATGTGTTCTTGTGTCTATGTTTTTGTGCTGCATTTTCCTGTATGCTTTTTACTGTTTTCTTAAATGTCATCAACCTGCCAGGGACTGCAGATGAAAATTAGCCTGCATGGCTAAATCTGGCACATTTACATGTGTGACTTTGTTGCTCTTGTTAATTAATGTGCGTTGTCCCTTTTAAATAAAGAAATCAAAATCTAATCATCTTAAGATCCCTCATCAATATTTTTGTATGCAGCTGTGGTTTAGTGGTACGGTCGGCCATCCCTCAAATAGAAGGTTTAATCCCCAGCTCCTGCAGCCAAATGTCCAATGTGTCCTGCGGCAAGACACTTAACCCAAGTTGCTCCCGCTGCTTTGTTGAGAGAGGCAGAGAGCGAGCTAAATGTCTGAACATCTACAGGGAGACAGAATCACACCCCGGAGGACAAATACACTAAACATGTTAAACATTTGAGCTCTAACAAAACAACACACATGTTCATGTTGTGTAAAATAAACCCAAAGCCAGACTCTGCTGAACTCATTTATTGAACAGCTCAGATTTACAAGCGTACATGTTTATACTCAGCACAACATTCTTTCAGTGGATGCATCTACAAACAAACTTTTTACACAAAGAACTCACAGACTCATTCCTGCATCTCTGTCGCTTACAGCCGGCATAATAAAATAAAATAGAAATATATATATACTGGATACACTTTGTAAACTATGCCACCATTTAGCGATATTAAATTCAAATAAGTCTGTCTGTACAATTCAAGTTCTCCTGTTGGTCAGATCCACACGCCGTCACTTTAAGACGTTAGAGCAGAAGTGACGCCTTAAGGCGGCCTGAAGGTCACAGCGGGCCGATCAACATGTGAGAGAGTCGCTCTAGTGTTGTGGTACTCGAAATCTGTCTAGGTCTCAAGACCACATTCTGAAGGTCTTGGAATCAAAAGCATTTTTACTCGGTCTTGTCTTGGTCTAAGACTGGGCGGACTGCAGATTTGAAATCAACTGAAGGGTTATTTTTAGACGTCATAACTGTGATTAGAAGGAAACTTTGATTTAACCATCATAAGATTTTTTGGTCTTGGTCTTGTCTTGGTCTCACCCTACCTTTGTCTTGGTCTTGTCTCGGTCTCGCCCTGCCTTGGTTTTGGTCTTGTCTTGATCTCGCCCTACCTTTGTCTTGGTCTTGTCTCGGTCTCGCCCTGCCTTGGTCTTGGTCTTAACTCGGGCCTGATCCCTAAAAGTCTTGGTCTGGTCTCGGAGCACTCTGGTCTCGGGTATGTCTTGGTCTCGGTTTGTGTGGTCTTGACTATAACACTAAACCACTCTTTTAATCATATTTCTTAAGTTTGAACAAAACTTTATCAACATATCTCATTACATCGTAGACTGAACATAAGAAGTGGGCGGAGCCATCATGACATCACACGATGGTTTGTTGACCACGGTATTGAAACTTCAAGTTTGGACCGTTTCAATACCACAGCGTCAAAAGTATCAGTCTAAGGCACCTTATACTGGGGGCGATTTTTGTTTTTTATTAACCATAAATTGCAGCTAAACTCCTGCACGCTTGCACAAAATCATTGTCAACGTTTCAGCACCACTTCTACTAAATAAACATCATGCTGTATCATGAAGTTAAGACTTGAAAGTAGAGATTGAGACCATAAACTCGTCAGGAAAATATTTACTGAGGGAATTAAAAAGCAACTGAGATGTTGGTCTCATTGTATCATAGACTTCTAGAATATCGCCCCCTGCTGTCCATTAGAGAGAATGCAGGTTTAACACATGGGGCTACGCCCACTTCTTGAATACAGTCTTTGGTTTTACCACATCCTGTTTGGATTCTATGTATTACTTCATAAACAATTTACTCTCCATGGCAGTCAGATGTGCCTTTGCCTGAGCCATTCAGGTTTTGCTACCATGACATGCTGCTGCGAGTCATGAGAGGAACATCTGCATGAGACCCTCAAATGTTTCAGTAGCAAATAAACGTTTTAGTAACTTTCACAAAACATTCAACTGAGAAATTTGAAACACAAAACACTCCTCTGCTATGGACGCTTTGTTTTGGCCATTTGTTTTTGGTGATACAAAAACATTCAGTTGTATTTGCCCTTTAATTCTGATTGAGCGGTGTAACACATTAAATAAATTAAATGTTATTGGGAATTAAAGGTCACATATCCTCCTCGTCTTCAACCAGTGTAAATAAGTGTCAGAGCTCCCCAAAACATGTGTGAACAAGTTTCTTGTTCTAATTCCACTCTGATCCTGTATTTGATCATGCCTATAAACCCCTCTCTTTCAGCCCTGCTCAGAACAGGCTGTTTCTGTGTCTGTACCTTTAAATATGTAAATGAGCTGTGTCTGACCACGCCCCTCTCTGGAAGGACTTGGGTGTCTCGGGCTCTCTTGCTCCATGTCCTATTGTTTACGGTGAGAAGGCAGACTCAGAGGGCAGAACAAACACCTAGCTGTGGGAGTGACACCCACCTGGGGGAGGGGTTACTGCCCTTTGTGATGTCATGAAGGGAAAATCTCCAAACAGCCTGTTTGAGCACAAATTTTCTGAAAAGTGGAGCAGGCAGAAGACGGAGAGGATGGACTTTTCTCATCATTGGGGGGTTTACAGACAGAATAGGGACAAATATTAGAGTTAAAGAAACATGGTGAAGAGTATTTAGAATAATGTGAACTTTAAATATTGACGTTGTGAAAAAAGATTTCCATTAAACGGTTCATAAATTGTCGATGTGTTTATTTTGAATCGAACACATCACGGCTCTGCATATTCCAATCTTTAAATAACATTTGATTCTTCTCGCACTCTTGCGACTTTGAATCATTCAGCCGTCTCTATGTTTAGACTTTCAACCAAAATTCAGTCTTCAATCCTTTTTTTTAGATTAAATAAATAAATAAATACATACAGAAATAAATAAACAAAGGGCAATAAATCAGAATACCTTAAAGTGCATTCACCGACCCACAGCCTCTTTGTATTGATCAGCTGCACTGACACCAGAGAGGAGGCTCGGCACTGAAGGCACTCGAGGGACGCTTTAAAATGTGACACAGGCAGGGAGAGAGAGCTGCCTCGATCGCCCTTGAGGTGACTTTAACGAGTGTTCTTTCACATCATGTGGAAAATAGATTCAGCCGACAACATTTGAATAAACACCAAGAGTCATTCAGCCAGCAAGCCCTCGTGAGAAAGTCCTGATGGTTCATGTCAAAGCTGTGCAAACAGAAACTGACTTAAAGGTGATGACAAACATTTTTAACCCTTTCTGCAGCTTCGGTCCACAGTTTCAAGAGGACGCTAAAAGCTAAATGTTCTACTGCAAGTTCTGAAAAGATGAAAAACAACAACAGAGAGTTTCTGTCTAATAAAATAATAAAAGAGCAGGTTTGGATTCATGACTTGAATGAAAGGTTATAATAATGAGGATTAAGAGTATTTCTCTGTTGTGTTGATCCCTGATTGTGGTCTTAATTTGCCGTTTGGATTTATTGACTGTGACTTAATGTTCATCTAAAGAGATAACTGTCCAGTATCTGTGGACGTCACAGAGCCTGATCTCATCAATGAGCAGTGATTAAATACAAAGACTAAACTCATTTTTATCGATGTTATTGAATAATTTGTGCACTCAAACTTTAACCAAAATAAAGATGCAGTTTATTTTTCATCAAGGAGTGGTTTAGTTTGGACTCTAAGATTTTAAGATGTGTTTTTCTCTTCCATGAAGTGATCATACAAAGAGAAATTTGTGTTCAAGTATTATTAGTTGTCAACCATTAAATCGGTCAACATATTCAAAATGATCCGGTTTCAGCATCTTATAGGTGATTATTTTCTGGTTTCTCTCCTTCTCCTGGACAGAATAACTGGACAAAATCCACAGAATCCAATCATCTGTGAAGATAGTCGTTAGTGTCAGCCGTGGTTCACAGCGACAGACGCTGCTCAGTCTTATTTGTGATCAATTTGAGATGATGGAGTTTTTCTAGAAACCAAAGCTGAAAAGATGCTGGAGAGTGAAATGTTTAAAGGAAGAATGTGCAACATTTTTAAACACACATAACAAGTATCTCCTGTGTAAATGTGTCTCTGAGTCATGACTGTCTACAATGAGGAAGAAGCTTGAGTCCCGCTGGCTGTGTTGTTGTCAGAGCCGTGTTTACATGGACGGGACGGCCGGCTCCTCCCTTTGTGTATAAAAGCTGTTTTAGTCAAGGACTAGAGAGAAGAAGAAGAACGTACTCACTGATTATTTGGATGCCAGGTAAGAGTTTTTAGATCACGCTCATTCTGAATAAATTTAAGAGCTAACTAAAGAGCGCTAACATTAGCATGCTAACACAACAATGCAGGACACGTGATTGCAGCTTCAGCCGAGGATGATTTAGTCCGCCGCTTGTGCTAAACTCGTTAATATGAGGGCGAGGGGAGGGGGGTTGGAGGTGTGTCGCTGATGGATAGCAGAGGCTTCAGTATGGAGGAGGTGTGGCCTAACAGCAGTTTGTTTTGGTGTCATGCTGGTGCTCAAGGGAGACATCTACTGGATCAGTAAGTCGCACATTCTTCCTTTCAGCCTGAAGCGAGCCGTGTGCTGACAGATATTAATAATAAAAGATCAAAGACTTAAGCACACATCAGGCTGAAATATTGTAGGGTGATATATTTGATGGTTTAGTTTTCATTGATTCTTTTTTGTCTTGTCATCAAGAAGTCTGCAGGTGGTCTGAAGTTTAATACTTTTTGGATGATGCAAAAACCTTTGTGCACCTTTACTGAAATGTTGTAACGGACGACTGCTTCTTAATCCTTGTAAAGTTTGTGGACATATTAGAGCTTCAGCTGCAACTGAATATATATTAAACAAATGTCATGATCCACTGGAGTCTTGTTTGACCTTCTTGTTACGCAGGACTTAGCTGTAGAATCTGTCCAGGTCAACATGATGAGCATCGAACATACAAAAAGGGAGTTCAGGTACTTAGTGTGTTTCTGATGAGCAGACGTGCGCAAATTTTCCAGTCTGTTTGGAAATGCTTCATGATATGCTGCAGCAAAGCCCTTCAACACAAAGATTTTTCTTTGCAGAGACTAGCTGATCCGGTCTGTAGTGTCCTAAACAAGAAGGTTAATCCTACTGGTCCACCAGTAACCAGCTTTCATGCACTCAATGTAAACTTGTGTCTCCCTGAACATGCACTAACAGGCTCATAAGCGCTGCTAGACTTCAGGGATCAAGCTTCACTTTCCTCTCTCTCTTATGAGCCTCTATGCTTCAAGTTGAAACTCCTATTCGTTCACATTTGTCCTTTTAACAAAAAAAAGAGAAAAAAGAGTTTGATTTAAATATGTTGAATGTCAGCTGCACGTTTCTACACGTTTCTTCACAATAACAGAAAAACACCTTTGGAGCGTTGATGGCCTCACTTGGACTGGACCCCCAGAGTGATCTTGAGGTGCTCGTAGACGACGTAGCTGATGCTGACGGAGGGAATAACCTTCATGAAGTTTGGTGCGAGGCCTCGGTAGAGTCCCGTCAGCCCCTCGGTCCTGACTATGTGTTTGAAGAGGCCTGTCATGCTCATCTGAGGGCCGCCTTCAAGGGTCGCTAAAGAGGAAAAGAGGAGGGCTGCTCATCAAACACAAAGCTACCTGTACTCAGGTCTTTATAAAGTGAAAATAAATGTGGGTATAATGCGTCTGCAGGACGATTAAAAACAAGTTAATGCAGTTACACGAGTACGTGTATTTTAGTGTACTCCAAAGAAAGAAATTCAAATATTAACTTAACAAAACAAAGACTAAACTAAAACTTAGTTTGGTCTCTGTGTTTTGTAGAAATGTCCTTTCCTACTTTTTTTCGATCATAGATTGTATAATACTGGAACTCGTACTCGGTCTCAAGACTGGTTTCGAGACCACTTTTTGAAAGTCTCATTCTCGTCTCAGAATCAAAATCATTTGTCTCGGTCTCAGACTGGGCGGACTCCGGATTTTTAAAATCAAGACCACCAATGATCAGATTCTTTTCCACGTCATCCATGCTTCCTAAAAGACTAGTAACTTCAATTTTTCATAATTGGATTTTTATCTCCTCGGTTACGTCCACAACCTTCCCGGTGGTACGGTCTAAGTGAGTGACACGCCCCCTAAACACAAGATGACGATCTCATTGATATTTAAGGTCTTGATCTTGTCTCGGTCTTGCCCTGCCTTGGTCTTGGCCTTGACTCGGTCTCGACCCCTAAAAGGTCTTGGTCTTGTCTCTGAGCACTCTGGTCTCTGGGTATGTCTTGGTCTCGCTGAGTGCGGTCTTGACCTCTACACTAGCGACTGACCTTGAGCCTGCATTCGTGTCCTGACGAGGGCAAGCGGGTAGCTGGACAGCTGTCCACACGTGCTCGAAGTTGTACCACACGCCAAGAGCACGAACACACCGGGATCAGCGCTGTCTGTGGCGAATCGCTGCAGCCAAGCGTTCTTCAGAGTCTGACAGACGAGAGGAGAAGAAGAAAGAGTCAGACTGAACTAGAAGAAAAATCTAAAAGAGAAGTTAAAAACCTCACACACCTCATAGATGGCGAGGTCGATGCCGGCGTACGGGATGATGCCCAGCATATTGGGAACGTAGCCTTTGTAGAAAGCGGCCGCGCCCTCCTTCTTGAAGATGTGTTTGGCACAATCCACGATGCCCGAGTACTGACCCGTCCTCCTCAGGGCCAGCCGTGTCTTCAAGACCTGAGAGGACAGACGGCGATGTCAGAGACAAACCTTCGCTGTGTGGTCAAAGAGTCGTAGACATACATTTCATGCAATATGTTTCACATTAAAAGCACTGTTACATAAATGACTTGCTCACACGTGTGCACTAGTGGAGGTCTGTGAGTCAGTGTGTGAAGGTCTGTTCCCCTCCAGAAAAGAGGTCACAGAACAGATTCACATGATGCGTTCAAGGCTAAAAGTTAAAATGGGAGTCAGTCACAGGACAAAGAGAAGCAACACGGATATTTCTGAACAAAACATAACAAGGTATGAGTTGCACTGAATTCATTAAATTACGGTTTGTCATGATACTTCAATTTAAAACTTTGAAACAATAACATTAAAAATCAAACAACATTGGAGCTGATTCGATACCACAACATTAAAAGTGGTAGTCCTAGGTGCCAATTTTCTTGCTTATTTTTTTGTTTTCTATTTTAAAAATGTCAAGGCAAACTCCTGAACACAGTCTAATGGCACAAAAACATTGGCAGCGTCTGGTACCAGACAAAAAAAAAAATTCTTAGGGCCTCCTTCCACTCCTATGCACTTGTCTTATAAATCAGATGTTGTATTTTTAAAGCTACTTTACACATGTATCACACAAACTTATCAAAGTATCTAAAACCCTACAGCTTTTTATCAGGTGAGGTTTTGCTGTTAAACTGTGTTTTACAGTTTCTTACCTCCATGGGGTAGATGCTGCTTTGAGCGATCACTCCGGCCAGAGAGCCGGCCACCAGCCTCTCCGCGATGCCCAATGTCTCCTGGTTACTGCCGATTAATCGTTTAATCTGGACGGACAGAATATTTGATTTTTAGTTAAACGTCTCAATGAAGTCTGAATCAAAAACAGATGCAAAATTAGATTCCTGTTAAAACTCAAGCAGACTCACTTGGCACAGTTTTGCATATTTACAGTAAGTCATAATGTTCTAGAAAAATTAACTGAGCAATAAAGACCAGTATCACATTTGAAATATTCGGGGGATGCCAATAGCCTAGTGGTCAGTGTGCACGCCCCACGTACAGAGGATATAGTCCTTAAAGGGGGTGGCCTAGGTTCTCCTTCAACTGAGTGTGCATGACTAAGAAAGCTGGAAGTGCTTTAAAAAATCATTTCAATCAAATATTTGAACGGCTTCATGAAAATCCAAATCAAAGATTATGAATCATGAAATGCCAAATTAGTGCATACCTGTTCATATGCCATGAACTTGATCGCAGACTCTGGAGCGATTTTGATGACATTGATGCCGTTTCCTCGCCACAGCGACCTCACTCCGCCCTCTCTGATCATCTGCATGAACCCTCCAGTGATTCTCATGCTGTTGCTCTTGGAGGCGTGAACCTGTAGAGGACAAACAGGAAGCATATTATCACACAGGTGTTCACTTTATCTGGTTTTAAAATGTTCCTCTTTGTTAAAAGATCGATTTTTACCTGCATCATCACTTTGAGTCTGTCCAGAGGAGCCGTGCAGGTTCGAGATACAGCGCCAGCTCCTCCTCCGGCCACCAGGTGTCGCCACCACATTCCTGTTTTCTTCTCCTCTGCTGTGAACTCATCCGGCACCAACAAACTCTCCCCAACATCTAAAATCTGAGGAGGAAGAAGGAGCTTTCTTTCAGTCGGTTGTTGTACAGTCAGTACTTCTTTCTTCTAGGTTTCCATCAATAAATGTTCACAAATTCCAAACATTTTGGTAAAAAAGACATTCACAGAGGTCGTCTCTTGCTTTCAATAAGAGAGGAGGGGTTTGTACCGTGGCATGTCTCCAGTGCAGGATGATCTCAGGAATGTTGTCTGCTGGATGCAGAAGGTGATAATCCCTCCACTCGTTCCAGTCGATCGTCATCGTGCCATTTTTATCCATACTGTGAATGTGAAATATCAGACGATCAGAAATGTTTCAGACATGGAAAACAACAAATTGATCTGCTCACATGCACTTTTACATTCAGGTGCATTCTTCTGCTGCAAGGTGCTTCAACTAAACCTTGTGTTTCATGACCGATTCAACATAAAATCACTTAATTTTTTTGTTGATATTTGTTGCATTTTGCATCTAAAATCACTGCAGCAGGTAAAATAAAGCAGCAGCAGGTAAGTGAAGCAGACAGACTGTGCAGAGGGGAACAGTGTAGTAGAGGCTGAGAAAGCAGACTATAGAAGCTACTACTTACTACAGGATAGGGGCCCAGATATGACCCCTCCTTATTCTGAGACCAGCCAGAGAGAGAGACGGAAACACAGACAGACAGACAGACAGACAGACAGGCAGTTAAAGAACCAGACAAGAAACACACAGAGTCATAACAACACAACTAAGAGATAGTTGGCATGAGTAATGAAAGGCACAACAGCTGGTCAGGTTTTAAGACATGGAACAGGTAACATTGCTGAGTGAATGAGCATGTGAAAGTCACAGTTTCTCTTTCAGACTTAACAGTATGAGGCTGATTTTAAAACGTAGAGCCGGGGAGAAAGCCATAGTGACTTCATGATATTGTGACCTGGTTTGGGTGAGGGGGCTTCCACTGATTGAACATGAACAAAGGTGTTTCTATAATCTGCAAATCACTGTTCCTGGGTGCTAACACCTGACTTGCTTCTGATAGTGTATCTCCAACTCAATGAAACCATTCTAAGAGATTGCTGCAAAAAATAGCTTACAAAGGGGCACCAGTGGCCTAGTGGTTTGTTTGTGCTGCCCGTATACAGAGGCTGTTCAGTCCTCAAAACCGGCTTTAAATCCAGCCTGTGGCATGTCATTCCCCTCTATCTCTCTCTCCCTGATTTCTGAATCTATCATCTGTCCTATCTCTACAATAAAGGCACAAATCTTGAAACAAAAAAAAAAGGCAAAATAGTTTGTGTCTGACAGCTAACAAACACCATATAGCAAGAAGTTAGAGTTCATAAGTAAGTTTATAAGTCTGGGAGATTATCAGAATTTTTTGATTAACCTTTTGCCTTTAGGATAGGACAACTGAAGAGACAGAAGAGACAGGAAATGTTGTGAGGAGAGGACGGGGGATGACCTGCAGCAAAGTTTGGATTCAAACCAATTGCCGCTGCAATGAGGACTACAGCCTCCGTACATGAGGTGCGCGGCATCACTGCCTTGCTATCCGGCGTTACAATAAGGGCTTTCCATGTCTTCATACAAACACAAGTGTAAAGATGTGACATTAATTAGAAGATGAAACATGTGTGAGATATGACAAAAACACTCAGGGGCTGTGTATCACAGCATCACTCTCACCTTCTGAGGATCTTGTCTGCCTGCTCCTCTGAGATGTTCACGCCCAGGTCACGCAGAGACTGCATGATTTCCTGCGAGTCAATCCGACCTGAACCACAGAAATAAATGAGCTATAAATTGATTGAATGCTGTGTTGAGTGAAGATGTGTTAATGGAGAAAGTTGATGTTCAAATCAAACTGCTTGACCTCTCAGACAGATATTTTCATGGGTTTGGGTTGAATTTTTTGTTTGTTACTCCTCCAAGAGTGTCTAGCGGAGGATGTTTTAACTTTTCAGAAAGTTTATCCCTTCTGAAATAGCGTCAGCACAGCAGAATTAAATGGTATGTCACAAGTAATGACAAGATTCCTCACCATCATTCTTTTTGTCCAGACTCTTAAAGACCAGCCGCAGTTTCTTCTCGTGGTCTCTGAGATAATGAACAAACTCCTCAAAGTCCAGCTGTCCGTCCAGGTCTTTGTCTCCGGCTTTCACGATTTTCTGTAAAAGAGAAACAAACATGTGAGGGACAGCAGCTCATGTGTGTTTCAGTTAGTTTGGTGCATTAGCTGTGTTTACAGTTAACATGGTCTGTGAGGGATATTATGATCCCATTCACAGCTGTTACCGAGGCCGCTCTGTGCACAAAGTGATGTGACGAACAGCAGCAGAGGTCAGAGAGGTGAAGCTTCAAACATCTCTCTCCATCTGTGCTCTGTTGACTCAGCCTGCAGTTTAAACCACTTTACAGCCATCACACACATCAGGTTTTTCATCATCCCAGACCATTCAATACAGCCTGACAGGTCAACTGGAAGGATTTCTACAAGGCTTCAGAGTACGCTGGAACATAAATACACACTTACAGGTAGCAAATGGCTCCTGAGGGAGGGAGCAGCTCGCTGTGAAGCACAGGAAGGAAATCTACAAGTTGATTTTTCACCTGAGTTGTACCTAGCCAAACTAAATGCTGTTTGCTATGGAGCAAAATTGGCAGAGCAGGAGAGAGAAAACTCAGCCATGTGCACCACTGAGCTCACAAGATAATGATCAAGGGATGGGACTGGATGTCCATTGACCCATTACACTGAAAAACCACTTAAGGGTAATTCCAGCACTTTAAAATCTGCATCTAAACTTAATATAATACATCTTCCTGGTATGGAAATGCAACTGCTGCAGTAGTGGGAGAAGTATTAAACCCACTCATTTACCCAAAGTAGCATTCTTGAAGATCTGAGCTTGTTGTCTCTGGGAGCTCCTGTGGTGATCTAATTGCAGGCTGCGTGTTTTTAGAATTCACTGTAAAGGTGTGATCAGAATAAAAGAGAAGGACATTTTCTGGTGCAATGACGATATTCAAAGTCAATGCAAAAATGCAAATAGACCTAAACCTGCGACAGATGCTGCAAGTTGGGTTTTTTTTCTACTTCAGGGAGCAGTTGTGAAGGCCTGTCACCACAGCCTCTCAGTGAAGAGAAAAAAAAATGATGGAGCGGGAACAAATTGTGGTTAAGTGTCTTTCTTGCCCAAGGACACATTGTACAGGAGCACTGCAGGAGCTGGGGATCGAACCCCCGACCTTCCAGTTAGGAGATGACTTACTCAAGCAACTTAGCCACAGCCGCCCAGAATTTTAAAAACTTTAATTTTAAATGTTGTCTGCTTGTCGTTTTGCACACAGACATGGCAGAACAAGAACTCAGACTAAAATCAAATCAGGATCATGATGTAGTTATTCCAACACCCTTTTGACCGTTTGGTTGTGTTGGCCTCATAGCGATGTAGTAAAAGATCTTGTGAGTCCGGAATTGAAGGAAATGTGTGATCTCGGACTGAGATCCTGGCTAACAGGTCATCAAACTGATCACTGATCATCTTCAAGGAGCTGGAAGCAGCAGGAAAGTTCAGTTCATGGAGAAGGAAGGAGAATAGCCCAGCTGTATGCACCTTTAAGTGATGTTTTGAACACAGACATAGTAAAAAAAATTTGCTGCCTTATCTGGAGGTGCAAATATTTGTAGGTTGTTATTATCTCATGCAAATAAACACAATCGGATCCACTTTGAGTCTGAGTGGTTGAACAAACTGCAGGATATGCACTTCAGCATTGGCTTCATTCTTCAACAGGTTTCGGCGGCTTGGTTCACGCGTAGGGTTTAGTGTGAACTTTGTATCTGAACTTAAGACACAGCGCATACAGTGCGTCTGCAACAGGAAACAGATCATTCAAAACTATGATCAGTATTTTTATGCAAATGTCCTGTATGATGTTGATGGTGTTAAAACATAACTTCTATCGTAAGGCACTTTTGCAAGAATTTGTTTATCATTGAACGATGGCTATTTGCAAAGACAAGTCACACAGTTACTGGACTGACACAGATAATCAACACAACAGGAACATAAAGTAAACTCACATTGAGCTAATACATCAATATTGAGAGTCCAGCATGATCTCATTAAAATACTTTTCATAAAAGATACGTCAAATTATCATTTTCCCCAGAGAGACGAATTGGACTGAATACTGACTCCACTCTATTACACTTAAATACTCCTATTCACACTGGTCAATGATGAACAATGGGGACAACATACAGATACATCAGGTTTCTTCTGCGGTCTGAATGAAGTGACCAGGAAGGAAACGGACTCCATAAAGTGCAGGTTTGTTTGGAATAACCCTCAGAGTTCAGTTATAAAGTGATCACGGCCTCCACATAGGCCCTACAAGACGTTTGTCTCTTAGTGGATCCACTTACACAGTGAAGCGCACTTTGATCTCATTAGCTCAGCAGCTGTTAACATGTAAAAACATTATACACATATGTAGTGGCTTTATCTCTTTAAATACCTTTAAATAAGTTATTTAGTTTGACCCTCAGCAGCTTAGATGATGTTGTATCCTTTCTCTGAAATATACAATGACTCGTTATTGTGAGGTGAAATTAGGAACTTAACATACTAACTAAACAAAAGTATGCAACCAGGTCAGTCTCCATGTCTTATGCAATGTCAAAGAAACAAAGACAGAATCAAATGCACCAACATTTCCTCTCACGCCTTAGAGAAAGAGCCAACAGTGGAGAGGTTAATATTCAACCTTCAGTCTCTAACAGAGCATTTCCTGCAGTGACCTTTACCTCAAAAATCACACATCATAACAGCAAATTAGAAGTCATCATAAAGAGACCATCACAAGTAACTAATCTAATTCATACACATTCATATGCCGCCAAAGACTAGGGAGCATATTGTGGTTATGTGTCTTGCCCAAGGACACATTGTACATGTGGCTGCAGGAGCTGAGGATCAAACCCCGACCTTCCCGTTAGGATACGACCTACTCTACCAACTGAGCCACAGCCGTCTGTCTCAACAAGTTGAATGACAATACAACCATCAGTTAAATCATTTTGGTCAAAATATAGTGTTAATAGAGCTGAGTAGTTTCAGCTTATTTAAAATGTCAACTCATAACATTTTTTGGCGTATCAAGATTTACAAAGTCTAATCAGATATGAATGACAGAAAATTTGATTTGGACATAAAAAACAATTTTAGAAAGTAATTTAAATCAGATGCGACTCAGACGCTCAAATTAGATTTCAGGGAGTCCCGGGACACTTAAAGCTCTTTAGACAGCACAACATCAAATTGAGAGAGAGAAAGTTTAACAGAGTTTGGAAGCAGAACTGAGCAGTTAATGCTGCTGCTAGCAACAACAACAAGAAGGACAACACAGACAACCTTGTGCTAAAGTGGAGACTTAAAGCTTGTCCGCTAAATTCTTTTGAAGGTTTAAGATTGATTTCTCTTGCTTCTGCATTGGAAAGTCCAAAGTACAGCAACCCGTGCAGGCTACGTCTGTAGAAGCAAATACTGTACAATCTAATCACTTGCAAAAAGCAGAGCAGACAGTCTGTCTAAAATATCTGATTAGAAAACAAAATCAGATTCACTGGCAGTCTGAAAGAAGCATGTATATATCAGACGCTGTTGCAGGTATTCAACTCCAGTGAGCTATCACATAGCTATCTCATACCACAGACCTTATTAAAAAGGCGATCAACTAAGAGTAGCTTTTGTGCATATGAGAAGTAGCTGAGCACACACAGTTGTTGTCATGCAACTATAGATATCAAGATCTGATCGACAGAATGGAACTGTCCACAAGACATGGAACCTGCTCCATCCTACCTGTTGAAGATCTGTGGGAGGGGCCACCATAATTAACACGGTGGTCTTCTTTGGAGTACCCCTGCTGGCTTCCTGACTATCAGAGGAGTTCGCAGTCTTTTCATTCAGACCAGTGAGCCGATCGCTGCAGTTTTCAGCAGCCTCTGTCTCTTTTTCCTCCAGAGTTTCAGCAGGATCACACTGTGTTCTGCCAAAAAGTCTCCCCCACAGGGAACTCAGCATGTCCTGCAGCATCCTAAAACAGGGTCCTGCTGAGTCCAGTCCAGGAATAAAAACACAAAGAGTTTAGCAAGTGTGGAAAGGTCAGAGGAGGACAAAGTGGGACTGCAGAGAAGTGCTACTCCACTCTCCTGTGCTTCACTGCTCCAGCTCAGAATCTCATTGTCTTACTGGTGCTTTCTCTCATTAAAGACTCCACTGACAAACGTCCAGGCTCAGGTCCAAAAGCATTAGAATGCAGCAGGATAAAAAAGCAAATTCTTCAAGTTAACTCTTGCATTACAACTTCTGTGTCAACATCAGGTCCTTTTTATATCTAACGGAGAATTTGTGCCTGGAAATATCTCATAATAAGTATGATGGTGGCTGTACAAAGACAGAGTATGCACTTAACAGCAGCCAGAGAAATGCAGCAAAGAGAGTCTCCTGAAACCTGCATCCTCACTGCAGCCGAGCTCTGGCCAATCACCACAGCTTCTTATTGGCAGGTCGGGTTGTGGAACGAGTCCCTCAGCCAATAGTGGACAGGATTGCAGAAAATAAATTAATTTATGAGTTCAGAGTAAAAGGAGGGGGAGGGTAATACGCAGGGTTTCCCTTCAGTTGCACCTCCCTCCTTGCAGAAAATCTGCTGAGTGATGCCTCCTCCCTCTATCCTCTCTCTCCTCCTGCTCTCTGTCAGTCAGTCCAAGCACACAGTCAGCAAACAGCCGGTGAACCCATCCACCCGAAAACTGAGCTTTACTTCATTTTCATTCCCAACATGTACTGGGTCCTCCTGCCTCGTTGTGACGCAGCAAAATATTTCAGCATAAAATCCTCATTACAGCAGCTGTTTTGTGCTTTCCTGTTTTGACTGATTGCCCTTTCTGTAGGGCACAAAGATCCTGGCGTAGTGACAGAAGCAGGAGCTCTAGGTTCATCTTAACTGGATAGCTTGATTTCTGGATGCAAATCAGACCATATGATATACTGGTAGTTATAAAGCTGATAAGGAAGAGAGATGCAAACTGTAGTCAAAGACTGTAAGCTGTTGGTTGCCCTTTCACTGAAGAATCAGGGCTACTGAAGGTTGCATTAGAAGTAGGGTATGGAGGAAACAATCATGGCATAATAAAAGGAGATTGGTTGATGAGGGGGTAAACTGCAAGCTGATAAATCTGAATATATTGATGCAACTAACAGCTAACTTCAAGATAAATAATTAAGCCTATAAAATAAAAAAATGCAGATCCTTATTTCCTGGAGCCAAAAGTTGTGTCTTTCAGTAGCTTATTTTGTCTGACTGATAATCTGAGTCTCTTTTTTTACACTCAGAGATAAGCAGAAAGTCCTCCCATGGTCATTTTGAAAATTACTTAACAGTTGAATTCATAAAATACTTTTTGATTGATCAATCAAACGTTGGTGCTCCATCTGAAAGTAAATTGATCTACAGTGATCTAAAGCCCGCCATACACTGAAGGATTGTATAAAAGTGGTGGTTGAATGTCAGCTCGCGATTCATGTGCTTTCACTCAACCCACTGATTGTCGAGCACGACTGGAGAGCTCACCATGTACGGGTTAATATGAGACGGAGCATTCACAATTGTCAATAGATCTTAGTGTATTTCACTTTTCTCGTATGCACGGCTCAAAAAAACACACCACCTCTCACTCTCTCTCACACTCAGCATCTTCAATAGAAACAAGCCAGCTAGCTGTTAAATCTAATCATAGCAATATTTCCTGTCAGCTGGAGGTCAGCAGATATTTCCAAACAACATTTATTTCATGATCAGCAAAATCAGAGGGGTAAAGACAGATTAATAAGGCAAGGCACAACCAAGAAAAAAAGAAGTTAGGGAATCAGCTCGTGGCTCTGCTGTCTGTGTGTGAGTGTGTGAAACACTACGACCAAAACATGCCAGAAAATCATCCGTCCGGTTGGGAGTAGCTGATCAGGCCTCAGTGTACACTGCAGAGCTAACAACGATCTCGCTGATATGCGGCCCAACTTCAAAATCAGCACGAGTCAAAAATTGGTGCAGTGTACACTCAGCTGTGATATGATACTAAATGTTGCGGCTATATCGGCCTGTGCAGGTCGTTAGAAAAAGGACGCCACAAGGGACTAAACGCGGGAGGAAATACACTGTGTGTGCGATTACAGTGCAGCGTAGTTTGGGGGACAACAAAAAGTTTCCGCTCCCAGGCTCACCCTCTCTCTCCATCTAAGCCAAATCTCAGGTGAACAGAGTGTGGTCCATAATTATGACTGCCATCACCATAAAAATGTCCACACTCAAACACTTTTCTGAGACTCAGAGAGGATAGAAACTGTGGTATCAGGAAAGCTTTTTGAAACAAAACAACAATAGTAATGCATAATCCTTGAGCCTTTGCTACAGTAGAATATTTCGGCTATATCCTGCTTCATTAATGAGATTGTCTGAAGGGGCGTTCATGACTTTGGACTGTGACCTGCAGAGACAGACTGATACACAATCAGTTACCTACTGTCGGTGCGGTTCAGTGCATCAGTCAGCTTCCTGCTTTATGCTGGATGTATAGTTAGAAATGTGTATGAACATGAGTGAGCTAACCACACCTTCTTACTTACAGGCCTGTTTACAGCTTCTGCTTGTTTTCAACTCAAACGTGAAGACTGAAATTAAGTTTACCGAGCTGCAGAAAGTAAAAACCTGTTACATCCTGCTGATAACTTTATTCTAGTGTTGTCACAAGAACCAAGTTTTACACTTTGATATGAAACCAGTTAAAATCAGTTGATATCAAAACTTGTTTCAATTTCACAGCAACAAAATCACAAGTCTAAGTCACCCAGTAGGGGGTAATCATTATTATTTTGAATTATCATAAATTACAGGGAAGGGGCGCTTTCTTCTACCTGCATGCTTGCTTGAATATCTGCCCATTTGTCTCTCCACTCCACCATGACTTTGTGTAAATTACCAGGTGGGAAACGGCACATCTCAGATGCTGACACCATGTCTGGCTTTAATACCATGTTCAGGCAGTGAGATAATGCATCTCGCCCAAATAATGTTTGGTCGAACAACAAGACTTTTATCTAAACGACCAACAGAGGATCCCTTGCACGACCTAAACCTTCTCAGGTGTGCACGGTTGCAGGAGCATACAAATGTTTAATAAATGACTAATCCATTGCAGATGGAAAATTACTTTACAGTAACTTAAATGTGAGCGAACAACGAGTATTGCCTGTGGCTACCTCAGTTTCACCCAACAAGTTTATACTGTTTTAAATGAGCTGAAAAGTATTGAACCAGTTTGCCTGTCAATGACGTTATAACTAAGCCTGACAGTTTTCAGCTGCTTCAAACAGTAAACTGTTAAAAGGCTTAATCCTGTGACCTCTGCAGTCTTGGACGCTTGCCACAATATTAACCTGCATCGAAAGGACCATTATCCTGGATTATGTGAATATCTTTCCACAAACAAAGAGGGAAATTTCCTGAGAAGCAGGGATTTCCACAACTTCCAGTCCATACTGTCAAATGAGGTCAGGGGGTGGGGGGACTCCTGTGCCCACTGTACTTGGTTTCTGTTTCTCCAAAGTAACTGACTTTCTCATTATGTGGGTCTGTGTATGTGTGTCGTCTTTTGCAGGCATCCCCCTGAAAACTAGCTGATGTCTGAAAGTATGAAAGCTTTTGGATAGAACATAAAATGCAGAAAACAATGCATTGGGTTTTGAATATCTTTAAGGATTCCAAAACACAGCATGTCAATATGGCTCAGAAATTCATACTATTGGCGGTAACCATATCAGTTTTTTCCCCTTCCACATGTGATATCTGTGTCTGTCTTCAAAGTGATACCTGTCGGGCTCAGCACCTTCTCTGAAACACTTCCTCTTACCATGAGCTCATGTTCAGTGCGATGGACTCCTAACTTCTTCAGTCCGATCGTCAGGTCGTTCACACAAATGCCTCCGTCCCCGTTCACATCTAGGACCTGGAACAGCACCTTGAGCCGGTGCTCCTGCTCAGGTCCACCGCAGATGTCACAGGAGTGCTCAGACTGACCGGGGTCGACGGGGTCCCCGGTGGCGTGCCTCCCCCCTCCGCCGCCGCCTCCCGGGTCCACGCCGGGGTGGGTCTCTGCTGAACAGCACTGGCAGAAAACATCACCGAGAAGGGGGCGCATCAACGAGCCCTGTTGGTGCATCATGAGGGTCCCGGTTCGGCGTTTCGGCCCCACACCGGTTAGTAGCTACGTCACAGAGCCGAGAGAGGCCACTACGTTATTTCAGCCGGTTAAAATTCAAACACGACTTTATCCTCGAGTAAACTTCAGATTAACGAGCTTCCTCTCGGTAATTCAACTTAACAGACGAGCACACACTCTCCCGTAACGTTAGCTCGCGTTAAAACCGTATTTGTTACGTTATAGCTAGAAGCCGGTAAAAACGAGACGTGGTGCTCAGATCCTGAGCTGTCAGCGGCTTCCCCGTCCGTTAAAATACCTCCACAGCTCGGACGTTTTAGTTAAAACGAAGCCATGTGTCGCACGTACCGAGGAAAAAAAGACTTTAAAGAAATATTCAGAATAAAATGTCTGTTACGACATTTAAGTGCCGTTAACTTGCCGACCGTTGACGAGAAAAAGGTATTTGTCACCGACCGGACCCGGGTGCGCCTAGAGTCTCGCAGTTCATCGCGAGATTACAGCGTGACGTGTTGAATTTTACCCTTTGCCTTTTACCAGCTAATCAGGCTCTTATGTAGATTTCATTCATACTAGGAATTTCCTGTAGAAAATAAATTAATTTACACTGGCAAACAAATTGTGTAGGTCTTTATAAATTCAGCCATATGAATGAAAAATTACAACAAATATTCTATATATTTTTAAAGCATGCTTTTTAGTAATTCCTCTAATGCAGAGCAACTCACATCGATGCAAACTACAACCTCTTTAATACAGCTGTGTAAACTAAAACCTTTCTGACAAATGTAAGATTAAAAACTAACATTTTAATAGGCTATATATATGTCCAGTCTATCTTCCTAGATCTATTTTTCTCCTTTCATTTTCAAAATACCATGGTTTAAACTAATATTTCTGTTTTCTTCTTTCTGTATTAAACTCAGTTTCTAATGTCTGGTGTTTAAGTCTGATTGCGCAGCAGTTCTATTTTCACATCGGTTCACGCCACAGTGGCGCCATCTTTAGTTAAAAGTCAGAATTGCATTGTGTTCAAATTATGAGCCTGACATGTCTTTGCAAATATTCATTCAATTGAGTGCTCCCTTTTTTAGATCCAGTTCTCACTTTTAATTCCAGTCCCCTATCTCTCTCAAGCCAGTCAGGTCAGTTAGTATTAATGTGTGTGAAAAATGAAGTGACTGAATTTAATGACATGTAACAAACCAACATAAGAAAGCGTTTTTTCTGTCAGCAGAATTGTTTTAATAAATCCATTTTAGCCTCTAACAGCAGGCTGCTTCAACATGCATTCTGTTCACTTTGAACTGCAGTATTTTTGCCAACAATCAAATTTATCAATGAACTAGCAGGCTAGTACAAAAACTATTACTCTCATTGTCCACATAGAACCGTGTAGAGAAAGACTGTGTAGCCTTTTTTTATTCTAGAACACCACATGAGGAAACTGACTTCAGCTTAATACTTTTAACAAACTCCATGTAGTGTATGCCAAATAATACAAGGACAGACTTTAACAAAAACTTCTTAGATAATGAAACAGTTGACAATATTACAACTTAGAAACACAGGGAAAGGCATTTATGTACTTCACACTCTATCATTTCACTTAGTCTGTAAAGGTAAGGTCACTTTATTTGTACCTGTAAATTTGGTTTACAGTGAGTGAGTCAGCCTCCTTTTACACACAAGGGACAATAAAGGTCTGAACTGAACTGAACGGTGGTGTAATTGTGCAAGGTGTACGCAGGTATACAGAGAATACCCACTTGTTTTCATAGGGTATCCACTTCTAAATCTGAGTCACACCAATGATAGAAACAGTGACATGTAAGAACAGTGACATGTAAGATGAAGTAGGGAGGGTCATCCCTTCACCATCCTAGGGGAAAAAATGTGCAGCTGAATATTGTCAATCAAACAAAGGCTATTTATCCTCTGCTGGATGGAAAATTAAGAGTATACCCACTTATCTTGGCCCCACTGCACCACTGCTAAAGTGAATATCCGGTCAGTAAACAAGATAAAGTATCCCATCAGTAAGAATAGGAAAAATAAAAACAAGATAAGAATAAGAATATACCAACAATCAGTAGAACAGGGTAAGTTAAAACAAGATGGAGATGAGCCATCAGTAAAAACAACATTTAAAAAGTGCAGAGATCAGTAAATAATCAATAAATACTAAATATGCTGCTGCATGATGTCTTGTTCATCTCACTGCTGTCGGCTGGGACAAAGCTCTTCTTATGTTTTTATCTTTTTAAGCCAACTCTCACTGCGGGTCGCTACTCCTCTTCTGAGTTTTACCACACTAATAAAAGCAAATTTATCCTAATACACATATTTTGCAGACTACTATATCGCTACTATCTCATACGCTCTTAAATAAAGTCTTTAATATGTGCAGCTATTTGAATAAATACATCTTAAAAAGTGCTTTATTTTGTTATTTTTTTAAGTAAGTTTAGTATTTTATTCAGAAACACAAACTATGGCTGCAAAATAATGTGAGAAAACAGTTTATTTGGCTCTTGAATCCATCACATAGTTTGTTCGGCTGGTTGGATGATGGACGCTTGATTCTACCAATAGCAGTCGAGAATTCAGCGTGACCGCGTTAGGTTCGACCAATGGGGTATCGTGGGGGCGGGGCTACACGCCCAGCTAACGTAAGCGTTGTCGGTAGGAAGAAGAAAGCCGATTCTGGAAGCCATTACGTTGCGCACATCAATTGACTAAATCCAACTATTTTTGCGTACAATACGCACAATTATCCCTCCAAAAGAGGAATATTTGCAATTATGGCATCGGCCGCGAAAAAGCGGAAAATGAATTTCTCGGAGAGAGAGGTGGAAATAATAGTGGAAGAAATAGAGAAACAAAAGCACACACTGGTTAACCACTTCAATGCTGGAGTCACCCACATGGCAAAGAATAACGCGTGGGCGGACATTCTGAAAAAGGTGAACGCGGTCACCACCTGTCCCAGAGAGCTGCCCGAGGTGAAGAAGAAGTGGTCCGACATGAAGACGGAGGTCCGGAGGAAAGTGGCCCAGGCTCGGGCTGCCATCGAGGGGAACTCCACTGACTGCACTCCGGTTCACGTCATCCTCACCGCGATGCAGCAGAGGATCTGTAACCTGCTGGGAGAGGCCACCATCATCAGCCTACCTGCAGGAGACTCAGATGCTGAGATCACCCTGCCTGTGTCTGTGAACGCCACCACCACCGTCACTCTGACTGAGGGTAAGTGCACTAAAGTTTTCACTCTGAGCATGCTCAGAACAGCCTGCCTGCACATCCTGACAGAGGGGATGTGCCCTCTCTGCTGGATTCCTCTTCTAATGTGTGAAACTGAGCATGTTTTACTTATTAAATTATATCCATTTAAAAAGTAAACAAACCACAGAGGTTATGTTTGGGCTTTAAGCAGTGGAACAGATGCTGTATTCTTGTTCCTCTTTCTTTTTGTAGAAGTTTAGTTGCACCATGCAAATCTTAAACAAACCTCCGGGTAAACTGGTTCCCTCTAAAGAAGATGTTGTAGATAGAGATGCACGATACAATTTTTTTCAGTTCCGATCCGATATTTACCATACTGATTCCGATATATTTTTATGATCATAACTAACAGTGTTATTGTTGTTGTTGGTGGTGTTATGTTTGAGGCTTCACAAAGCATGTAGTAAATTCAGCATTTCATTGTGCTGGCTTCACATACAAACAGGAAGCAGCACCAGCTGTCAGGTTTTCAAATTAAATCTTTTAAACTGAAGCGTATGAGTTTATACTTTGGATCATAAGGAATGAGCATTTCGTCTGAACGTCGTCATAGAGACGATTTGACTCTTTGTCACTCGTAAATGACATCAATATCTGACCCGGTAAGATATTCGATCAGATCGGTCCCATCTCTAGTTGTAGACTCTAACACAAAAGTGTGTCCTTTATTAACTAATTTTCTCTATCAACATGAATAAACATACTATTATACTTTCAGACGATGAAAACATAAGATGAGTGTATTTGTAGGTTAGACTCTAATCATCTAGTTGTGTTTCTGATGGTCTCCCTTTGTTTTTCTTTATTGTTGTTGTTGGTCTTTGTCGTGTTTGTAAAAACATATCCCTTCTCTTTTTTAGCTCTTCCAGCTGGACCTGGAACAGTTTGTGATGACGCCAAAAGTGGTACGTTTTTTGGTCTGCAAAAATTCCTTTAAAAACATATCTATTAATCTATCTTTTTTTAAATAGCATGGAGCTGGATGTGCTTTAGAGTGATTACATTTTCACTAAATCTATTCTCAGGGTGACTGAAGGTCAATGTAGTTTGATTTCCTCTGTTAGCTATAAACCAGTGAGAAGCCTAACATATGATTAAAAACTAGGACTGTCAGCATTAAGGCATTCATTGTGATGTTGTTAACATCTGAAATTAATGTGCTATTATTACTTCAAATCGTGTCAATCAGAATCAGAAAACGCTCACCGTAGTCCCCCACCACTAGCCGGGCTCCATACACTGGATGTAGCTCCTTACTCTACTACCCGGATGTAAACAAGCACAGTGAACAGACAGCATCTCATAGGAGCAGCACATCTGGCAGGATTTTGGTCCAGAACATCGAGATACAAATAACTGTAGGCTGCTTCAAGTTACACTAGCATCAACCGGCGCGACATCCAACTACATATTGATTTTTTTATCGGAGGGAGGGATAGCCCCTTGAGATGCACCATCTCGTTTTTCAAGGGGGTCCCTTACACAGATGAAAAGACAAAAAGAAACATTAACATTCACACACACACATTCTCCCACACCCACCTATAGATGCAGATATACATGCAATAGTTATAGTTAAAAGAGATACACAGGCCCACATTCATATAGAAACAATGTATACATTTACATTGTTTACTTTGAGAACAGGAATGTGGATGCTAACAATGATGGAGAATTGAAGGCTGGCGTTGCTAACACTGCTAACATTAGCCACACAACATCATTTTAAATAAACTGCTAGATTTGGAACAGACTAATCTGTTATAGTGAATTGCAGTTTCCGTTTACTCGACTTAGAAAAAAAGTCGGCTAGGAGCATCCATAGCTCCTAACATTTTCTTGGAGACCCCCTACTTATGACTAAGAGGAGCTAAGACTAAGACGACCACAGGTTCATTTTCACGTTTTATATTTGGAGTGAAAACGTGGAGACTCTTCTTCGCAGTAACATCACTCTGTTTTTATTTCCTGTTTGCAGCTGAAACTACGTACCACACCCTGGAGGACGGAGGCGTGGTCGAGTACTGCACCACCACTGTGGGCGACTCCACTCCCACCGTCGTGGCGGCCGTCGAGGCTCCTGTGGAGATGCTCGCCTCGTCCTCGGCGTCCCCGCCTCACCCTCAGGGTCAGGCCAAACCTCAGGAGCTGAAGAGCCGCATCGCCCTGAACTCCGCCCGCCTGCTGCAGGAGCAAAGAGTCACCAACGTCCACATCCGCCAGATCGCCCAGCACCTGGAGGGCCAGAACGAGCTGCTGCAGGTGATGAGGCGCTCGCAGGAGGCCCAGGCGTTCGCCCAGGAGAGGCAGGCCCAGGCTCTGGAGGGGATGCAGGCTGCTCTGCTGGCTCTGGTTCAGATGCTCAGACCGGCTCTCAAAGACCTCCGAAAGTTCATGCAGAGCGGGACTGAAGCCGCGCCTGCGAACTCCAACAGCTCTGCAGCCGCTACAGAGGAGCAGAGCCGGCCTAAAACACCTCCTCCCGCTCCCCAGCAGGAGGAGACACAATGACTGTGTGTGTGTGTGTGTGTGTGTGTGTGTGTGTGTGTGTGTGTGTGTGTGTGTGTGTGTGTGTGTGTGTGTGTGTGTGTGTGTGTGTGTGTGTGTGTGTGTGTGTGTGTGTGTGTGTGTGGGCGTGTGTCAAAGCTTGCAAAAGTTGCCTTAGAGAGAGCATGTACAGGATTTTACTTTGTTTCATGATTTTTACAGCAATGGACGCTTTGAAAATGTTACGTTTTCAGTAATCATCAATGGGTTAATTTTATTTAATACTTCTGATTTGGTCTTTCAATAATGTTTTTAATACTGCACATTCATTTTTTTAAGTTGTTTCTTTTAACTCATCTCGCAGTATTAATCCTGAGTGAAGAATAATCCGTCTTGTTTTTAAGATTAGAGTCAGCTGTGGCCTCTGGTAGGTGTGCACCGCGTCCTCACAGCTGAATAAAGTTTAAAGAAAAATCCTCTTTTCCCTGCAGGCTGCATTACTGCTAAGCAACCACAAGAGGTCAGTGTGTAGTGGCAAGATTAAACACTGATGGAGCAGCACTGTACAACTGCTTTACATGAAAATAACAGTTTTAATTTAAGTGTTTGATTTGTAAAAACACCTGTTGAGTGACCTGCATAGAGCTTGTTATGATCTCCATGGAGGAGAGCACTGAAGGAAACTTCCTGCTATTACTGGACTTCTCTCATCATGGAACAGAGGAGGCAGAAGAAAACATTAAAGAGACGAAGAGGGAGTGACCGATCAACATGTGATGACTTTTATAATCAGCTCCAAATCTTTGGAGTGAAATATGAGCAGAACACCTAACTGCAAACAAACCTGTTGAATGAAATAAAAGAACACGTTTTTATAAAATCACTTCAGGGATGTTTTCATGGATCAGACATTAAAATGAACCATTTCCTTATGATACTGAAATGCTTTAAGAGATTCACCATTAAAATACTTGCCCTATAGGAGAGCTGATAAACATCAAACGTTTAAAAACACATGAAACGTTCAGCGCTCTGCATGTTGGGAACAAAGTTTGACAACACTTAGTTTGTGTGATGAGTAAAGAGCTGTTTCCAAAAGTTTTTCTATCTTTTTGTAATTTTTACTCAGAATAATGCAATGTTTGTGAGCCTTTCAAATGAACAAGAGACACAAAGAATATTAGTATCCTTACCCTTCTCCCCTTTAGTCCCCATTTACAAGCCGGAGTTTCACATTACTTTACTCTAAATCCTGGAGTTAAAAGATAAGCAAGCGCTGAAATTCAGGTTGTGTACGCTGGGCTTTAGTTACCCTTCATCAGCTTCATCCAACATATGAAATGAATCCTGAGGAAACTGATAGATGGGCCCCAAACACCTTCAGATAGCCTACTTCTCTTTTGTCTTCAGGTCTGTATTTTTAATTTTTCCCAAGGTACTTTTCTAATTGTACTTTTGTTTAAAGTACAATTAAACTGTGATGCAAACATTGGATCATATTGTAACCATTATGATAGTAAAACATAATCAGAATGGGATTTTGTTGCCCCTTCATCACTTTCAGAAAGGATTTCCGCGTTTCTTCTGCACGCTTTCCTCTGCTGAGACTTTGTTGACGGTCCCTAAAACTCCCCCCCCCCCCCCCCCCCCCCCTGAGACGTGAGGCGTTCACGGCACCTCTCTCTCTCTCTCTCTCTCTCTCTCTGTCTGCCTGAGTGACTCTTGAACTCTCCACTGGGGAGGAAAAAGCTGTTGAGGATGCACTCAAGCTGAGAAAACTTGCCAAGAAGAAGAAGGAGTCACACTCCGGTTCTCTGCAGCGGGTCACAGCTGCTCTGTTCCGCCGAGGATGAGGAGCAAGAGACCGACGGGACGGTGAGTGTGTCTGGAAGTTTCGACGAGAGTTGTCGGTTTTGAGGTTTGGGTGTTTGCGTGGCAGCTGTCTGCAGCGAGAGAGTCCGATAATGTAGGAGGAAACTTACGGAATTAAAGAGTTAAGAGTCTAAAATGAGTAGAAAAATCGTGTGTGGGGTTATTTTGTATTGTAAGGCAAAAGAAGTAAACATAAAAGCATGATTTTCACATCTGTAATTATTGCAGAAACTGTCAAATTCAATGCAAATCTTGAACTAATCAAATTTTTCTCTTCCAGGTCCCAAAATGATTCACCTTGAAGCAAACACGGATTTTTAAACCCCCTCTTTGAATCCAAAGCCACACTTGTATTCGTCCCGCACCATGAGCACCCTGCAGCAGCTGGGGACCATGTCCTTTCTGATGAAGAAGAAGAAGTTTAAGTTTCAGGTGTATTTCACGTTGGAGGAGCTGACAGCGGTGCCTTTCGTGAACGGGGTGCTTTTCTGCAAGATCCGGCTGATGGATGGAGGGGACTTTGCCATCTTGTCATCCAGGTAGGCTTTTTAAGAGAACAACTTGTCACTTCCTTGTTGTGAAACCTTTTTTATTGCATGCAACCCACACTTCTCTTTAATAACCTGGTTTGCCTTCTAAGATGTTAAATGTCCACCTCTAACTTTTAAAAGCTTGTTTTCTTTTCTGTATTTTCTTCACATAAAGCAGCACTGAACTCTGTTCTGAAGATTTGGATACTTGATAGTTGCCCACCTCACTTTAGACACAGGGAGTGCTCTGGCTGTAAAACTGGAACCAAACTGCACATCTTGCAGTTCAACCTTTATTACACTGAGCGTTATTTCACCCTCATGTCTCCTGGGAAAGTTGCTGGCATGATGTTTCTCAGCTCCACCCTGGGAGCCGCCAGGGTGAGTCCATGATGGTTATGGGGGATGCACTTAGTATTTTGAGCTGAACAACTATTTCTGCTTTGAAAAGAAGGATCTGGCCTCAACATAAGAGGTCTGTCTCTGAAGGTTTTCTTTCTGTAATGTCGACAATAAGTAATTTTAGTGAACAAACTAAACAAGTTGCAGCCATCACAGCCTTTTGCAACGGCTGAAGCAATCTGAGTGTCCTCATACCTTTTAAAGGTGGAGTCAGTAGAAATGTTTGTTGCAGCTTGTGATTACAACACTTAAACTGGGCCCCGCCTTCTGGGCTCATCGCACCCCAGAAATGCACACTCACTGCAGGAAGTAGTGTGTACGTTTACTGCTTGTACCTACACTGCAAGCTACTGCACGCTGGCACAAGCTAACCGCCTGTGTTTGTCACCTGCCTGTCCAACAGTAAGTAGACCAACTCCACGTCCACGGGTAAAAGACAACACAAGATTCACCCTCGTTTTAGAACGAGCTTTATCTGCTTGGGGTTTCTCCACACTGTGATTATATTTTCTCTTCTTTGCTGCTATGTCCACATCCGTCAAATTCACCGATTTGAATCCACTCCTAAACTCACCTGCTGCGCTGTCATTGGCTGGAGGAAACACACCAGCTCCTCGTCCAGAAACGTCCCGAGTCAACCAGAACAAAGCAGAACAGTAAAATCCAGTCAGAGGACAGAGTCTCTGCAGACACAGACACCACCACACATGTACGGAGGCCCAGAAGGGACGATGGAGCAGCTTCACTTTAGTATAAGTGTATTTTATATTTTAGGAAAAAGCTGCTGACTCTACCTTTAAGACCTTAAATTATTAAAAAGACAACAGGTCCCAGGTTTAAAAATACCTGAACTACCCTTTTATGTCTAGACTTCTGCACGGCCAGTTATGTGAGCTGACTCTGCCAGATGTAGAAGAAACATCTGTCAGTTCTTCCAGATGTTCCTACCAGATGAAAACATCTGGTACAGAGTAGTTTGTAGTAGACACAAGGAGGCACATTTATTTGAGCAACAGGACCTGCACAGAGGAAGCCAGATCTACTCGTCTCGAAGTGAGACAATTTGTCTTTTGTTACTGGGGCGAACCCTTTGACTATTTGGAATTAAAAGTTAACGCTCCAACACTGCACACACCCTCGTCCTATGTGCCTTACACCTGACTATTGTGACTTTGGTCAGACTTGTTATAATTTCACCTGTGGCTCAAGATGAGTCAGCAGAGTGGAAGTGTCAGGACAGGTCTGCAGGTTCAAAGATTGACAGACGAACCCTAAAGACCACACCAAAGTTTGAACAAGTTTCAACACATTCAAAGCAAACGTATCGTGATGTTTCAGATGCTTAGCTTTTGTATTTGGTATTGAAATACAGCAAGTTGAGACTTAGAAGACTTGAAATTGTAAAAGTGTAACTCTGGAGATTGTGAGACAAATGAAACAAAGAACAGAAAAGCCATGAGGATGAAATGAAAAATGAAACCACCTCAGACTCTCCTCGGGCTAAACCTGCAGATGAAGCGGTCTAACCTCTGATCTTTAACCCGGACTCAGGACCTTCCTGCATGACGAGATAACCGAGCCCAGCCAACCATAAAAACCTTTCAAAGTTATCACTAAAGACTGCAGGTCAGAGCTGAAACCAGCTCGTACAGTTAGACGTCAGCACATTTACCTGCATGCAAATACTCAGGCTCAGGTACAGTGACGAGCAGGTGTTTACTGTTATCTCACTCCTCTTTGAGTTTCTGTCACTTCTTCCACAGGTTAATGGCAGCAAAGAGTGGAGTGCTCTGCTCTGCTCATACCTAACTGAAGAACAATCTGTAATCAATTCATAGAAACACAACATCTAAAACAAATCAGGAACATCTCTCCATCAGGACTATCAGCTGCTGAAGGCCTAGCTGAGATGTATTGGTAGTTATGCTCAGAGTGATTAATAAACGGCATCATAAATTAGTCTGCATCACACCTGAGCCAATCTGTGTTTATTCTCCCCCTTCTCCACCTTTTCAAACAGTCCCCTGTGCTCTAAATGAAACATCTGTGCTGTGCTTTGGTCAAAATATAACATGAATCAAGCACCAGAGGAGGTTTGTGACCCTGTATAAACCAGCTCTCTCAGAACGCTCTGTTTTGGTGTGTGTGTCTCTTTAAATGTAATGAACCCCCCCCCAGTTTCCCCGTAGACATCACTCCTCTGTAGAGAGAATAAAATGGCAGACCTGAGCAAACATTTTGTTCTAGGCTGGGGTGGAGTCTACGGGTGGAGATACCAGGGGAGGGGACTGTATTTATTTTTGCCAGAATCCCACTGTGACATCACAAGGAGAGCAGATTGGAAACGGAGCATTTTTCTCTGTGTAGTAAGACTTATGCAGACCACAAACAAAGACTGGATGGGTTTATTTCACATTTTGTGGTCAGTAGACACTCAGGTTACCCAAATATATGTTCAGAAACACTGTACAAGTGGATTTTTCATAATATGTCCCCTTTAAAGTGAAGAATCTGTAGGCACAGCATGGGATTTTGGCATTAGAAGTGTAGTTTTCATTACAGGCTGTCCTTTGACAAATTAGTTTATTTTTCTGTTGAAGGATGTCATGTTAAAGTGTAAAGAGAACACACAGATGAAGTCTTATTTATAAGCAGCTGATCAAAGCCTTTGAAGCCAGGACTGCGTGTGTGGGTGTTGAACGAACCCAAAGGAGGGACAAGAGCTGACAGATATGCAGAAGAGAAAGATTGCACTGAAGACAGCCCACTCCTTTGGAGACACTCTGCACAGAATCAGATCTTTCTGTTTCCCTAAAGACTGGACAGAGAGCTGCAGCACTCGGACAAAACTCCTCTCCCAAACTCTCTATTGAACTGAATTCAATGGGAAACAGGCGTCGTCGACAACATCGACTGTTACACAACAGACAAACAACAGCTGAGAGAGGCTCCATAAAGACGCCCGCCTCAAAAGGACGACTCAACAAAGAAGCAATTAGCGTATAACTCAGCAGAATGTGGACAGATGGCTTCATCCAAAGTCCTTTATTTTCTTCTTATTTATCTTTTACAGAAGTTGGAATGTGCAAAAGTCCTGAACGGAACTCTTTCTGCACTTCAAACATTTATCACAAATTCAGTACAGTGTCGATTCAAAAGTGATCTCTCATATTCTCCTGTTGATTCATGTAGCAGTCGTGAACGCACCACAACAGGCTGGGGTGTGTGGAGGGTGAAGTTTTGTTGGTCAGGGGGGGGGGGGGGGGGGCAAGTCATGAGGTTAAAAGGGTTGTGCAAAGATGGTGGAAATACAACCGAGTCTTATCGCTCTAGTGACAGTTTTTGCCTTTTTATCAATGCTTCATATCAGTGAGCAGAAAAGATTAGCAGCTTCATGGTGTGCATGAAGATCGCTCCGGTCATGCAGATGTTGCAGGATATAAATGCATCAGCCAATCCGCTTGCTTGCGGTGCATCTTCAGGTGTTTTCACACATGCACAAAACTCCTGAAAACTTCCTGAAGTTGACGGTGTGAGCTGCATGTGTGAACGCAAACAGCCAAGTTTTACACTCTGACTTCACCCAGAGTTTTTCCTGCCGACCCTCTGGAAAAATGTCGTAGTGAGTTCATGTGAGAACGCAGCAGGAAATATTCAAGAAATATTCACCGCGAGCGAGCCGGAGAGGGGATGATGTTCATATCCCGTCAACTATAGACTTTAATGCGTATGTCTGCTGTGAGCTCCTTGCACGTAATGAAACTGTTTCATTAGGTTTTCTGTTGGCCGGTTTGTTCTTTGCTGCTTTGATTTAAAGACAGAAATGCTCATTATTGAGTCTTTTAGCGGACTCTGTTGCCCCTCGCACTTTGTTTTTGTTTTTGACGTCATGCAGGGAAAGTCTCCTGCTGTGAGGTGCATGTGTGAACAACCACTCAGGAAGACTTCAGGAAGACCGTCTTCCTGAAATAGTCTAGAAATGTCCGGGAGTTCATGTGTGAAAATGTTGTTCCTGGATATTTCCTGCTGCTTTGTGAGTCACGTCACTGTAGCTCTGCCTCTGTGATTCTGACACACTGACTCGGCTCTTTGTCTTCACATTTATGGTCTCATTATGTTTTTTATGAATGCTTCTGCTGCTTGTTCACGTGACCCTGCTGGACTCTGTCCTGGGTTAAGCTAACTGTGCTAGTTAGCCCGATTGTAAACTGGTTTGTGTATTAAGGAGAACTCGGAAGGCGCTGGTTCTAGTTGCGGTATTAGTCTTCAAAAGAGAAGTGTAACCAGTGTGATGTGCTGGTTTCTATCCAGTGAATCTCCTGTCTGCTTTCACTGCAGATATATTCCTGTTTCTGTGGTCGCTGTTCAGTTTCAGGTGTTGGAAGGTCAGAGAAGCATTCAGTTACAAGTCACAGGAGGATATCTTTAGATGTTTTTTTCCAGTTCCTTCTTTTCTGTTTTTAGGTCTGGAAATCTTTAGCAAGACTCTAAAGAAGACTTCAGCACAACAGAAATGTCTTTAGTTTGTGTAAATCAGGTTTTATATCATGCATCACCTGTTAAAGCAGCTCTCTCCGCCCATATGTGTGAACTAGTTTGACAGGTGGTCTGTCCTTCTCCGGCTGAATCTACAGCCGATTGTAGTGAAAACACAGCGAACACAGAAAAGAAGGACGGGCTGCATCTCATTCCTCAGATTCTTACTGCAGGAAAAAAAAGACGCAGAACAACCAATGGGAGGACAGAGTTTTTAACCCCAAACACATTTGTGAAGCAGTTAAGTGTTCGTGGAAAACACAGAACCATAAACACTCAACATGAGTGAGGATTTCCTGCAGGATTAAAGAGTAAAGCAGGGATCATCTCTCTGAGTCGAGTTCATAAAGAGCGAGGAGAGAGATCAAACCTCCTCTCTGGGGATGTTGGAGGCAGAAAAATCTCTATAAATATCATACTTTTGTATGTGTGTAAATGATATTAAATGATTTTTTTATTAATATTTTGTATTTTGTTTATCAAAACTTTGCCAAAGTATTTGTATGATTCAGACAGCACACTGCCATCTTAAAGTCCAGTTTGTTTGAACACTTCTTTGGCCCTGGTATGCAGACGATTCCTCTCCATAATCATTTTCAACAAAAGTGAAAAAGGCTTTATGTTGGTCCGATGGCCGAGGTCGAGAGTTTACTAGAAATTTGGGCGGACAAGAATATTCAAAGTCATCTTGATAAAACCACTCGAGGTCTTTGGGAAAATCAGCGACTAGTTATAACATGGTGATGTGTTTACAAGAGGTTACCGTGGTACAGTCTGATAGGGCCTGGAGCAGTGTGAGTCCAGGCCAGCAGGGGGCTGAGAAAGGGGGAACAATCATGCTGCAGTACGGTAAGAGAAAGCAGAAACCTCCGGTCTTGAAAAATGAAGCTTCGTTGAGTGTCCACTAGAGGCTGGCTCCAGGAGCGCTGGAAGTCACATACACACCACAAGCAAAAAAGCTGTTTTTACAGCAAGAAATCAACATGTTTACAGCCTGGTACAAAAAATCAAATAGGTCTGATAAGTTATTGTCATGATGGCCACATACTGTACGGATCTTAAAGAACTTTTTGGAAAAAATTACAAATTTTCAGAGATAACTGTCAAACTGACAAATCAACTTTTAAATGTAGAAATGTCCACACGCCTTATTAATGAATAAATATCATTTTTCATATTTGTATTTGAAGAAGACTTTAAGCTCAGTCTTTTTATCTCCTTTATTCTTTGAAGAGAAAAAAAACAGTCTCAACGTCGGAGTAGAAGAATAAATGTTTGCTTTACAAATAGTTTTCAGTGTAATAATCATTATTTTCTTTGCTCGGCTCACAGAGTGACTGTTGACAAGAAGAAATCCTTTTGAGCAGCAGCTCGCCGTACAATGGTGTGTTTGTGGAGCTTGTAAGAGAAGAAGTGGAAGAACCGGTCCTCCTGTTTTCTGCCTTGTGGCTCGATGTTTAGAGAGCAGTAAACTTCAGGTCACACTTCAGAAGAGTGCAGCGGGAAAAGTCATGAACATGTATGCGAAAGGTTATGTTGTAAAAAGTGCCTGAAGATACTGAATTCAACTCTTCTGATCGAAGGCATGAAGAAAAGTCAAAGTGAATTTAGCTGTCATGATTTCTCTGCAATGAGCCGTGAGTCTGTGATGACATGTGTCAGCGTAGGGATCTGAATATCTGCAGTTATATTTCCTCTGACATGTGCAGGGATAGATAAGATCACAGCCGAGTCCAGACAGGTCCTGTGTGTGTGTGTGTGTGTGTGTGTGTGTGTGTGTGTGTGTGTGTGTGTGTGTGTGTGTGTGTGTGTGTGTGTGTGTGTGTGTGTGTGTGTGTGTGTGTGTGTGTGTGTGTGTGTGTGTGTGTGTGTGTGTGTGTGTGTGTGTGTGTGTGTGTGTGTGTGTGTGTGTGTGTGTGTGTGTGTGTGTGTGTGTGTGTGTGTGTGTGTGTGTGTGTGTGTGTGTGTGTGTGTGTGTGTGTGTGAAGAACAAAGTGTAAAGATGTTAGAAAACCTCATTAGCGGCTTCAGTTTCTAATAACACAACATTTCTTTTGATTTGTTAGCTTAGTGAGAAAATCCTGTTTACACTCAGAGGGGAGGGACACACCGCCGGGTCACTCCCATGAGGCCTCTTTCTCTCTTTAGCCTCCAAATTCCACAAATGGAGAGATTAAGAGCTGCTTGAGTGTTTCCTGAGTCCACCCTGCCTCACAGCCAGGGAGCAGTTTGACACCCACAATACTGCTCAAGAAAATAATCACGAGTGTTTCAAAGACGACGAGTATTTGACTTCCTACCCTCTCATGTGGGACGTTTGTCAAGTCTTTAGTTTTATTGTTACACTGTATAAATAAATGTCTGCTTTCACTTAGTAACAAAGGCTTAAACCTAATGTAGGGGCAAATGTGTTCACACCTTGATTTGTGACCTTAAGAAAAAAGGAGCATCAGAATCTTTTGCACAAGTACAACAAAATAAAAAGAAGAAGCCGCTCTCACATTCGGTGCTTCAGAAGCAACAGATAAAAAATAAACAAGTTTAAAATCGAACTGTGTCGTCCTCACAACCACCGCCGTCCTCAATCATGCACGTCCTGCTCCGACCTCCACCTCAGCATCGAGGAAGTGTGGACAACAGGAACAGGAGGAACACAAAGAAGGAATCCTTCCTACATATTATCTCATATGCTGTTTTGTAAAGCGTCTCGAGATAACACTTTTTATGAATTGGCGCTTTACAAATAAAGATTGATTGATTGAAAATACTGAACAATAGGGCTCGACTGATATGCAATAAATGTGTACATTTATTTCTGTCTATGTCTGAAGATTGAATATAGATTCACTAAAGATTGGCTGATGTATCAGCGTCAGATTATTTCTCTCCCGAGTATCCGTATCGGTCCCAAAAATGACATATCGGTCGTTCCTCAGTTATATTATTTCTCAAGCCGTCTCATGTATATGTTGCAGTAAATCCTCTGCAGCAGGATGAAGATCTCTCAAAGGGTTCTCTTCCTCGGTGATGTCAGAGCTGCAGCAGAGTAAGAGAAGTCCTCCACAAAACTACATGCAGATAAACTCTCTGGATCTGTTTTCAATCTGTGTCAGAGGAAAACCCCTCCGCTGATCCAGATGAGATCACTCGGACCATCTGGACTTCATTTTATCTGAGAGAAGTCAGGCCGAGGCTTCTAGTTTGATTTCCTACGTGAATCAAAGACATTTCAGCTTTTTGTGTCAGAAGTGGCAGCACAGACAATCCAACTCGCCATGCTTCAAACGGCTGCTATTACCACCTCACTGCCATGTTTGGTTTTCATATCTTGGTGTGTAGACAAACTTTGGTTAGTGCGCATTAGCAGCAAATTAACACAAAAATGGCCGCTCCAATAGGGCCGCAGGAAGTGATGAGTAAAAAACTTTGGGGCAGAAAAATTAAAAAAGGAAAGTTTAGCAATGAATCTAAACTCTAACTTTTGTTTTAAAAAAAAAATGTTTTTGGTGCTTTGGTGTCTTTATAAGAGAGACAGGACGGTGGATAGAGAAGGAAATCAGGGAGACTTTCAGTGACAATCTAACCTGTGCGTGTGTGTGTGTGCATGTGTGTGCGTGTGTGTGTTTGCAGGGAGGAGGTGCAGCAGAACTGCGTTCGATGGAGGAAGAAGTTCTCGTTCATTTGTAAAATGAGTGCGAATCCCATCAGCGGCGTGTTGGATCCCTGCATCTGCAGAGTCTCCGTGCGCAAGGTAAACTACAACTCCCAGCAGCCACCTCTGCTCGGACTCTCCTGTTAAAAACACATATTTGGGGCTTTATTTGGGGCTTTTTATGCCTTTCTGTAGAGATAAGACAGCGGAGCTCCAGGTGGGATTCTAACCTGTGCCCCCCGATAGGATGACTATAGCCTCCATACATGGGGCACGCACACTAACCACTAGGCTCCAGCCCTCAGTAACTTGATTAATGTACTCATCTTTACCCTGGATAATGAAGCACATTGCAGCTCTATGATTTTCCTGCATCAAGCTGCTTTTAAGATAAATAATGACAAACGTCCCGCGCTGTAAACTCATCATCAAACTGTTTCTTGTTCCCTTATTACTCACTTATACATCCAGTAACGTTGACACCCTGCTTCTTTATGCAGGAGTGATCACTTTGCATGTTTGATGTTTGTCACAGAGCAGCTGTGTCGAGGTCGACCTCCAGGTTTCATACTTGCACCATGTGATGTGTTCATGGATACGACTGTACAGCTGCTGGTAGCAGTTTCTTACTCGCTCATGATTTAGTTTCTCTTTGTGTTCGCAGGAGCTCAAAGGAGGGAAGACCTTCTCAAAGGTACGTTTATTTTCTGATGTTAGAAAACCCTCTGAAATAGAAATAAACTCAATGCTCATGTTGAATCCAGGTCGTTCTGTTTGTGTTCCACTTTAAACCTGTGAGCTCGTAAAAAGTTTGAAGTGCCCTGCGTCCCTTTATAACACATTTACAGAGTCACTGATGTTAAAGTTACACAAACTGTGTCAACATCACACGGTTCAGTTCCGGCAGCATGTGACGGGGCAGTCAGAGGGCAGTAAGGAGTGTGTGAAGTGTGTTTACAGCAGTGTGTGTGTGTGTGTCCTGTAGGAATTAGCTGTTTGAGCGACACAAGACTTCACATGTTTGTGATAAAATGAGCAGCCTTTTGATTCTCTGATATTAAGGTGAGAGCAGTGCGTTTAGGACTTTTGTTTCTGGATCGGCCGATATGTGCGGTGTCTTTAAAAACCTCCAGACGCTCACACACTCCACAGACGGTGAACCCTCCAGTGAGCGATTGTGCCGACTGGGCAGAAAAACGCATGAATGAGGAGGTTAAAGGAGGTCACCGACTCCTCGGAGAAAGTCAGCGCCGTCTGTTTCTCCTCATTCACTTCCTCACTGGACAGATAGTAACAGACATGATAGAGAACACATATTATGAATAAGATGTAGAACAACAGAAGAAGAAGAGACATATCTGCTGAGTCGGAATTGTGAGGGAAGAACTAAAAATAATTGAAGCAGACTAAAGTCACACTCTATTGTTAAAAAAACTGTATAGCGTCTTAAATCTTATTATCTGTTTGTCTCGTGTGTGTGTGTGTGTGTGTGTGTGTGTGTGTGTGTGTGTGTGTGTGTGTGTGTGTGTGTGTGTGTGTGTGTGTGTGTGTGTGTGTGTGTGTGTGTGTGTGTGTGTGTGTGTGTGTGTGTGTGTGTGTGTGTGTGTGTAGCTGGGTTTTGCTGATCTCAACATGGCAGAGTTTGCTGGTTCAGGCTCAGTGCGCTGCTGCATCCTGGAGGGTTACGACACAAAAAATACCCGACAGGACAACTCTATCCTGAAGGCAAGACACACACACACACTCACACACACACACACACACACACACACACACACTGAACTAATCAGCAACAGTAATGTAACACATCTTTGTTTGTTTTCAGGTGATCATTGGAATGACTCTTCTGTCCGGGGATCCCTGCTTTAAGACGTGAGTAACTCGAGCTCTCTTTAGAGCCTCTTGTTGTTTACATGTTTGGAAGCTAACTCCATAAGACGTTTGCAAACTGTACGTTAAAGGTGGAGTCAGTAGCAGCTTGTAAACACAACATTGAAACCGGACCGCTCATCACCCCCCAGAAGCTCTCCTCCCTGCAGGAAGTAGTGTGTACGTTTACTGCTTGTACCTACACTGCAAGCTAACGCACGCTAGCACAAGCTAACTGCCGGCGTATGTCACCTGCCTGTCCAACAGGAAGTAGACCAACTCCACGTCTGTGGGTGAAAGCCAACATTTGTTTCTTCTTTGCCGCTACCTACACGTCCGTCATATTCACTGGTTTGAATCGAGTCCAATCCCTGAATTGTATCCACTCCTACACTCACCTGCTGCGCTGTCATTGGCTGGAGGAAACACACCACCTCCTCGTCCAGAAACATCCCGAGTCAACCAGAACAAAGCAGAACAGTAAAATCCAGTCAGAGAACAGAGTCTCTGCAGACACAGTCACCAGCACACATGTACGGAGGCCCAGAAGGGACGATGGAGCAGCTTCACTTTAGGAGAAGTCTGTATTTTATTTTGAAGGAACAAGCTGCTGACTCGACTGATCGTTGACTTGTATTAATGCATGTAAGTCTGCAATACTGTGATGCTGAAGAATCCTATAAAAATGTGATGATGAAGAAGCACATTCTGGCTGAATTGTCCCTTCAGATTATACATGTGTCTGAATTTCTGTTCTTGGTTTTCTCAGACTGGCCCACATGTGTAAAATCAAAAGTAATGTTTCTGATCTTCCCCATCAGGCCTCCCAGCACAGCCAAATCCATCTCCATCGGGGACCAGGACCCGACCCTGCAGCTGGACTGTAAGGGAGAGAGCACCGAGGCGTCAGCGCCGACACGAGGAAGCTTTAAGGAGTCTCCTCGCTCCTTCAAACCCAAACAGTTGTCAGTACGCAGCGCAGGTAACTTGGCGACGCCTTTTCCCAATTTTCTCTAAAAAAACTGGACATTAAAGGAAACTACAGATCTTTCTAAGTTCTGTGAGAAAAACAGACAGTCAGATTGTAGAAGAGATGTAAACAACATCTAAAGCACTATAGCCTCTAAGCCCTAACTCTGTGTTAATATGGTTTATGCATTTTGTTGGTTATGAGGTCACAGTTTCTGGAAAGAGAACATTTGTGGTTTGTGTCCGGCTGCAGACTTTTGATGCAGGTCTTTCTTCCTCTCTCTCTCGTCTCCTCATCCTTTACGGTTTCAAACACTTCTGTGGGATCTGGAAAAATTGACCTGGTAACCTTAAAGAGAGAGAGTGATCGATGGAGGAAATTAAAAGTGTGTGTGTGTGTGTGTGTGTGTGTGTGTGTGTGTGTGTGTGTGTGTGTGTGTGTGTGTGTGTGTGTGTGTGTGTGTGTGTGTGTGTGTGTGTGTGTGTGTGTGTGTGTGTGTGTGTGTGTGTGTGTGTGTGTGTGTGTGTGTGTGTGTGTGTGTGTGTGTGTGTGTGTGTGTGTGTGTGTTCTGCAGGTCTGCCTGAGGAGGGAGAGTGTGTGTCCAGTCCAGACGACGTCTTTCACTCCGGTCATGTCCGCAGCTCGAGCTACGCCAGCCAGCACAGCAAGATCTCAGGTCAGAGAGACGCTTCCTCCTTACTCATTTTAGCTTCAATGTGACTGACAAGAACTCTTGATTCTGATTCGCTGCACAGTGTCAATTAAGGAAGGAAAGTAAGTTTTACGAGGTGTCCATTATCAGGGTGTTTGGACTACATGGCGGCTTGAATAGCTGCTTCATTTTGGGTACCGTCTGATATAAAGTCAGCAAAATCATTTATATAGTTTAACCAGTTTTACTAAAGTTGCTTCAGAAATAAAAAATAATTTGACTTCAAGATGAAAAATTGGGGGAATGGATGGCCGGGGCGAACGACGATTTATGAGGCGACTTGTAAGATGTGTAAAGAAACGTTTAAATGTGAATTCATTAATTAATGAAGGCTCCTTCATTAACTCGTCCAACATGAATTCTGGTGCAGTAATGGTAATAACTTTCTTTGTTTGGGTCAGTTTGAGTTTGAAAAGATTCTTTTTCATTAATCTGAATCCAGGTTACAGCACAGCTCACTCTCGCTGCTCCAGCATGAACGACCTCAGTCACCATAGAAACGCCTCCTCCAGCAGCAGTGCGTCCTGCGGCCTCGCCCACCCCTCCTCCCCCTACTCCTCTTCTACCCAGCCGCCTCCCTCCACCCCCACCGAGGCTCCTCAACAAGCCACGCCCACGAAACCAGAGAGACCTCCCCCACCCTCTACAGCGGCCCTCATGTCCAACAGATCCTCCAGGTACACACACACACACACACACATACACACGCACACACACCTGCCCCTGCATGTTTTCAACAACACGTCTTGTCATGTGTCATGTGTTGCGTGAGGCATGTCTGGACATCATACTGATAACAGTCTCGGGTTGAATCTCAGGTATGTGTAAACTACATGCCACACATTCTCCAGGACTTCATCGCGCTCTGAGAGGAGTGTGTGTTAGCGTGCTCTCAGACACAAAAACAAGAATGACGGCTTCCATCTGCTGCTGTCACTGAGCTGCTGTTAGAGTTCAGTCAGAAAACTCACGTTTGAAGGGCTAACTGCAGCAGCAGAACAGAGTCTGACTTTGGCGTCTAGGCTCCAACATCATTACTCCTTATTACTCGAGGAGTGATGAGGCCACGCCCCCCCCAATACTACATCACTTAAACACATGAGTTGTTTGAAAAGTCAGCCCGTACAGTCGTCATGAAGAGAGAAATGAGCTCTAGAGACCCAAACTGTTTTTGTACCAGGATGTAAACATGTTTATTTTAACATGGAGCTCTATGGGGACTGACTCACTGCAGGAGACAGACTCTAGTGGACACTGGAGGAACTGCAGCTGTTAAGTTGGACATTTTTCAGATTTGGTTGCTGCTTGATTTGCAAAAGAAAGTTAACTTGTATTCGGCTATTTGTTATTAGAAATCAACTCAGTCTGCTCATTAATATCTCCAGACGTCTCCTTTAAAACGTGATATGAATCTCTTCCACCAGGAGGAAGAAGGACAGCGTGCAGCGGCAGCCGAGCTGTGTGGACGACACTCGAATCGACGCGGACGACATTGTGGAGAAGATCATCCAGAGTCAGAACTTTTCTGAAAGCAGCAACAATGAAGGCAGGAGATACTGTAGTTTCAGTCTGAAGGATTTTCTTCCAGCACGACATGTTGTTACAGTTTTGTCTCTTTGTTTCTCTGCAGTCAGCAACCTGAGACTGTTTGTCAGCAAAGACGGGACGACTGCGCTGAGCGGGACACAGATCGCCAACAGGTACACTCTTCATCCTGTTAGCCTCACCTTCACATTTGATTTAAGCTGTAAGTATGACGGGTTTGTGTTTCTGCAGAGGAACTCCTGGTGCTTTTGAACCGGTCGTCATCGAGACTCACTGACAGAAGCGTCACCTCGTCTGCAGCCTCGTCCACTGGTTCACTATTCTGTGACGTCTGATTGTCCAACTGTGTTTGTGCAAGTACGAGGAAAGACGCCGTGCATACACGTCTCAGTGCACATAGCTTGAAATAAGACTACTATGATATGTAGATATTTATCCTTTCTAGTATATTTAATAAGGTGGTGGGAGGTGTAGTATTGTATCTTCTCAAATAGTAGAAGGGACTTTCTTTACAAAGAGGTCCAGGCCGTCCTGGTGGTCTGAGTCCGCAGTCCAGGAAAGACAGTTAGCAAAGTGAAAGCAATGTCAGAGGTGAATGAAAACACCTTATTAACACAAAACACCAAAAATATGTGCAAACATGTGTAATTCAAAGGGTTGAATTAATGCAAGTTATAAGACTGCTGCTGTGTTTTGGTGTTAAAGGAGCAATATGTAACTCTGACACCTAGTGGTTAAAATGGGTACTGCAGTCTGATTTCTAAACATCATAGAGAGCTGTCTCCACGCCCCCTCCTCTCTAGAGTCGATGCTCACACAGGTCACCATGTGGTGGACACTGAAGCTTCAGTGTTTATCCAGCTCTGCATCGGTCTGTAAACCTTTCTGTGTTCTAACCTCTCTCCATTTTTCAAAAGCATCTCCAATATTGATCCTAGTTTGAGCACGTTTCTGCTCGTGGAGCTTATTAGAAACATGCAGAGGCTTTTTAGGTCGAGTACAATCACTTCTATCTGAACCACTTCTCTTGCCCGCTTCCATCACTGCAACACCTGTTGACCTGATAACTGCTCTCATATCTGGCAAACTGAGGGGCGTCCAAAACGGCCGTGTGGGGGTGCCTTAAAACCGCCTACCTTCTCTGGTCCAAACAAATCCAGATCATTCAGGACCAGAATCTAAAGTTAGAAGGAGGACATACTGGCTGCTGCATTGTTGTCAGAGAAGTCAGCACTTCAACATAGCATGTTTCCTTAATGTCTGATCAGATAGTAAGATCACTTTATCATTTAATTTACTACATGTCTTACAGATTGCTCCTTTAATGTGCCTAAAATGGGGAAAAGGGAAACCAAAGCACACACAATATCAGCAGAAATAACTAAACATCATGTCCTGATAATAATTATTGAGTTTTATGAGATTGAATAGTGATGATTTATTTAAACTGGGCGTGTTTCTAAAGAGTCTTTGTTTCAGGAGGTTTCTATGAAGACCAGTGAAACTTTGACCAGCACTAAGTGCACAAGTTACTTGAACAATACCCTGAAGACCGATGCATTGTGGGAATTATAGTGTGACACTGAAATAATGGTGCGTTCAGGAAGGCTTCGTAAATTTGTAAATTTGACTGTTATTGAGATAAACTGCATCAGGAGGGTTTTACCTGATCAGATATGAAACACAGAAACAGAACAGACATGTTTTAAATCAGTGTTTTAACTCCTGGAAATTATGAATCATGATTTTAATAATCAAAATGATTCTGTGATTATACGAGTTGATGAGGAACCCCCTAGTGCAGCCAAGAGAGGCTCTTACCAACGACAGACTGGAACTGAAGCTTTACTTATTTTATTATATTTGATGTAAATTACTTAAACGTACTTATTTGAATATTTTGCACACGTGTTCTCCTTGGGGACGATTGTTATGTACCACTAAAAGGAAACGGAGATGGGATGATTCTCCTAAACGTCTTGCTCAGTTTTTCCTCTTTTGCATGTTTTTATTTTAACGTTGTGAAACTACAAAACGTAGTTTGTTATTCTTTCTGCACAGACGTGTCGTGTGTTCGTATGGCTGGCCATGTGTAACTGTCTGACCTCTGCACTTCTTTGTTCACTCTTTGACTTTACTCGCTCGTGTAATTTGCGGGAGGTTTTCTTTTCTTTTGGAAATTTTTCATAATTTAAGGTACAATCTGTAAGAACACACAGATTAGCTCAGAGTCCGTGTGAAGCAACAAAAATATTATTCTTTGAGGTTTTTTATACCACAGAAGACGTATAACTGTATAAAAATGTAGTTTCAAAATCATGAAAATTTGAGGGCGACAGCATCCTAGTGCTTAGTGCGCACGCCCCATGTATGGCTGTAGTCCTCCAAGCGGGCGGCCCGGGGTCTGACGCGACCTGTGGCTCCTTTCCTGCATGTCATTCCCCACTCTCTCTCTCTCTCTCTCTCCCAAAAATAAACCTTAAAAAATGAAAAGAAGAATTTATGCAGGTTTTCTGCTCTGGGACGCAGTGGTCGGTTTGTTGAATTCTTCAAGACCCCGCCCACTTGCTTGAAGGACACACCTCTCAACTGTCAAACACTGCTACTTAAATTCTAGTGTTGCAGTACTCAAACGGCATGGTCTCAAGACCACTTTTTGAAGGTCTCGGTCTTGTCTCGGTGTCAGACTGGGAGGACTCCGGATTTTAAATCAAGACTGGTCAAGACCACCACTGAGAGGCTATGTTCCCACGTTATTACTGTGATGAGAAGAACAACTCTTTCTGAAAGAGCAAATAACTTCAATCATAATTAGATTTGTGTCCCCCTTTGATTGACGCAACCTTCCTGGTGTTACGGTCTAAGTGAGTGACACGCCCCCTAAACACAAGATGATGTTTTTTATTGATGAATGACAGCCTACATTCGCTCTCCTTGGAGCTCTGTTTTGGTCTCCACCAACCTCTGAGAATCTGACCGATTGCCTTTTGATAAAAGATGGTGTCAGCCAGTTTGATCCAGATAACTGGGTCTAATGAGAAGAACACAAGCCTCGTGTTTGTTTTCACAACCACTGCACAGTTTTTACCATAAACTCCAACCGTTGCACTTTGTAGTTTTTAGACAGTTTTTGTGTTTTTTACTTCAACATACTGACTAGAAATCGTCTGTTTTTTTTTCCGGTTCATAGTTGAACATTTTGTGTGTCTGTGTGTCGAGGGAGTGCTGATACTGTCGCTGTGTTTGTGCGGGCCGCACTGAGGTCAGTCCCACAGCTGCAGCAGCACAAAGCCTCCGTTGTCCTCCGACAGACAATTGACCATATTCACTGTTTTCCTCCGACATTGTGACCATGTGGGAAGCTCAGATTCTGGTGGAATGTTGTCGTGCTGTGTTCAGGGTTTAAGTTCTTTAAATTAAGGATGTCCCATTCTGATGGGACTTCAGGCCATAGTCTATGAAGTCAGGTTGTTTAGCCTGGAACAAAGCAGTATGCCGCTATATGAGAATTTAAGCTTCCCACCCTAAGCGTGACATCAGAGGTAAATATACATTACACCCCCCTCACCTCACAGACACACTGTGTGTGTGTGTGTGTGTGTGTGTGTGTGTGTGTGTGTGTGTGTGTGTGTGTGTGTGTGTGTGTGTGTGTGTGTGTGTGTGTGTGTGTGTGACTGTCAGTCTGTTAGTTTGAAGGTACCACTACATGTGAGGCTGATGTTTGCGTCTGGTACTGGAGAGTAATGTCTCTGTGTTTTTCAGACCAGCAGGCTGGTCCAAAATGTTTATACATGAGAGTCAACGTTTGTCGGTGACACGCGGCTGAATGATGATGTCACAGCGACGCTTTGCTTTAAATAAGGGAACTTTTAACGTACTGTGATTTATTCTTTAAATGCGTACATATTCGATGTCTTTGTGTTAGCATCTTAATGTTTCTGTGGTGAAAGTTTTTTTTTTTTATTCCTGATCATTTGAAACTAAACTGAATAATTATCTCTGTGTTATTCTGCATTTATAGATGTTTTATGTACAGAGGACAGCGATTCAGTGAAAAAGAATAAATAAACTATATAAACTTTTATAATTTATCAAAGGTTGTAAATGTACCGTCTTTTAGAATAAATAAATATAAACACGTTAGATGAACAACATTCAGTCATGAATTTAAAATGTGACTCTTTTTTTTTTTTCACCAAACAAATCTAACTCCATTTTAAAGAAATGTTTGTCCTAGTGTTCAAATGTTGGGGATTAAATGTTGAAGTTGCCTCGTGGTTTTGTGATGTCTTTAAATTGTCCTTTTAAATAGCTGTATGTAAACGTCGTCGGTGTCGGAAGGAGATGAAACGTAATCTTTCGACAGACATGCCAAATAAAATGGAAAAGTTGAAATCATCAGAGTCATCGTTCTTTAATTTATGAGGATTAATTTAATTCTCAACACATTCTGCACCCGCCTGCAACCCCACCTCTTTACAATGGACCTTCACGGAGCACCAGGTCTGCTACACAGATCTACTGACCCCTGAAGCTGCCCTGTTACTAAAACCTTACCTCTTTGGTTCTCCTCTGCATCGAGGCACTAAGTGACCCAGCAGCCTGTATTAACCTTCATCAGTCCAGGGAGAAGATCATTGCTGCCCTGTTTAAGAACCTAAATTCCACCAACAATGAACTATTATTATGTTCTTATTAAGACATGAAACCTAAACATAATCATATAAAAACATGTATATTTGTGTGTATCCTTCTTTAACGTATTTATCTGTTTTCGTGCACCATTTCCCGCCTTTTCCTCAGAGTCCTGACTTGATTTTTAATGCCTGTTTTATTTCTTATCAATTTCTTTATTTCAATTCAATTCAATTCTATTAAATTCTATTTCAATTTCTTTATTTTAAATAACAGAGGTTGCACTTGTTTATCGTTTCTCTTCATCTCCCTCTGCTGGCTCCCAGTTTCTACTCGCTTCAGATTTAAAACTCTGCTGCTCAATTACAAAACAGCCACAAAAACAGATCCTCCTGACCTTTTGTGTGTCACTCATTCCTACATTTCACACATGGACATTACTTGTACTGGGGACCCCACCGGGACAGAGGAGGGGTCCCCAGTCTGTAGCACAGTTATTTAGGGGTCCCCTGAAATGTTTGGAAACCCCCTGCTGTAGTGGACACGAAGATGCTGCAAAGATGCAGAAGTCCTTTAACCATGTTAAAGTGTGCTGTGCGGGTCCGCCAGCAGAGGGCAGCAGAGACCTTCAGATACATCCCGCCCGCCGTATTTACAAACCAGAAGAAGAACAGGAAACGTCAGCACCAGCACACTCTTCAGAAATGGTAAGAAAATAATCAGATTAAACTAAAACAGGTGAATTAAAGTTGGATTTTTTGGGTTACAACTCAGCTTTAGATAGTTAGCTTTATCTCTTTTGTGTGTCGGACCTGAAAATGAAGCTAACTCACAGTAATTAAAGCTAATCTCACCGGTTGTGTGAAGCATTTTAATAACACAAATCTTTAAATATAGTTTGATATTTGATGAGTACACGCAGCCTTTCGTATCAGTCTTTGTCTTCTGGTATTCTTTATTTATGTAGAGAATCCCTGCTAAATAATGTGATTGTTTACCCAACTTGAAAACATCTTGAATCTCTCCATATTCCTGTGATAGTCACTCTTAAAGTCAAATTAAAACGTCTAAAAATTATCTTAATAATAATTTTCTTTAAGCCGAATTTAGAAGAAAGCCTTAATAATTCAGTATTTAATGTGACTGATGTGTCGCATGTGAATATTCACAGATAAACCAAAGAAATGTTAATTCTTCATAAATTTGAACGATGTTTGGTGTGACCCCGGATTGTATTGCATTAGCCTGTCAAACCAGCTTTTTAATGATGAGCTCCCAGTCCTCTTATTGGAGGGTAAACAGACGACACGTGTGCTCTTTAGGAAGGTGGGATTATAAGGTAAAGGGAGTTATTTTAATCGATACGATAAATGTTTAAAAAAAAAAAAATCATTATTATTTTATAATATGTCAAAGTTTATTTATGAAGTACTTTCCAAAACAAAAAAATCCCAAAATACAGAAAAATAAAGTCCCAATGAAACCCTAAAATAAAAACAAGAATGCAGCAATAAAACAAGAAGAAATAGAGAATAAAATGAACAAATAAAAAAGGATTTGAGGAAGGCCTTTTGATTAAAATAACTCTTGTGGCTGCCGGTAGCCTAGTGGTTGTTGCACACACCCGATGTACACAGGCTGTAGTCCTCCAAGCAAGCCACCTGTGGCTCCTTTTATTGCTTATCATTCCCCACTTTAGGGGCAGCTGTGGTTCAGTGGTAGAGTCGGTCGTCTCTTAACTGGAAGGTCAGGGGTTCAATCCCCAGCTCCTGCAGCCACACTACTTATGCTGCAGAAAAGCAACAAGCAACACACTCCAGGAGTGCCTTTGTTTTGTTAGCCAATACCAGACAATAACAAGACATTATAATAACATGACAACATCTCCACAGAGAGAACTTGCACAATGCCATCGGTGTGATTGATTTAATTACATAAAAAGACGACTAAGCTGCTAATAAACTCAACAGTTGCAGCTTCAACATCCCTGTTGATGCACAGAGCAGCCATGTTGGATTAGAACTCAGAAGATTCTCAGAATTTCTGAGTCTGATTTCCCACTTCAGAGGTGCTGATGACGTATCAGACTGGCAACTCGGAATTTCCGATTTCCGAGATCAAATGGACCGCAGCATTAACCCCAAGTTGCTCTGGCTGCCTTATCCGGCGGCGTGTGAGTGTGTATGATTGGGATAAGTTAATACTGCTGACCACTTTACAGGCCAGCCTCTGCCATCGGTGTGTCGGTCATCACTCCCGTCCTGTGGAGCTTATAGGGTGTTTATTAAAACCTGTGTATTACCTTGTACTGAGTAAATCCCCCTCCAGCCTCCTTTATATATTTCCCTGTTTCTGAAAGTATTTTTATTCTTCATCACTTATGTAAAAACCAAAGTCCTTCTTCCAAATGATCCTCAGATTCATGCAGATATTTCTATAACCCACTAAAGGTTTTATAAATAACAACTACTACTACGTGTGCCAAATCAGGTATTTCCACCTAACTTAGTGACACACAGTTTGTCATGTGAAAGTACGTCCAAAGATATGTCCAGTTCATGCTTTAATTACTCTTCAGACAAAATCAAATGACTCAAAATACTTCTCCTGCTCTTTCCCCCTTCTGCTTTAGAGAAAGACATGAGTCACATGAGAACACAATATTATCAACCACAGCTTTAAATGGGCGAGTTAAAGGTAAATTTACTCATCCAGACTTATACTTAGGTTGTGAAAAAATACTTTCTATGTTTCTTTTTTTTAAAACTGAGACATGTGGTGAGGCTGAAAGCGTGCAATTAAAATACGTTTTAGAGTGTAATTGATAAGGGCTTTAAACATACGAGAAAGGATGCTTTTGTGATGCATTATGGGAAATGTACGATCTGAGCCTCTGCTGCCTGCTTTACTTTTAAGACGGGTGTGGCAGTAGCTCGGTCTGCAACAACTTGGGTTGGGAACCAGAGGGTCCCTGGTTCATGTCCTGGTGTGGATTGAGCCAGGCAACTGGTTTTCTTGTAGCTGTTTTTCCTCATCTTCTTCTACTTCTAACTTTAAACTGTATGTGCCCCCGTAAACTGGTACACTCACAGTATACAAGACACAAAACAATGCTGCCAGTTTGAAGAGCATCCTGAGCGGTTTTTACACCTGCACTCCTGAAGTTATCTAGAAAATTTCACAACAGCCTGCCCACAAAAAAAAGAACATTGACAGTACCCAACAGTGACCTCCAGGCTAGTTTTGAGCATACTGATCCTTTAGTTCTTGGTTATTGTTAACAAGGTTTTTTTTTTTTTGCGAGAGCCAAATAATCTGCAGATGTCTTCCTCTCTCCAAAACAAATAAACATGGAGGTTAAAATCTGTAAACTATAAATGAAAAAGATTCATGATTCAAATCTTTGAGGCTGTTTGTCAGAGATGCAGGACGGCGAGCTGAGCTGTCTCTAACTTTACCTCTCTCTCTGACTCAAATCTGTCTTGTATGTCGAATATAGTTTGATACAAGATGTTTCAAAAAAGCTTTGACTCGGACAGGACGCGCACAGTCAGAAAGTTGTGGGCTGAAAATGTTTAAATGTCAATCAGCTGAAGTGTATGTCTGCTCTGTGATAGGCTGTTAAATTCAGTCATATCCTGTTAAATATATCAAGTTACTGACACACCCCATATTGAGATTGTTTGACCTCCCAGCAGCGTTCACAGTTATCCTCAAATCTTTCAAGTTTTTCCTGCGAAAATATTAAAATGCCTCCTCTTCACCAGGTGTTAAACTTTTGTTTTCAGGCAACAGGAGTGGATCAAGCAGTGGGCATGAGTCTGGTGGTCTTCAGCCTTGTGCTGTTTACATATTACTCTGTGTGGGTCATCGTCCTGGTAGGTTCTGTTCATTTTAAACATCCAACAACCAATTACAGACCCTCATTTCAATGTCAGGCTTGTTTTGATGAAAGAGAGTTGAACTTTAAAGGTCACATAGTCTGTAAAATCCACTTCACCATGTTCCTCTAACACAAACATGCGTCTCTAGTTCGTCTACAAACCCCCCAATGATGAGAAAAGTCCATCCTCTCCGTCTTTTGCCTGCTCCACTTTTCAGAAAATGTGTGCTCAAACAGGCCGTTTGGCGATTTTCCCTTCATGACATCACAAAGGGCAGTAGCCTCTCCCCCAGGTGGGTGACACTCCCACAGCTAGGTGTTTGTTCTGCCCTCTGAGTCTGCCTTCTCACCGTAAACAATAGGACATGGAGCGAGAAAGCCCGAGACACCAGAGCCCTTCCAGAGAGGGGCCGTGGTCAGACACAGCTCATTTACATATTTAAAGGTACAAACACAGAAACAGCCTGTTCTGAGCAGGGCTGAAATAGAGGGGTTTATAGACATGATCAAATACAGTATCAGAGTGGATTTAGAACAAGAAACTTCACACACATGTTTTGAGGAGCTCTGAGACTTCTTTACACTGGTTGAAGAGGAGAATATGTGACCTTTAAGTCAATCACATGCAGACGTTTCAGACGTCTTTAAGATTTTAAATCTTTTACTCCTTTATATCTTCTTATCATTTCCTCTGTCACCCCTGCAGAAAACTGTTTGGTCTGAGATGTATGATGTTGTATTTTTTCCTCCTCCAGCCTTTCGTGGACAGCGGTCATGTGCTGCACCAATACTTCCTTCCTCGGGAGTATTCAGTCATTCTGCCGGGCATCGCAGCAGTAATACTGCTCCTCTGTATAGGTGAGTAGACTGTTGTCTGGTTCTGAGAGGCTTTAATATTTACCTGGTTTATGTTCAGCAATGGTTTTTAGGTTGATAACCTTCAGACAAAAGACAATCATCCTCTTCAAATTAACAACAAGAAAACAGAAAGAACAAGAAAAAAACTCATCAGATTAAAAATGTCCTGGCCATGACAGGCAGCAGCACAAATCATTTCAGACCAACAACAAGCAGCCAACAAATACAATATATAAAGAATATTATTCAACATTAAAGGCAGGGTTGGTCATTTTCAAAAACTAGCATGATTTTGAAAGTAGCATTCCCTCAGTGTTCCGTCTACACCTCCTCCCCTCTGTGCTCCCTCTAAAGCCACGCCCCCTCACTTACATGCTCGAGCGCCGTTGCTCCAGAAGTGGACCTCAGCTCATCGCTTTCAGTGTGGGCGCACGCAAGAGGTAGAGAGCGAGCAGGGAGACAAGGAGGCATGTGATTGGTTCATCAGATTGGTACCTCGTGGCAGACATTGGTCGAAGTTTTTACAGGCTTACAACTGATACAGATGATGGATTTTCTTTGTTCCTTTTTTAGAGAACATGAGTTATTAATTTCTGTCAGGACCTAAAGACAATTTCTACCAAAATCTTAAAAAGTGGATCTGGAGGAAATTACCAACCCTGCCTTTAAAATCAAGATAAAAATCTCTATAAACGGTGTCAGCTGGCATAACGGCAAACAGAGATAATGTAATGTCATCTAAATGTATGTTTTCCTGTCACCTAATTCAAAGTTAACGCTGTTCTTTCTTTCTCCACAGGGGCCTTCACTGCAGTTATTATGTGGAAGAGTCGCAAACCAAAGAAAGTGGACTAATCTCAGGACGTTAGCATGACTGTCGTTGAATAAATAATGTGAAAACTCCCTCGACCAATCACACCTTGGGTCTCTAAAAAACTCCCCCTGAAAGGTTTCTATTTACTAGGTTCATTCTGTTGTAAAGAAGAGATTTATTTTACATCTAGTTTCTACTATTTGGTCGGTTTGTTATAGAAAATAAATCTGTTTTAAAAACCATTATGTTTCTATTTTAAAGTAGAATATTTGTGTTGATAGCAAACAGAGACTGCATCAGGGTTGTCCAGTTTTTCCTGGACAACCCTGGGAAGAAGAACTTTAAAGGAGCAACATGTAACTCTGATACCTAGTGTTTAAAATGGGTTTAATAATTTAATTTGCAGTCCAAATTCTAAACATCATCGAGAGCTGTCTCTCCCCCTCGGTTTGTCAGATCATACCAAAACGGCCGTGTGGGGGTGCCTTAAACCCGCCTACCTTCTTTGGTCCAAACAAATCCAGATCATTCAGGACCAGAATCTAAAGTTAGAAGGAGGACATACTGGCTGCTGCATTGTTGTCAGAGAAGCCAGCACTTCAACATAGCATGTTTCCTTAATGTCTGATCAGATAGTAAGCTCACTTTATCATTTAGTTCAGTAGATGTCTTACATGTTGCTCCTTTAATGGTCACAGTGAATATTTGGCACTTTTGAAGGCTTTTTGTTTATCCAGTAGTTTTGATAGACTCACAGATGCAGATTGTTTGATCTGCTGTTTTCATGTCTTAGGTAATTAAGGGAGTTTATAAATTTCATGTCCAAACACTTCACTCCTGTTTTGAAAATTTCCTCGACATACACCCCTGTATACGGCGTTGTTTCCCATGACCACATGGCCCAGTTTGGAGTCTATCAAGTGTCGACTTTCTCCGTTCCTCAGAAAGTAAAGGATTAAATATTTCCACTTGAGCAGAATGTCATCCTTTGTTTTTGTTTTTGAGTGACTCAGTTTGTTTCTTCGTCATATACTTTAACTCTCTCGGATTCTCTTGAAGCAGAATATTTCCTCTTATCTTGTGACTGATTGTAAATGTGTAACAGATGAAACCCCAGACGGAGTTAATGGGCATACCCAAATCTCTGTTTATGGCTCATAAACGTTTTAGTTATACAACCTTTTTGGTCCACAAACTACCCACAATGCATCATCATTCTCTGTTGAGTTTCACCATTTTCTCTGGATTTGAAAAGAATACTTTTTGTTGTGAATATTTTCTGTCCTCAAATCTTGCATTGAACATTTTTTTTCTTCTACATTCTGAGCAATAAGGGTATAAAAAGTAGAAAGTGGAGCGTGAGTCACAATGCATCATGGGTCTTACATACTGTAAATAATGGGACACGTCATTTTTTGAAAATGTGATTGGTGTTAAAAGTTAAATGCTTTGACTAAACCAGCGTTCTGTCCATCATGAACTCTAGCAAGGCTGAAAATGTGTGTATAATAAAAATTATCAGAAGCTAAATCAGCTGTTGTCCGTTTTTTTAAAGAGTTGGGTCCATCCACTGTAAATATGAATGTTTGAAGCCTGAGTGATGTCACCCATCTGTTCCTGCAGGGGGCGCTGGAGTCCCATCGATGGCAGTCTCCATGCTGGAAATGCTGTCTCAGTCTAACTTTCAGTCAACCTAACAACAGGCTGAGAGCTGGAGCTGAGGCGGGTTTTAAACCTCCTGACAAACCGTTACACCGCGCCCGCCTGTCAATCATGTCAGCTACACGCCTTATTGTGAATAACTCTTATCCTTCATCAAATCAAAACTGATGAGTCATCAAAACATTCACCCCCCCGTACAGTGTGTGTCGATCGAGACATGAGCTAATCAGACCTGTTTGGTTTTTTGAACCAGGCTGTAAACATGTTCATCTCTGCTGTAAAAACAGGATTTTTTGAATGGGTGTGTATGTGACTTCCTGTACTTCTGCAACCAGCCTCTAGTGGACACTCGAGGAACTGCAGGATTTTGCACTTCCGCCTCGGCTTCATTATTCAATACTGGAGGTTGCAGCTTGGTCAGTTCATTTTAAAGACCGTTTAACAAGTTGTTAAACCACAAACACCATCCTGTTTCTGTGTTTGCTCTCTACTTCCAACAAGTAAAGAAGAAGACGAGAAGAAAAAGCTAAAAATCCTGTTTGCTGACTCTCTGTGTATTTGTTCTTTTAAACATTAATGAGTGTAGAACAGGATGCTCTGTCAACAGGCGGTTTAGGAACAAAGACTTCTACTCTCTTGTGGTGTTTCTACACAGGCACTAAACTTGTGAAAATGTGCCCCCCTTTTTCGGGGTTCTGCTGTATGTGTGTGAATGAAATCCCAGGATTGATCAATTTGTCTTTTGTGTGAATATGACATGTATTTCATATGACAAATTCATAGGAAAGTGTACACTTGCAATGAACTAACTGGCAACTTGTTGGAACCAAAACATTGCAAGTAAGCCTTTGCAGAAGTTTGCATGTACATTTTTAAGTCCTTTAAATTCTGACTTTAACATGTATTCATTCTCTTGGGCACTTGTAACTCCTCTAACCGGGGGGTGGGGTTAAACCTAAAATAGGTTGTCAATTCAGAAGACTCTGGATCAGATATTCTACGTATCAATATCAAATGATCTCTAAATGAACAGTTTCAGAATGTTAGCGTTTCAGTTGTTCAGGTTACTCAAATCTTGTGATTCACTAGGTTGTTTAAGGAGATTGGTAGTAGCAGACTCTATAAAGAGCAATAAGACCTCCAGTCCACACAAACACACACAACACCGATGTATGGATATAAAAGAGAAATGTATTGAAGAGGTTTGATTACAGTTCTTTTCCTGTTCACATATATGAAATATGTATACACTTTAAATATGTATGGGGGGGGGGGCACTCTCTCCCATGTTGGACTGCAGTACCCATTACAACTTATCAGCGCCCCATAAGTTATTTTATGTAAGTAGCTTTATTTTACCAAACTACATTCCCCTTCAGCCTTGCTGTTGTTCAGCTTCTTCCACTGTGAAGAAACTGGAAGCTTGCAAAATGATTATTTCAAAACGCCTCCAACAACACTGCATAGAAAGCCCTTTATGAGTGCTTTATTATTTGTGTCCTTATAAAATGTTTGTGATTTCTTCCAGATGATTTCTGCATTCTTGAGCCAAAGTCAAACTTTTAAAGAGCTGCAGTATACTTACATCATGTGTTTCCACTCTGTCAGTGTTTTCGTGCGACTGCAGACTCATGCTCGATGTCATCACATACTGCAGGCTGATACGTGACGCACGGTCACGCACAGTCACCCCCCGGCAGCAACGGAGATACCGAGCCAGGAGACTGCGTCCACGAGCCACGCGAGGCAAGTAAGACAACTTCAAACTGAACATAATTTGGGTTTTTCATTTTACGAGCTCAGGTAAATTTCGTGCGTCTTTTTAATGCTGTCCCATATCTGTACGAGTTTCATTCTGCCATAAAATCCTGCGGCTTTTTTTTTCTCGAGTTAAGAGGTTTTATAGAGCTGTTACAGTGTGGGGATTCTTTAAACAGACCACAAACCAGCGTTTTTATTCTCCTCAGCACTAAGCGGAAGCTCACTTCGAGTACAGCAAGTCACGTCCTAATATTTCCTGCAGCAACAGAAACACCAATATATGATTAAACCATTCAACTCATCATGATGCATGTATCTCCCTCTTCATTTTCCGAGACGTCCTGCTGCACTTCCAGAGAGGTACAACTCATGAGATCATTTCACAGTGATTATTGAATCATTTATCACCGTAGCTTCCAATTAAATCATCTTTTATGTCAGACTTATTGACTACAGCACCACAGGAAACAGAAAACTAAGAGATTAGTAGGCCTAAAGCTTGTTTTTTAATCAAAGTGGTTTCCATGTTAAACTATTTAAACCCAAGAGTAAATAAATATGTTAACACTCACTCTTACCTTCTAGATACAAGCTCATTTCGACCAACTTTTTAATACTTAATCTGGAGCAAAAAGAGACAAATGTTACATTTTGGAAATAAAATCATCTGTGTATTCAAACATATGACTTTATGTTCGCTCTTCTCTTCCATTTGGCCTCATCCTGATTTAATTATGTGAACTCAGCTGTCGATAAGAGAGACAAGGCTGCACCACAGGCAGCGATGGAAAACTGCAGAGTCAAGTAATGACGGTGGGATAGTTTCCCTGCTGCACGTATCACATTATCAAATTTGCAGTTTCTTCCAGCATTGATACAGACATTTATCAGTACAGCTTTAAATTTAATGTGAAAATGCATCAACATCAGCTGTTTACATACTAGAGACGGTAAAGAAGACCCACCATCATGTTGTCTTTGGTTACAACACCGTCATTTTGTTTCCCCAGTGTGTGTTTTTAGGCGTAATGCTGCGAGTTAAAGAGGTGTGACTTGTAAACAACAGTAACAATGAAACACACACACACACACACACACACACACACACCCACACACACCTATGTACTCATGTCTGCCTTTAGGTCCATGCCATAGACTACATAAGAGAAGCTGATGTGCAAAAGTGCAAAAAGTGAGTCACTTCCCATAGAGTCCCATGATAAAATGTCAAACTTCAAAGCAGAAATAAAGATGTTTACAGCCTGATAAAATACCAATAAATAACAGAACAGAACAGTTTTGTTCTCTATTAATGTTGCCAACATTTTTGATTCATATCAATACTTTTTGATTCCGGATGTTTTTAAAACGATATATATTTTTGACATTTTTAGGATTGGTTGTATAGAAAAGTACTGAAGCCTTACAAAAAAGCTGCAGTGAGAGATAAAAAGAGAGCAGCTGTGGTTCAGTTAGCTCATCTCTGTACTATTTGATACAATGGCTAAGACACGGTGAAGAGGATAGTGTATCTAAGACGAGAAAGAGTGTGAGGCGACGGAGTGAGAAGCAAAGTGTTCATCCCTGCAGATATCATTCAGAACAGATTGAGACGTAACATTAGCCCTTACATTATTGCTGTCATCGTTGTCTTATGTTTAGCAGCTTTACCGCCTGCAGAACTTCGTCAAACCCAAGTTATGTCTCAGGCTTGAAACAAATAAATAATACAATCCATCTAACGCCAAAAGCTGTCTCAACAACGGGCTGAAGACGCTAGCAGAGTCGCTAGAAATGTTCTCAAAATTGTGTAATAGTACTGAACCTTCTCAGTTGATGGGGTTCTTGGGTTTCTCACACCGCTCCTCTGCTTGTCAACAAATCCCTGTGAGGGGGAGTAATGGGGCACTGTTGTGTGTTTTACAACAGTGCAGTTGCACTCAGAGACCTTCAGTGGGCACCAAAGTGCACCAACCCAAATCCTTACATATTTTTGTTTTAATAGAGACCAACACTGTTTTTTTTACTAGGCTGTTAACATGTTTATTTCTGCTGTAAAAGTTGGACATTTTAACATGGGGCTCTATAGGGATTGATTTATAGGGATTTTGCCTCGTGGCCACTGGAGGAACTGCAGGTTTTTTGCGCATCTGATTTGCATTCCTTTTCTAAGCCCTGGAGGTTATCTTTGGTCCAGGTTCACTTTCAACTGGAACGGTTCTCTTTGATAAGGAGTGAACATTTTCAGCTTGTCTTAGTCCTCCTTTATAGTTTCCACATCTTGTACTTCCAATCAGATGATCTCCCACTTCTTATGTTTCTTAAGATCACACAGATCAGTAACGAGTCCCCTGCAGCCTGTCTGATCGCCTCTCTTCAAGACGGATGTGTTCAGACCTCAGCAGGTTGAGCGGACCATCAAACAGGTTCACACTCGGTCCTGATCACACACAAAGCTTTTGTTTGGCAGCTGAATGCAGAGTGGAGCTGAGAGCGTCTCGGTGACAGAGAGAAGAGCTTTAAAGGAGCTCTGCATCCTGCTTGTTGCTATGAAACTGAACAAAAGCATAGCTGGCTAACTTAACACGAGGTTAATGATGACATAAAGAAGGGCAACAGGGAGGTTTAACACTTCAAACAAATCAGAGAATCTCCCTCAGGTGCTTCATTAAACATACATTTGAATCAGAATCTCACTTAAAGACAATTACTAACAATGTTTCTATTTATTCTAACTCAACTGATTTGATGAATAAAACAATCAGATCAGGTTTAAGACATTTTGGTTATGTCCAGGAAATATTTCAATCAGGAGGATTTGCACAAGCTGTTATGGTTTCTACAGTTTATTTTATTAAAGGCCACATTTTATACAAAATCCACTTCACCATGTTCCTCTAACTCCAATATGTGTCTCTAGTCTGTCTACAAACCCCCCAATGATGAGAAAAGTCCATCCTCTCCATCTTCTGCCTGCTCCACTTTTCAGAAAATGTGTGCTCAAACAGGCCGTTTGGAAATGTTCCCTTCATGACATCACAAAGAGCAGTAGCCCCTCCCCCAGGTGGGTGACACTCCCACAGCTAGGTGTTTGTTCTGCCCTCTGAGTCTGCCTTCTCACCATAAACAATAGAGCATGGAGCGAGAAAGCCAGAGCCACTCAAGCCCTTCCAGAGAGGGGGCGTGGTCAGACACAGCTCATTTACATTTAAAGGTACAGACACAGAAACAGCCTGTTCTGAGCAGGGCTGAAATAGAGGGGTTTATAGGCATGATCAAATCCAGGATCAGAGTGGATTTAGAACAAGAAACTTCACACATGTTTTGAGGAGCTCTGAGACTTATTTAAACTGGTTGAAGACGAGGAGGATATGTGACCTTTAAACTTGAATTTCTTGAATTTCTCTCATGGAAATACAAAATGTCCATAAATACTCTACAGCAAATTCAAATCATCACCAAAGTGTTTTCTATTAAATTCAGGGTTTGTCACAAACAAACCACACACACACAGTAGAACTTTTACACATCAAGTCTGCAGGGGCTCCAGCAGAAGGCGCTCATGTTACACAGAAAAAGACCAATTCCATTGTAAAGCTAACGAGAAGACATTAAAAAAATGTATGCACACAGTTAAGAGTAAAAGTGTAAAATTAGGAAGAAGAGAAGCTGATGATGGCCGTTGGTGGAATCGTTTTCTCTGCAGCGTTTGCAAAATAATTTAACTTTTTATTTCCCAATGATTTGAGTATTTAAAAAAAGGAATCATCTGACCTGCAGACAAACCCATGAAAACAAAGTGAATAAAGTGCCTACTTTAACTGGTATTGATGTTTTTATGGAGCAGGATGACCTACATTTACAGTTAGTAATACACAGACTATTGATCTGGGCCTGCAGCATAATGTGCAATTTAATCTGTCAGTCATATTTAGAGTGAATGTGAAGGGAAAAATTGTCATGTGTGTGTGTGATTCAAAGTAAGAAATTGTTTTTGAGTGTTTATTTTAACACCTTTTTACTAAGGCTGTCTGCATTGAATAAAGGTCTGAAATTAAAGCAATACTTTTGTTTAATCTCATGTTATTTTGTCCCTTCAGGCTCACCGTAGATAGTGGTCCTCAGTGTCTCCCTGTAGTCTCAGTGATTTAAAAGAAGGACACTGCTGTATCTTTGAGTGCCTGGTAACCTTTGTTACCGTTCCTTTGAGCTGTTTGACGCCAGTTTGTGATCCCTAACCACTTCCTGTTTCTGTGCTTCAGTTCATGTCCTCACTTTCCATACCAGAAGGGCCCTACTGTATTTCAAAATAAAAGCATGGTTGAAATCAAAAAGCAAGTAAAGTACTCAGCTTAAGACGGTACAAAACTTCAAAATAAAAGCCTAACAAACTTTATTTTTATGGGCAAAATAAGGGAATTTCCAATGCGATTGAAAATGTGATTAATTTAAAGACATTTAGATATAAATAAATAAATGAACTGATTTATAAATCAATGGTTGTTAACTTTTTTAGGGCAGCGTGTCATTTCAAAACATGAACTATCCCTTTAACAGCAGTATGGCCCATATAGCTGCCTCCCTTTGTGTTGGTTTCCTCCGTTACCCTGACAGTCAGCTGTCTTTGTGTTTGGCCTGTGTAGCCTCAGCTCGCTCTCATTTCTTTCTGCTGCTGCTTTGAAAACCTCGTCTGCGTTTCCAGCTCAGTCCAAGGACTCCGTGGCAGACTCAAGTTATATTTTTTGTATTTCTGTGTGTTTTTGATTTGTCACAGATGGAGATGTCAGCGCACCATCAGCCCACGGGCACGGTGAAGAGGAAGAGATGGGGTGGTCTGAGGCAGCAGTGGAAGCTTCTGGGATTATTTGAGATCGATCCGCAGCACGAGTTTTACAGCCTGACCTGCATGATGAAGGATGGGCTGGCTGCAGCCACGCAGAGCAGCGTCGACAGCGCACCCACAGTGAGTACGAGTCAGGCAACAAATGCACCACATCATCCACCAACAGTCCTGGTTCTGGTCCCTAACAGACTCAGACTGTTGTTCCAAGTGTCTGACATCATCACAGAATTCATAAAGAGATCGACCTTTTTGGACACCAGTTACATCACTCTCTTTAAAGACCCCACTGATAAAAACTCCAGATTTATGGCTGCATCATTGTGGTAGTACATTTGTGTTATTGTGTCCCACACAAATGCTGTCCTATGTCTGCTCTAAGCTTATTAAACACCAAAGCACAACAAAAACACAAAACCACTTACCGATCAGTGCAGAGGTAGATCAGAAGCTCCCGTGTTCTGTGAGATGTGATCACTGTTTTTATCAATGGTGTCTGGTGTCTGTAAAGAGAGCGACGCAACAGCTGTTTGTGGTGGAATAAATCATCTCCCTCTTTAATAAAAAGGTCTATCTCTGCAGGGATCCTTTCTGTAATGATGTCAGACACTTAGAATAACAACCGGTGCCTGTGAGGGACAAAAACAACAACTTTTAATGGACGTACATTGATCATTTGCACTAAAGGATGAAGTTGCAGACATCACAGCCTGTATTACTGCTGAATCATTATGTCAACACTTCCTATAACTACTATAAAAGTCATTTAGACCCCAAAATATGTAAATAAAAAAAGGTCAAGGTTTAAAAATACATCAAAAGCAGATTTTCACATCAGACATCACATGAGCTCTAAAGTTCAAAGTGAAAGATGACAGACAGACTTAACGTCTCTCCTCATGAGCAAATCTAATTAGAGTTCAGGTTTCAGTTGTGTTTTCATGAAGCTCTTTCGTGAAATTCATGCACTTTTTGAAATATATGAAAAGGGGAGGCGGGGTCACAGCTCACAGAGGGAATCCCTCCTGAACGAGGCCTTAACCCGGAGAGGTATGCAGAGTGAATGAAGTCACCGAGCAGGTCAAAACAAACTCAAAAACACACACACACACACACACACACACACACACACACACACACACACACACACACACACACACACATAGAAGGATACTGCTGCAGTCTAATCCCGGCCAAACAGTAAGCGCTGACTCAACAGGCCTAACCGTCCTGTCTGTTGTGTTTAACTGCAGAGTTCCAAAAACACAGCAAACACACACACACACACACACACACACACACACACACACACAAACACACACTCACACACAAACAAACACACAAAAACACACACACACACACACACACACACACACACACACACACACGACACAGACGCACACAAAATCGCAGACACACACACACACAAAAACACAGGCATACACACACTGACACAAACACACACACACACACACACACACACACACACACACACACACGACACATACAAACACACACTCACACACTCACTCTCACACACACACACACACTCACACACACACACAATAATTCGCTCCTCATAAACCCTCGAACTCTTCCACATGTTCTGTTAAAAATACACAGTAGATTAACAGAAAACAGACCACCAAAATGAAGTGGTAATTATGTCAAATTAAATACATGTAAGGCGTAAAGTGCTCTGAAACCATAACAGCTACATCCACCTGTCTTCAGGTTTACTTTTACATCTGAGAGACCACTTTAGATTGTTAGTGCCGGCTACACACTGGACCATTTTCAAATCTTAACCGCTTTTAGAAATGTGGGCGAATTAATAATGCCAATCTGTGTAATGTTTATAGAGTGTTATTGTGGGGCTTAGTTAAAAGAGGAAATATTATCTGGTCAAAATATAACATGAATCAAGCACCAGAGGAGGTTTGTGACCCTGTATAAACCAGCTCTCTCAGAACGCTCCGTTTTGGTGTGTGTGTCTCTTTAAATGCAATGACCTCCCCTGAGTTTCCCCGTAGACATCACTCCTCTGTAGTGAGAATAAAAATGGCGGACCCGTGCTAAAGTTTTGCTCTAGGCTGGGGGTGGAGTCCATGTGTGGAGATACCAGAGGAGGGGAGGGTATTTTCTTTTTACCAGAATCCCACTGTGACATCACAAAGAGAGCAAATTTGAAACTGAGAATGTTTCTCTGTTTTGTAAGACTTATGCAGACCACAAACAAAGGATTGAATGGTTTTATTTCACATTTTGTGAGTCAGTAGACACTCAGGTTACCAAATATATGTCAAAGTGGATTTTTCATTAATATATTCCCTTTAAAGTCGGTGACATGTTTCCTCTTTGTCCCGCTGCAGGCTGAACTGACAGACGATGATTTCACTCTGCAGGCCACTCAGATTCACAAGGTATGGAGATGTGTCACCGTTCAAAATATGTTGGGTACTTCCTCATTCAAATGTAGCTGAATGTGTGTGTTCACGTGTGTTTTGGTTGTGTGTGTGTGTGTGTGTGTGTGTGTGTGTGTGTGTGTGTGTGTGTGTGTGTGTGTTTTTGGATGTGTGTGTTTGCAGGACTTTACGATGGAGACGTTTGCGGGACCCGTGTTCGCCAGCCTTCGTGGCTCTCTGGGAATGTCGGAGCAGGAGTACCAGCAGTCGCTCTGCTCGGAAAACTGTTACCTCCAGTTCATCAGCAACTCCAAGAGCAAGGCCGACTTCTTCTTGACGTGAGTTCCTTGCTGAACATCTGTAACCTTTTGTTTTTTAAGGTATTAAAGAGTTTAGCTCAAATCTGGTTTGAGCCCAAAATCGTAAATATAACTCTTAATCTAACCCCGGTTGCAATCTTAATCTCAAAAGAAACGACAAAGGCGTACAGTAGAGGCTAACAAATGTCTGGCACATAGTCCTTGTTCCTGGATCGATATGACCATTAGCACCATAGTGTTTGAGTATGGCTCCTGCCTGATCCCTGCAGGAACAACTCAATTATGAATGAAAGTCCAACATTAGTGCTTGTATGGTTTTTGTCCCTGACAGGCTCAGGTTGTCTGACATCATTTACAGGAAGAATCCCCGCAGAGAGAAACCTTTTTGTACACCACTCTTGTTAAAGTTGTATTTTCAGGCCTTTTATTGGATATGACAGCTGTAGAGAGACAAGAAATGTTCGGATTTAAGAGTAGGGGATGACATGCAGCAAAGAGCTGAGGTCGGATTCCAACCCACATCCGCTGCGAGGAGGACTATAGCCTTTGTACATGGACCGTGCTTCATAACCACTAGGCTATCCGGTGCCCCATCTCATGAATCATTTAGAGCTTTACATTTTTTAAAATATGTACTCAGATTATTGCTGCTGCAAGAGAAATTACAAGTTTAATAACCAGTATTAATTATCCACAAAACTCATGAAAATGTCACAATATTTTTTTTGTGTGAAATCAACGAACACATTTTTCACCCTGACTTCATTCAGAAGTTTTCCTGCCAGTCATTTAGAAATATTTACACAAGTAGCCGAGCCACCTGTGCCATCGTGTTTAAATCATTTATATGATATGCATTAACTGTCATCATATCGTCGGACTCTGCTGCGACGTCCTCTGATTCGTCGTTAACATTTCCCAGTGACGTCCTTTTTGCGCCATGTCCCGCCTCCTGAGACCCCCCCTTCCACAACGGGAAAATGTCCTGCTGTAAGGGAAATGTTTGAAAGAGTAACTCAGGAAGATTTCAGAAACAAGCTGTTCTGAAATGTTCTGAATATTGTCAGTGCATGTGTGAAAAGGGCTTCAGACAGAAAATGGACTAAAGATGACTCATCTTGTTATGAGAACGGCAGGACTTTGGGTTAGAGGTCTTCTCACTTTCTGCTTTTGACCCTCTAGAAATGATAAACGCTTCTTTTTGAAGACCCAGAACAAAAGGGAAATCAAATTCCTTTTGGCCAACCTGAAGATCTACATGGAACACCTGAGGAAGTACCCGCATTCACTGCTGGTCAAGTTCCTGGGTAAACACACACACACACACACACACAAACACACACACATACACACACACACACACACACACACACACACTCACTCACACAAACACACACATCACAGACAAACACATACACACAAATGCACACACATACACATCACAGACACACACATCTAACACACACGCACGCGTAACACAGAGATTTCAATTCAAGCCAATAGAAAGAGAATGACGTTTATATAGTGACTCCCTAAAGTGTCTGCACGCGACCACTACGATCTCCGTGCACGTAATTAAACAGCTGTATTCTGTTTTCTGTTTGTCAGTATGTTGTTCTCCTCTCTTTTGTGGATGTTGTCATTCCATTGGATTACACATAGCATTGATATAAAGACAAACACAAACACTCACACATTTACACACACACCAAACCGACACACACTCAAACACACACACATGCACGCGTGAACACACACAAACACACACACACTCAAACACACACACTCAAACACACGCACACACAAAAGGACGATCTGTTTTTGGTCAAGACCACCACTGAAAGTCTATTTTTCCACGTCATTACTGGGATCAGAAGGAAAACTCCCCTTTCTAAAAGAACAAATAACTTCAATTAATTTGTAGTTTGATTTTTATCACCCAGTTTCAGTGATATTTATGGTCTTGGTCTTGGTCTTGGTCTTGGTCTTGTCCTGGTCTCGTCCTGTCTTGGTCTTGGTCTTGGTCTTGACTCTGCCTCGATCTCTAAATGTCTTGGTCTCGGTTCGTGTTGTCTTGACTACAACACTACCAAAGACACAGGAGGAAAGCATAAGTTGTACTTGGTTTCATCAGCTTAGTGAGATCCCTCTGGTTGTTGCATCCTAACAGCAAACATGCAGTGTCATAGTTGGTTTTCATTAGACAGCCTGGCTGAAGATCTAAGTGATTTTAAGATGATCAGAGGGCAGTTAAAAAAGCAGGTCTTTGGAGAGCCACATGGGTGTTCATCTGGTGTTGCTTAGTGTGGGTGTCAGCATGTTTTACATTGCAGAGTATTAAGGCCTTCATTGGGAAGAGGCATGTGTTCAATTTAAATCCTTAGCCCTGATGAAATAAAGACTTCTTGTTATTTACCCCTACGACTGCCTCAGATCGTTTTAACCACTCCAAATAAATAATAAATAAATAACTTTATTTATCCATTAGGAACTTCATTTGTGTAAAAGAGCATCAGTACACATACAGCTAGACACAAAAACAACAGCAGAAACACACACATACAAGTGGCTCTATTAAAAGCATGATAAATAGGTCATAAATAATTGTTATGAGTGGCTCAATTAGTCTGGAAAGTGAGAGATCTGTATCTGTGGCCTGAGGGGAGACGTTTGTAGAGATGGCAGAGTGAGTGTGTGTTGTCTGAGGCTATGTGTTGTCCTTTTAGTTTTGTTCTCCTGTTGTAGATACTGATCAACTCAATTAATATAAACCACTTTTAAAAATCTATCACATGAGGAACTGGAAACCAGTGTAAAGATTTGGATAAAAGGGGAAATGTGCTTCTTTTCTAAAAAATCACAACACATTTGCCGAATAGATACTTTTTTTTACATTTTTTTATTTTTTTTTATATAAATCGGCTTTAAAACCAAAAAAACAATGAGTTTGAAATATGTTGTTGTACTGGACTGAATGATTCCTCGTTTGTTGTTTTTCCAGGTGTGCACAGGATCAAAATCCCTCACAAACGGAAGGTGAGCTCCACATTTAAAACTCTTCTTCTGCACTATGTTTCATCCTGACGGCGCACCATCAAGCTTATTCCCACTCGTCCTTTTTCACAGAAATACTTCATCGTCATGCAGAGTGTGTTTTATCCAGACGATAGAATCAACGCCAGGTAAACAACCAGCCTGAGCAGCGGTACTTCAGTGCTAACGGCCTCTGATGACATGCCTTTTATCAAATCCTCAGGTACGACATCAAGGGCTGTGAGGTGAGCCGTTGGACCGAGCCGGCGCCAGAGGGAAGCCAGATTATCGTTGTCCTCAAGGACCTCAACTTTGAAGGCCAGTTCGTCACTCTGGGTGAGGGAGCATGATGTGATGTTGACACGAGGCATTGTTGCACCCCCTACAGGACAATCACCATATTGATTTTAAGGCAAGATGAGGCGAGGATGGTTGATTTGTTTTTAAAGTGTACCCAGTGGTGAATCTAGAGTCTGCTGGGGCCCTAGGCAAAAATCATCCCCCCAAACCAGTGTTCATCAGCATCATGTCCGCCAGCGTCCCGATGCTTCCTCCTCTTCCTCTTTCTTTTTTCCCTCCTATAGACGGATCATTCTTTTTCATTTTTCTTTGATGACTCTCATTTGAAAAACTTTGGTTTTCACAGCAATCAGCAGGGCAACGAGAGTGAGTGCTTTCAGATGGGGCCTACTTGGGGAGGTTTCCTAATGTCGTTGCAAAATTTGTACATTTATGGCCTCTGCTTTGGTTTAAGCGGAGCGGAGGAAGATGAAGAAGAAGTGTTCTAGAGAAAACGTTTTAAGGTGAGGGACTGGAACGGTTTATTTGAACTTCAAAGATGACTTTTAAAAGGCGGATGTCCAGCGCTCCCTCTCGCTTAAACGCTCCATCATTACAGACACACTCCTTTGATAAGTGAGGTCCGCTTTACAAGTGTTGCAGGCGATCCTTTTCTTTGCGGTGTCGAGGGTGGAAATCCTCACAAACATTTGAACGCGTCGAGGGAAAGCCAATGAAGCCAATGTGGAAGTTCAAAATCCTGCAGTTTGTCGAGTGTCCACCAGAGGCTGGCTCCAGGAAACCTGGAAGTCACGCACACATGAGCCTGTCGTTAGGTGGACTTAAAATTAGGGTGAGACAGGCTTTCCAGCATGGCCCCCTGCAGGAACAGATGGCTGACACAATTTCAATTTAAATCCTTAGCCCTGATGAAATAAAGACTTCTTGTTAATTACCCCTGCGACTGCCTCAGATCGTTTTAACCACTCCAAATAAATAATGTTGGTCTTTGTGGTAAGACCAACATGAGCACTTCATTTTCCTGCTTGTTTTCTAAGAAATGTTGGGTGTTCTTTGTGTGTGCGTGTGTGTGTGTAGACCGGCAGCGTCCCTGGCTGCTGCGGCAGGTGGAGATTGACACACACTTCCTGCGGAGGCTCCATGTGTTGGACTACAGTCTCCTACTGGCCCATCAGCCTCTCCACCAAGACGAACGCCATCAGAGCCTCTCCTTCGCTACGCTCATCATGAGAACCAAAAAGTCAGTGTCTTTGGGGTGTTTAGTTTTTGTATTTCATGATTTGAATATTTGCTGCACTCTTAGTTCTGTCAGACTGAACCATAAAACAAGAACCCAAATGCACGACTCTACAACACTTGAGCAGAAATGAAGTCCGCTTATTCAGAAACAGGTCGGTACACAAGAATCCAAATTTCAGGCAGCGGTAGACGGCAGGCTAAGGCAGGTAAAAATCCAGAAACTGGCCGAAACTATTTAACTAGGAAGAACATACTAATAAGGCTGGGACGAAGTCACAAAGGAACCATACGAAGGAGGGGAACACAGAGACTAAATACTCAGGGGGAGTGAAGACGACTAGACACAGGTGAGACACATCAGGTCATCACAGATGCAGGAGACACAGGCAGGAGGGCAGGAAGCAAAAGATCTGAAACAAGACAATAAGGTATTAAAGTCAATAAGGAAGCACAAGACATAAACATATGAATAATAGAATAAAGAAACTATACTATCCTGTAGCCTTGACAAGTTCTGTGTGTCAGTCTAACTCAAGCACACTGTCTAAATACGTTAGCTACATTAAATGTACTGTAGCTAACGTATTCAGGGTCCAAAAAAAGGGGTCTGAAATGTTAGCATCGAAGACTGAAAAAAACTTCAGTTCCTTAAGTGTCCACTTGAGGTTGTCTGCAAAATAAATCCACATTAGGTCCCTTATTAAAATGTCCATTTCTACAGCATAGTCAAACAGTTTACAGCCTGTTACAAAAAAAGTCTCAGTATTGCTCAGTTTTTTTTTCATGGTGACTGTAAGGTGTTGTAATTTTTTTTAATATTAAGATATTTTTGCTAGGAAACTGAACGTCAGCCTCAGCACCACCTCTTTGTCTATTTCTAGATTGATCAAACATTAAGGGGAGACAGCATTCACTTTGTAGGGCTTCAAATCACCTCTTTAGTAACCAATTGATGAACTCACTGAGACGTGCATGTGTTTTACAGTCTATGGCTGTCAGGAAGTCAGACAGTATTGGGAAATAGACACGTTTAGAACCATATTGTTGCCTTTTCACATTTACGTCATCGAAATCTCGTAAATCGACTCACTTCCCATGTCAGCACTACTGAGTAAGGGTGCTGAGAGAGAATGAAAGCAGCATTCATTTTGTCCTCTTGAAAACGTAGAGCATACTGACTCATAGCTGATGCAGATGAGCTCCAATCTTAGCCACATTCTGATGTCACTTCCTTTGAATCATGCAATTTAAACAATCAAACACACACCCAGATATGGTGCATTTGATTCTGATGCAAGTCCCTCGACTCAGGCACACTATCAGGGAAGTTCATCTTTGAAGCAAACTGACTCATCTATCCGCCGCCGTCTTGGAAATAGCCTTTGTCTAGTAATCAGAGAGGGTTCAGGGCTATATTAAACACTTACACATAACATGTGCTTAAAGTGGCGGGCTGAGGTGTCTGGTGGTGTTGTCTTTGTCTGCATCCCTGGCCACAGGAAACATGCAGTGTCGCCTTGACATCTGTTTCCAAACAACTCCATGTCTGGGGCCTGAATGTAATTTGTACAGTCTCCCGGTATGACCTCTGTTGTTATGTTGTATCTCTGCTATTGTTCTAGTATAGGGGACTCTGTGTTTGATTGGGATTGGCACTTGATTGCAATTTAAATGTCTCTCGTTTATCAAACTTCTCAGTACAAGTTGACCCAAAAAAAATCAAACAGAATGAAGAGCAAACCATAACATGACATAACTACTAAGAAAAAGAAAGATGGCAAAACAACAACAACAAAAAAAGAGAAATATGGAATATAAACCCAATCTAAGTTCCCCATCAATCTAACAACCACTTCACAGACAGACAGCGCCAACAAGGTAGATAAGCAGAAGGTGAGGTCATAGAAAGGTAAGTTTTGCAGCGATGCCTAAAGTGTGGGCTGTGAGGATATTACAGGTGGGCCATGAAACAGCCACTACATTTTGCTCGTTTGACAGATCAAGGAGACACCTTTAATCGCCAACGTTCAGATTCAGGGAGTAGAAGATGAACATAGTAAAAGTACAGCTGAAGACTCAGATATGGTTATGATCAAAACTACAGATCAACACAAAATGGGCGTCACCAAACTCCACTAACAACAATCTGCTAAAGAGAAGAAGAAGACCTCTAAGTTTCAAGCCCCTTTTACAAATATTGTCATGATTTTTGTCTTTCTCATGTTGTGTTGGATGTTGCGGACACTTCCTGCTGCACACTCCTGCTTCATTATGTATGCTGTCAATGTCGTGCTGTGCTGTTTTCATCAGTTAAAAATTATGTTTTGGCTGCGTGAGAAGGAAATTGAGTGAAGAGCTGTGGAAACTTGTCTAACAATGCATGCCTGAGAGTTATTTGCTTAAAATAACATTAACGACATTAAGTCTGTGAGTGCTGTGACTCATCCTGCTCTCCATAATTTTTCTGATTCAGGTCTGTGAATCCAGGCTCCAGCCCGGTCCACTCGGGCACTGCAGCTGTCCCTGGTGCAGTCCCAGAAGAGGACTCGGTCTTACTTTTGTCTGAAGTAGAGGGTGGCCGTTTGAAGCCAGAAGATGCTTCAGGCGGAGGAACTCTTCAAACATGCCCTGAGCATTCAGGGCTGGACGGGGACGCATCTGAGCTTCCAGACTTCAGGGCCCAAAACCGCCGTTTATTGCCCAACTTAAAGAATCCTCTGCATGTCATCGATGGGCCGGAGCAGCGCTACTTCATTGGAATCATTGACATTTTCACAGTTTACAGTTTTAAGAAGAGGCTGGAGCATTTTTGGAAGAGGCTGAGGCATCCAGGCCGATCCTTCTCCACCGTAAGTCCACAGACTTACTCCGTCAGGCTTTGTCACTGGGTACAGGACCACACCAAGTAGAGCAGGGAGGCCGATTTCCAAACAGCTGCTTGATAAACCAAAGCTCCCACTCCTGAGTACACAGACTGTTGGGTTTCAGGCTTCTTGAAGCCACGCAAAGTTGCTTAAGTGTAACCATTAGGTCAGTTCAGTCTTTTCCCAAACTTGTACTTTCTACCAATATTCACGATGAGCCGCCAAACTGTCAATGAGTTACGGCTAATTTTCTGCTAAGCCCCGCCTGCTGAGATTGAAAAGATGGCAGAGTGTATGTCAACCAGTCATTGCTCATGTATAAACTAGCATCATACCTTAATGGTTTAGACCCTTAACTATCATAGAGGCTGCCAATCTCAAATGAAGGCCCAGATTAAAAATGAAAGCAAAAGAAACAAATGTACACAGTCTGCCGGTGGGTTAGGGTAAAGGAACACTTCTGCTTTTTGCCAGAATATAACAGAAACCAACATTTGGTGGGTTTGTCACGAGACAGGATTTAGTATTTTGGTAGACTTAAACCGCAGACATTATCCACTGTGGTTGCCTAAACTTATTTTTGGTAAAATATTCCAATACTCAGCATCCCAGTGTGTTGTCACTCGGGACCAGTTTGAGAATGATCTCATCAACTTTGTTGAAAGTAACATTAACCAAGTTTTGTAATATTTGAACAAAGACATTGATTTATTCCACGACCTGTGCCAACCCCACACTCTTGATCAGCACCCTTTTACTGCCGTGATTCCAGGACCAGTGTTGCCAGATGGAAAATACAGCAATATCGTACTGCGACTTTAAAATGATCGTAATCATTTAAAGTATCGAACATATTTAAAAAAAGAAACATGCCCTCAATACCACACTGAATGGCAAAACTATGCCCTGCACACCATAAGAATGTAAGTAACAAATGAACACATTATTCAAGTGTTGATTTTTGGCTCCGCCTCCAGCCGCTGTGAAGCTAAGCTAGTAGCATCTTAAATTGTTGTGACATGCATTTTCCTACAGTCTGTCTGGCATAAGGAACCACAAACGAGTCAGGGCATCAGGTGATGACTCATCTGGCAGCAGAGTGGCGGGTCAGGTGTGGATGTGAATCAACACTAGATGTCACATATTTGGAAAAAGTGGCATGTTAGTTTTTTCAGTTTCTTGTCACACACTTGTTATTCGGAATCTCTTGTAGCCTTTATTTGAGAGAACTTCTTTAAAAATATTGAAATCTGTGTGACTGACAGTCTGCTTGTAACGTTATCCTGAGTCATAAAACAAAGGGGAGGACCCACGTGCAGAAAAGAAAACTAATGTATTTATAAAAAAAGTCAAAAAGAAAAGCTTATTGTAACCCCCAATCCCCACATACTCTGTGCATGCCACGGTCTGTCAGCGCTGTAGTTCGCTGCCACTCTAGTCCGGGGCGCTACTTGTCAACAGGCAAGGCAGGCAGCTGCTTGGGGCCCCAGACCAGCAGGGGGCCACTGATGGCAGACAAACTTTGAACCAAAAAACCCAAAATGTGCAAATTTTGCCAATGACAGTAGGAAACCTCCCTGAGGGGGGCCCATCTGCCAGCATTCACTCTCATTGCCCTGCTGAACGCTGAACACCGAATTAACATTTGCCTAGGGCCCCAACAGATTCTAGAATCACCACTGACTCTGGTCATTGATTGTGTTTTCAACGCGCACGGACATTGGTGCTGCTTGTCAACAGGCAAGGCAAAAATTTGCAAATCTTGCAATGACAGTCGGAAACCTCCCTAGGGAGGCCCCATCTGACCGCACTTACTCTCATTGCCCTGCTGTACACTGGTTGAAGGGCCACCCAATTGATTTTTGCCTAGGGCCCCAAAAGACTCTAGAATCGTCACCTCGATGGAGTTTGTGGGTATTGGGGTTAAGGCGCATTCACACTAGGCAACGAAAGGGCTCAATAGAAAAAATAATAATAATTCTTTAAAAACATTAAACAGTTTTATATATATATATATATATATATATATATAAATGTATGTAGCAGTGAGTGTAATGTGTACGTATGTACGAGAAGGGAAAAACTTGAAGGTGCAGTGAAATGCAACGAGGTATGAACCAGCTACTTTTACTTTAAGATTTCCATCCGCTAACATTTCTCTTGGTGCTTTTGGTGCATTCATGTGGTGTCGGACACATATTCAAGTTGTAAAATGCACATGAACGCCTGCCCAAGTCGGAACAACAACTCGAAATCTTGGGTAAGAATTAGCTACCTGACTGGACGTTTTGATCGTCATCTAAAAATGTTTTGTTAATGTTACGGTATTTTTGATGAGTTCATGTAGTGCACATCAACTTTTTGCTCAAAAGAACGACGGTTCTTGCTTTAAAGGAGTCCTTCTTATTGGTCTGCCTCTTGCCCTTAAACAAGTGGATCTTTCTGTAATGATGTACAGTAACTAACCACTTACTGGAGGTACCATGTTTGTGTGTGTTGGTGTGCGAGTGCGTGCACGATGCTCTGTACAAAAGTACATGGGGCCAAAATGGACGCGAAATGACGCATGGGGTGATGATTAATCATTCAATTTCACAAATTGCATGCCTCATCATGTCTGCACATATTGTGAAATATATGCAATTAAAACATTTTCTCCCTGCACTGGTTGGATGTATAAACCTTCTGTACCCTTTTTTGACTTACTCACTGTGGAAAACAATTCCAAATAAGAGAGGTGCCTTTTGATCTACCTGGTTTCTCAGAAAAGTGCCAGTAATTGTGCAGCTGCATGGCCACATTTACATAATAGTTTATTTCTGTTTATCTATTTATTTCTGTCTCCTCAATGATCAGCTCGGAATATCGAGAGACATTAAATGACTACAATATGTTTGGTATTCATGTTGTGTAAACACATTTTGAAATCCTATCTACGTCATGGCTGTTGTTATCTGATGCAATGTGAAGCTGGGATGCTGTTGCAGTTTCACAATGTTCTGTTCCAGGTGTCAAGTTGTAAAACTGTTATAACAGAAATGAACGATCAGACCTCCATACAACAAACAAACATTTTAAGATTTATTTTTGGGCTTTTTGTGCCTTTAATGGAGAGAGATAGGACAGGGGATAGAGTTGAAAATCAGGGAATGACATGTGGGAAAGGAGCCACAGGTGGGATTCGAACCTGGCCGGCCCACTTGGAGTACCATGGCCTCCATACATGGTGCAAGCGCACTAACCACTGTGCCACCAGTGCCCCACAAATGAACATTTTAAACGTTTCTGTCTTCTCCTCTTGATGACAGACCTGACTAATTTACAAATCTGCATCATGATGTTATTTCAGCAAATTTAAGAGCCGTTGTTTACAAGTAATTCACAAGAACATCTGTCTCTTTTTTGTGTCCATACCACTGAAGTGACCCAGAGTAGAGTCTCCGTGTAACTTACTATTTACAGTTCATCTCTGACTCGCCAGAAACTCGTGAACATGAACGGAGGCTGTAATCCTCGTTGCAGCGACCATTGTTTTGTCAGCTGTCCTTTCTAATAAAGGCCAAAACAAAAAATAAGAAAAAGAATGGGTTGAGGCAGTTCAGATCGGCTGAAGGCTAATATTACCTTTTGGTTGAGTAACGTATAACGATAAGAATGGTATAAATTCTTAGATAGCCTTATGTTAATTAGTACATTTCAACCTCATGCAATGTTATCTAGGGAGTGGTTGAGTGCTAGCATGAGCTGTAATGCTAGCTAATACGTTATTTAATATGTTTTATTTTTACTTGAATTATTGCACATATGTCCCTTCTGATTTTCTCTTTCCGTTTGCTTTTCAGTTGCTAATTGTCAGAGAATCAATGAAATGATGGAGATTTGTCAGGCTCTTTAATTTATTTATTTTATGAGTTGCATTTAAGCGTCCCACTCTGAAAGTAACATCAGAGGAAAATAGATTTGTTGAATAGAAAACATGGCCCTGAGACCAGCTACAATGAGTCACAGTTTTACTGTAAAAACAGGATCATGTTGATCGAGACGAGCTTTGTTTTCAACACTGTAAAAAACCAAAACGTCATCATGATGTTTACATTTTTGTTCATGAAAGGAAGCAGGTTTTGTGGCTTTGACTCACTTCCATTTTGTGTGATTCCTGTATTGGATGTGCGAAGCACAAATTAAACTTTTTGTTTTGATTTGATTTTCTGTTAATATGACACACAGCACAACATCTGACTCGGCACAAGTGTTGCAAGCTGTCTGCTCAGCAACATCTCAGCTAGTTAAGTCTCTGAACTTTAGGAACACTTTTATAAAGGAAAATAAAATGGCTTGCTCTGAGGTTAATGGTTCAAAGGGAGCGTCCAAGAAGTCATTTTATTTATACCGGTACATTAGCTATAACAGGTATCTGTGTAGACATTGACGGGCAAAATGCCTTGTTTAGTATTCAGTTGGACCAAAAAGCATTTCCAAGAGACGGCTGTTCATTAGGTCAAACCTGACGTTTGGTCCAAATCTGGATCCATTTACCAAGAAGGTGACAGCAAAATTACTGAACTCTGGAATCGTAGCTGCACATATGAAATTGAACTACAGTAGCCGTTACAAGAGTCAATGTCGGAGCACAACTAGAGCAGCAATACACTTCCTGTCCAACATCAGAACAGGGACAGCTGGTACAAATGGTATAGCAGGGCTAAAGCCTGGTTTATAGAATCTAGGCGGTAACCTTGCTTTAGTGACCGACGCTGTCATGAGCAATACATAATTGAGTGTTGAGTGTTTGCTTGCTCTGCAACAAGTAGCTACAAACAATTGTCGGCAACGAGATTTCTATGATATGATGATATAGTTACTGTATACTGGAAGTTTCTAGTTCTGCCACATTGTCTGCTTGTTTGTGTACAGGAAACAATGGTAAGGGAAACTGAGTGTATTCAGTTGGAGTTAGAGATTATAAATATTGAGCAGCAGTTGATTCTACTGTGATTATTGCAAACAAACATAAAAGAGGAGACAACGGCGGAGATGATTGTACAGCTTTGGAATGGAAATTAAATCGTGATTAATCACTAGAATAAAAATTGAATTTTCGTACTGTAAACTGGGAGTACTTTACTTGCTGTGTGCTTTTATTTTGAAATAAACTAAGGTATTTCTGGTAGATGGAAAGTTAGGACATGAACTGAAGCACAGAAACAGGAAGTGGTTAGGGATCCCAAAGTGACGTCAAACAGCTCAATGGAACGGTAACAAAGGTCAATGTGTGATGTCATAAGATGGATATTACATTGGACTCGTCAGCTGAGCTGTCCGAGAGTTTGTTAAAGTGAAACGAGACATTCAAAGATGCAGCAGTGTCCTTCTTTTACATCACAGAGACTACAGGGAGACACTGAGGACGACTATCTACGGTGAGCCCGAAGGGACAAAATAACATGAGATTTGAAAAAAATGTATTTCAGTCGTAATTAATCATGATTAACTCGTTAACGTTGACAGCCCTATTAGTCTGTTTCTGCAGTGCAGCAGTGGTCAGACTCAGATGTTAGAATTAACTTTATAGAATAGTTTTTTTTGATATCCTTTATTATTCCCTGAGGGAAATTCGGGATTTACACTCTGTTATTTTTATAAGGACATGCTTCTCACACACATAGTCCCGAATCGCACGCATGCACAAACAGGACCTGTGGACATGCAATGGTGGAGGGATGTCAGAGTGGGTCTGCTACAAGCTGCTAAGCTGGCAACGCCCAGAAAAACTTTCCCTAGGAGTTTTAAGTAGCTGTAGAAAACAATGTGTGCAGCAGTCTTTTGAGGATTCTGTTTATGCCGTCAGAACAGCTGAAGTATAAAGTCATTCTTTTTTTTAGAATTTAGATTACGCTTTATGGGAGGTGCTTCTCCTCCCATCTTCTCCCTTCCCATTTTATGAATGGACAGATGATGATGTTACCGCAGAGTGAAGATCTACATGTGGGCGTTTGGCACTGGCCACACTCTTCCACAGCCAATATAAGCTTACACGTGGTAAAGAGCTCTTGTTTAGTAGCACCCCCTGACAGAGATGCAGCCTGCAGACATGGGACAGAAGCAGATGAGATCCACTGTGCCAATTGAAGAGGCCTGCAGAAGAGTAGATATCCACCAGGACGAGTCTGTGCTCATCCTCCTCCAACACTGCCGGGACATAAAACAACGGGACACTCGGTTCAGACTTGTCTCTCTGCTGCTGCTGCTCGGCTGTGTGTCACTCTTCATTTTCCTCCAGCTTCGGGAATACTATGGATCCACTCGACAAGAGGTACGTTCCAAAAGTTCTTTTAATGGAATTTCTTTTCAGACCTGTGTGCAATTTTGGAATATACAAATGACATCAAGTAGAAAGATGTGCTGGTTGTAGAGAAGGTAAAAAGCAGTGATGTTGCTGTGCCAGTTCCTTTTTTGTAGAAACCAACAATCATTCCTTGAATTAATCTAGCTGTGCACTTAAACGCTCTCTTCCTCAACAGTACCTGTTGTACCAGCCACAGCCCTGCTGTTGTCTTTAAAAATGTATTTATTACCTTTATGTTTTAGAGCTTTTAATGCCTTATAAATAATTTAATACAATTCATCAGAGGGACATTTTCTGATTTGATCTGAGCTGCCAGGTTTGACTTCTGTATATTGTGGTCATTTTGCCTTTATTGGATAGGACAGCTGATAAAGAGGCAGGAAGTGTTGGGAGGAAAGAATGGGGGGGTGACATGCAGCAAAGGGCCAAGGTCGGATTCTAACCCATGGCCGCTGCGACTATAGGACTATAGGGAGTATGCAACATAATAGCCTACATACAACCTACATAGCCACTCGGCTATGTAGGTTGTTTTTTTAGTGCTCTTTGACTTAAGCTCATCATCTCAACTTATAAATAGCCATGGGCAGTTCTAGGCAGGGGCCAACAGGGGCCAGTGCCCCTGTAACACTGAGCTTGGTCCCCCCTGTGGCCCCCCCTCTAAAAGGAAGAGTCCCCCTCATAACACATACACAGTATTTGACTCAACAACTGGACTCACAGTATTAAATACTGTTACTGAAACAAATATAAATCATGGTATTTTATGTTTTGGTATTGAATGTGCACTATTATTTGGCATAATATATATTTTTAAAGTGATCATCTTTGTCTTTTTTTCACCTGGGTTTAATGTTCCCCTCTGACAAAACAACTGGCCCCAGTTTGGCCCCCTCAGTAAAAGTGGTCTAGAACTGCCACTGTAAATAGCATAAAAAAACAAAACGGTAAAAACAAAACAGGTAGAGCTGCATGTATTTTAATATTTCATGAGAAGAGCGCATTAACTGAGCCTCCCACCTTGAGCATGACGTCACAAAACACTACTACCTCGTGAGTATGACAGGGCTACATTTAAAACCAATTAATTAAACCTTTTTTCCAACCCTTTCCCCAGAACGCTGTGCAGTCAGGTCCCGCCTACTCAAAGCAAGAGTGCCCTTCAGGTATGTTGTGTCATCAACTTCAGTAAAAAAAGTGAGATTTATTCAATTAGAAGTGAAAGAGTTACTGCGCTCTACTCTCCCTGCCAAACACAAGTTACAGAACCTGTTTGTACGTCCATGTTTTATATATAAGACTAGTATTTGTTGCTTCTACTGAGGATTGATTTTAAAACCTCTTTTTCCACTTGACAGCTGATCCTCAATCAATCTCCTCCAACAGACTGTCCATTGCTCTCAGTAAGTCAATTTCCAACACTTTGCACGACTGTTGTTTATCTTTTATATTTACAAAATTAAAGTAATCAATTTATGATGTTAAATTTAGAAATCGATGACAATTTAAATTAGGCTATGGTTATCCGCCTGCGCAAAAATTATGAAAGGGATTCCACAAAGCCTTTTTTTCTGCCCCAAATTTACTATTTTATTCTTGTAAATGTACAACTTTAATCTTGACTTCAATCTTGTGAGATGTATGACTTTAATCTTGTAAATTGACAACTTTATTCTTGTAAATTTAAGATTTGAATCCTGTGAAATTTACGACTTTATACTTTTAAATGTATGGCTTTATTCTTGTAAAATTATTGTAAATCCACTGAACAAATCCCAGAACTCCTAAAAACTCATCATATCTTAAATTATGAGACCCTGAGTCAGCCTTAAAAAGATGGAAAAAGCACATGTAATAAACCACTGAATGCCTGAGATGAAGGCCAGATGACTTTGTTGGTTCACAGCCAGTTTGGAAAACAGACCAACACACTGGTTATGGGTATGTAGTCAGAGCTCCTTTGATTCGACCAGCAGTTCTATGATTCAACAAGTCATCTGTCTCTGCAGAGAATTCCTAGGAGTGACGTTTAAAAAGCTTGTGAAAACAGCAACGTCATGTGCAATATTTGACTAAACCTCTGTGTCTCCTCCTACAGCCTCCATGAAGGTTCAAACAAACAATGATTCAGGGTACTTGAACTGGAGGGGTGAAAAACATCGCACATCCACAGATGCCATCGAGATCTCTAAGACGGGCTACTACTTCATATATTTGACGATAACTTTTAAGTGCGACCTCCAACACCAGGACGAGGACTTTCAGGAGTTCCGTTTGACCCTGCAGCGTTCCAACGAAGGATACGGACCCAAACCCAAACCCTACAACCTCACAACTGCAATGGACAGTGTAGGGTGCAGCCCAAGATCTGACTCTTTGACTCAAGTCAGGACTCTCACGATGGTGCAGCTTTTTTCTTTGATAGAAGGAGATCATGTAAAAGTTTGGGTCAACAAGGGTTTAGGAATGATCATCAAATCGTTCTTTGGCGCTTTTCAGACATAAAGATGAAGCAATCCTGAGGATGTTCATTTTTTTTGTGCACACAAGAAGAAGGAGAAGACATACTTTGTTAATCCTGTGAGGGGAAATTCAATTGTACACTCTATTATTGAACATGCTACACACACTTAAGCTGAAATACACACTGATGCACAAACAGGATCCTATGGAGAGATGTCAGAGTGAGGGGGCTGCACACAGCGAGCGCTCCTGAGCTGGTGGGCTCAGGAAGTGAACTGGCAACTCTCCAGCTGCCACACACATTTCCAGAATTGGTCCGCACCAGGACTTGAGCCGGTGACCTTCCGGTTCCCAACCCAAGTCCCTGCAGACTGAGCTACTGCCTTTCCTTTGCTGTCTCAGTTTAAATTATCTGTACATGCAATATTCATCTTATTTCTTACAATCACCTTATACATAAGCTTTGTATGTTTCTAAGTCCTTCCTGTAGTGGCTAATTACATGGGCTGGGTCCAACTATGCCGTTTTTTTTTTTTTTTTTTTGCAATGGCAGCATCCATATAGGGCCCAACAGTCTGGCTCCAGAAGTAAAAATCCTGTTCATTTTCTCCATATAGCGAATTTGATTATTAGCCATAATGTCATAACCATCCAAGGTAGACTGACCACGAGCTAACGGAGTATAAAACAATGGTTTATGCTCCTGTGGGAGACACAAGTTTGTATGATATCAACCTCCTTTTAAGAGAAACAAGATTTATTCGCGATATCGGAATAAAGAACTACACTACCCACAATCTGAGCTTGTTGTTACCATGGCAATGTTTCCCACCCTAAGCACCAAATTTCGCTAGCAGGCTAGATAGTTAATTAGCAAACAGTAAATGTTCTAATAACCTTGTCATGCCGCAGTGAATGAAGTTTATATTTTCCACAACACAACTACAAGATACAATATCATTTGCAATGGATTGTGGGATGGGTAGTTCTTTGACTCCGGACGAAAAATTATGCACACGGTCTTGTACCTTTGCCCCTTTTTTTTCCTCGTTTTTTAATGCCATTGACGTGCAGAATCAAATGTACTAAAGACAGAAGTATTGGTGTAGCTGGTTGTCTTGGTTCCAGGCGCCAATCTGTTGATATATGGATTTTGTGAAAGAAAGTTATGTAAACTATAATTATTAGAGAGATCATCCAGTGATCTATATGGCAGAGCTTATTTAAAATATGTCAAGAACTTGATATGACTAATCTCAGAAAAAAATAAAAATAAAAAAATGTACAAAAAAAATGTATTTGTGATTCCTGTCATATTGTGTTTTGTCCTATACTTCTGTGTCTTCTCAAATAAAAAAAGAATGATGCATGATAACGGGTTTCACTCAACATAGCAAAACTCCCATTAAAAAAAAATCATTCTTGGGGCGTGCTGGTGGCGCAATGGTTAGGGCGCACATCCCATGTATTGAGACTCTCATCTCAAGCGGTAGGCCCGGGTTTGCTTCCACCCATGGCCCCTTTCTGCATGTCATTCCCCGCTCTCTCTCCCTGATTTCCAACTCTATCCACTGTCCTCTCTCAGCATTAAAGGCACGAAAAGCCCCCAAAAAAATTATTCTCGTCGACTCCTGCGCATAGTTAAGACAGCAAAATAGAGCAGAATCGCATCAGCTTCAGAGCAAGAGAAAGAGAGCGGGTGAGCGACTGTCCGCACACTCTTGTAAATGCATCACAACAGAAGCATCTCCTGGCTCTGTTTTAAAAATGTTAATGTACAGCTGCTGATTCTGTGCTGAACTCCAATAAATAACAGAATATCTGTTAATGTAGGCCTACTGCTGCTTTCTGTTGATTCAGCACTGAACTCCTATAAATAACAAAATATCTGTTAATGTAGGCCTACTGCTGCTTTCTGTTGATTCAGCACTGAACTCCTATAAATAACAGAATATCTGTTAATGTAGAGAAGATTAAAGTTGTTTGCTGCAAAAACTAGATTAATTTAGAGAGGAAAACACATTTGATATAAATACAACCCAATACATACAACACAGATAAGAAAAGAGTATGACCAAAAAAAAAAAAGTAGTTTTATGCTGAACGTTTTTTATTTTTTAATATTGTGGAGATTCCTTTGCGTACCACCACAGGGAGCCTGCGTACCACCGGTGCTACGCGTACCATAGTTTGAGAACCACTGTGTTAGACGACATAAACTATGTTAGGTAATACCCCCACCTGTGAATTTTGAAGTTTTTACGCATCCTTAAAAAGGCGGTTGCTAACAAGTGGCTAAATGTGACTACAGTGGTTGTCGGGGACATTAAACATCATCATGCCGGACACAGAGGGCGGGAACTCTCTCACTAGTCGGAGATGTCTCCTGTAGGTTTAATCTTTAGGTTAAGGTGAATATTATGTTAGTAAACAATTTATCAAGGATTAGTTTATTGGAAATCGTCTGAAGCATAACGGTAGTGACGTCACAATCATCCGACCGTGGTGTAGTTCGCTTGGAGCATAACGTTAGCTTTTTACTTCTGTCGGCCGCATTAACACTTCAAACATCATAAAAATGGCGTCCATTTGTGAAGATTATCCTGCTGAACAAAACGCCTACGCTTCAGAAACGTGCGTTTGCCACAGAGCTTATTTTCTGCAATGATCCAAAATGCAATGCAAAAATCCCACAGGTGAATTCTCGTTAGACCCCATGGCGATGCTACTTCCGGGTTGGCCTACAAAAATATGTCATATGGTTTGTTCGCTATAGGTTGATTCATATATTTGGCCCATAAAAACAAGTGTAAAGTAGTAGTGTTTTCTTGGACCTTGCTGTGAATTTAAGATTTTTGTCTGTCTGTTTGTGTGTCTCTGGAGGGTGTGGCTGCAATCAACACCGGGTGACTACACCTGCAGCTCATCTGCTCATCTGCCTCAAGCTAAAAGCCCTGGGCTCAACTTGACTCATTGCCAGATTACTGAGTCTACTGAAGTGGTAGATACTATCGGCTGCTCCTAACATTTGTTAGAGTTTTGTTACTAGCGTTTTACTAGAGGATCCTAACTGATTTTTCTCTCCTGTTGTCCAGATTCTCACCGGTGTCATCTCCTCCAGCCTGCGCTCCTCTCAGACAACTCAACCACTCACCCGCCTGCCTACAGAACCAGCTAACTCCATAGTCTCCTCCACGCCGTCATTACCAGCCAGCCAGCCAGTCAGCCATCCATCTTTTCCAAACCCTGCAATAAAACCTTAAACCCTTCAACTTTGCTGCCGTGTCTGCTCTTGGGTCTGGATACAAACCGTAACAACAGACAAGTTTTCTGTTCGCTCGTTCGTACATTGTTCTCCACTCCTGTGCTGATTGTGAATATTCTTTATTAGAGCGTCAGACTCTCTTTACTGCTTTAGTAACGTCTGTTGACCTAAATTGGGATTGTTGAGAAAGTCAGGAGTTCATGTGTGAACATGTTTATGAAAACTTGCACAAATAGAACTCCCTGACGTACTTATTACTATTTTTCCATCGTCGGGTCTTCCATCATATTTCCTTGTAAACATCCTCCCACCTGTTCCTCTGGTAAATCCTTGTGCATCAGGGTGAACAATGGGTTTACGCAATCATGAACTTGAACAAACTTGTAAAAGTGAAAGGGATGTGGTAATCCCAACAGGATGTTAAAATAGACTCTTGTGCAATTTCACTGTTTTAACAGAGGAAGGCTGTGTGGAGGGCTGGGTGATGCAGTCGCGTTGCACATGGGGAGGGATTTCCTCTCTTTAACACCTGTTGAGTGAGTGGGAGAAACATGAGAGTAAAAATCGTTGCAATCCCCTGAGCTGGTTCACACGGATTTGGAAATGTTCGCTTCAGGAAAAAAAAGTTAACTTGTATGTAAAAATGTTTACTTGTATAAAAAATCCACACACGGAAATGAATTTCATGTCACAAATGGGGGGGAAAAAATGTGAACCTGTAGAGTTAAAATTTGAACCCAAAGAAAATATTCACACATGCATGATCTGAATGTGAAGTCACAGAAAAAATATTCACAAATGTGTAGACTGATATTTACACAAATAAAATGACAGCTGCAAACTTGTAATCCAACATTTACTCACGTTTTTTTTATTACTCGTGCCTATTATCATTTACAACCACAACTCTGCGGTTACAACTTCTCAAATCTGCCGCTACAACTTCACAAACTACTTTTCTCGTGTGAATCTGCGCTGCTTGACTTTTGCAACACATTTTGCAAGTAGTCTGTAGCAAAACAAATTTGTACTTGTAAAAATGCCCCCCTCCCCCCTCCCCCTCCCCCTCCCTCCTCCCCTTGCTCTACTGGCTGCTGCATTGTTATCAGCCAGCAATGTCTGTTGACATAGTAAGGCCACTTTTATCATTTAATTCAGTAGATATATCTTACTTATTGGTCCTTTAAGGTGATATTATGAAAGCAACAAGTATAGATGGTTTAGAGCAGGGATGGGCAACTTTGGTCACAGCGTGACGTTTACTAAAAGCTTCTTCTCATGAAAGTTCCTAAGAAAAGTATCGGCTATGAGTATGAATAGAGCCAGGATTGTTCACCACACCTGACAACACCAAACATCTCCACTGTGTTTAAATGATGTTAGGGAGAAAGTATGTTAGACTACAGAGCACCACCTTAAAAAAATTGGAGAATCACTCAACGGTCTTTTTGCATCAGAAAATTACAAACCCATGAGTCACTTTCTTCCGTTATCAGTGGCTAACTAATCAAACTAAACACTCAGGCAATTTCAAGCTGAACTTTTCTGTAATATGCTGAAAGATTTCTGTTACATGACTTTCTGATTTTAGCCACAATGTGTTTTCTTTGTTTTATCTCAGTGTGACACCCAAGAGTATGTGAAAACAGATATATGTACAAGTCTCTTAGGGCGCACTCACACTAGGCCCAGTTGTCACGTTTATTGGTGCAAGAGGTCCCAGTTTGTAGATATGCTTTTTCAATGATGTAGCACACTTTTACAAATGTTTGTAAATTATTCTGCAGACGCCCAAGATATGGTTCGCAGACTCCTGGGGGTCCTGGGACCCCACTTTGAGAATCACTGCCTGACGTTACGTTGCAATCTGTTCTGAATAATATCTGCCTCTAGACAAAACCAGAAATCTTTCTTTTGTTAGTCAAAAGAAAGTGAAGTTTTAAAAGAAATCTTAGAAAGACTCTGTTCATCAGTGCTGCGTTTGTGGGTATTAAAGAACCAGACGACCATATTTCTGTAACACACATGCATGTTTATTGCACATCAAACCAGCGGCCAAAAAGTGAAGAGTCACCTCATTTTAAAGATCCTCTTTCAGTCGTGTAACAGCACACCAAATGAAAAACATCAAATCAACGGGAAAACACAGCTCATTGAAACAACTGTAGGCAGAAGTCCTGAATATATTCATACAAACAATCATTCAATACATTTATTATTCAATACATTTCCAGAATATTTTCTCGTCTAGTTGTAATTACTCGCCTCCGTACACATATACCGGGGCACATAACCAATTACAAGATTAAAAGTCTTAATCTGTCATTTAGCGTCGGGCGCTGTTGCTTCATCCACCATTTTCCTTTTTACGCCATGTCCTGCCTTCAAGACCGCGTCCCCTCCCATTCCACAAACAGTCTCCTGCATGTGCAAACAAGTTGGGAAGGTTTCAGGGGCGACCTGTCCGGACATTTTCAGGAGTGCTCGTCTGAAACGGTCTTCATTTATGCATTACTGGCTCTCAAAAAAAACAAGATGGCGGCTGTCAAAATGCAAGACCGGAGGATTCAAAAGATCAGTCGACAAACCAACGGGTGTTTTTTTCTTACATGCAGTCTGAGTGTGTTCACATGGACTTGAGCATCCCGGTTTTGATCAAGTTTTTAAAGTAGTTAGTTTTTGTGTTTGTGCATATAAACATGATATCCTGATGCTACCTAGAAAACATGCAATATGTGAGCCCGGTTTGTGACGGCTGCAGACTTCCTGCACAGGCGTGGCCTCAGCCAAGAGACGCATCAGCAAATCAAATATCCTTGTGACAACTAGAGCGTCTTACTTCTGCAGCGTCGAAGACACTGAGTTTGTCTTTCCTGTTACTGGAAATGAGGTGGATATGAGATATCTGCAACGCCATGTTGACATTTAATAGTGCTAAACCTGCTATAAGCCACAGTGGTCGCAAAAAATAAACATCACAAGCACCAGCACTAATCAGTAACCAGAATACCAGTATTCATTATGTGCACAGGGATGTGAATAAGCAGGTTTCTCTGAGTGCATGTAAACACCACATCCTGAAGATGATCAGAACCGGGGGGACCTTGAGTCCATGTGAACACACTCAACACACTGGTTGTTACAGACTCAGAGACAGGAAGCAGAATCTGCTCAGAAACGTTATCTAAAAGGAATCTATAGGTAACATGAGAGTCTAAACGTTTAACGGATTGAATCTTCTCTGGCGTTCTGGGGGATATTTTGACCTGCCGGTGTTTCTACAGGAAAGATCAGGATCACAAAAACATTCAGTATCAGCCTCTGAAAATCAGAGATATCCTCGCTAGAGTCGTTCTAACAAGTACAGTTCTATTTTTAGCATTTTAGTAGGGGAAATCACAGTGGCGGATTCCCTCTGAAAACCATTACACACTGATGACTCACACATACTGAACCGGAGGTTAACCATCTAAATAAACACTTTACGATTTACATCATCTATCTAAAGTCACACATAAGCACGTATTTAGTCCTGCGAGTCTCCAATTGCTCACAGGCTGATGAGTCAGTTTCTAAACTCTAGTGAAATGATTGCATCAAACGATTTTCCTGTTGTGTTAAACTCTTACACCCAAAACAAGGACACACCAGTCACAAGTCGGGCAAGGTCTTCTTCTGTGGAAACCGGGGGACGCTTTAACCTTTTTGTCTTGTTTCTCTGTCAGGCTGCTAAGTGTATCTAACTCAGTCACCGAGATCACAAGATCAAGAAAGCAAACAAGCTGTGAATCTGCAGAACTTTCCTGCTCCAGTCGAAATGTCACGCTCCTGTGATTCATACGTCAACAATGCCACTTTCTGTTTCACATGACTGTTGCTGCATTTATTGCAACACAGCGTTAAGTATGACAAACTTTCCGTTTTTGTCACTATTGCAAATGTTTTGCATGTGCATGATGTTTGTTCGGAACAAAAATAGGAAAAATATTTGTAATGGCGTGATTTGAAACAAGAGTCAGAGCGATGGAAAATTATTTGCATTCATGTATTCAGGCTGTTTGGACACTTTCCATTGTGTAAAATGATGTGTCGACAAAGCCTATCAGGGTTTAGATTCCTGCCCTCCTAATGTTTAATCCTTAACAGTCGATCCAAACTCCATCGACAGAACATGCATTTTCAAAGTTTTCTATATTTTTGATCGCTTTATTCAAAGAGGACATATTATCCCCCTTCTCCACCTTTTCAAACAGTCCCCTGTGGTCTAAATGAAACATCTGTGCTGTGCTTTGGTCAAAATATAACATGACTCAAGCACCAGAGGAGGTTTGTGACCCTGTATAAACCAGCTCTCTCAGAATGCTCCGTTTTGGTGTGTGTGTCTCTTTAAATGCAATAAGCCCCCCCTGAGTTTTCCCGGTAGACATCACTCCTCTGTAGCGAGAATAAAAATGGCAGACCTGCTCAAAAGTTTTGTTCTAGGCTGGGGGTGGAGTCCATTGGTGGAGTTATCAGGGGAGGGGAGGAGATTTTTTTTTACCAGAATCCCACTGTGACATCACAAGGAGATCATATTTGAAACAGAGCATTTTTCTCTGTGTTGTAAGACTTATGGAGACCACAAAGGACTGGATGGGTTTATTTCACATTTTGTGGGTCAGTAGACACTCAGGTTACCCAAATATATGTTCAGAAACACTAGAAGTGGATTTTTCATAATATGCCCCCTTTAAACTGAACCTTCCCTCAGGGATTAAGAAAGCGTGTCTTGTGAATGTCCTCTCTAACCTCGCTTTCTCCGCAGCCTTTTGTCTTTCTTGTCCTGTTAAGCAGGGCGGCGAGTGGTTACAGGTAACTGTGGCATTTGAGCTGAGCTTTCTCTGCCATCCTCTGGGAGACGTGGAATACCTCCGGCGCCGGTGAAGTGCGTTGAGAGTCAGTACACACAGGGGAGCCTGGAGAGGCGTTTGATTGGTACTTCCCATCTGGATCTCTTGGCTGTGATAAGTCAGAGTTTTTTCAGTGGCTAGAGATGACGGCTCTTTTTTCAGTGCACATGATTTATTGATTAACTATCGCTCACCCTTCATTTAAACACTCAGCTCAGGATTCGTTTAAAAAAACAAAATGATCTTTGACCAGCACTCACTCGATTTACTGAATAAACTGCAGGATTATTGCTTAGTGCGGTAAACGCGTCATATTTTAGGGTGTTTCCACACCGCTAGATCGTTTGCTCTGGTCTGAATCATGAACCCATTTCTTCCTTTGCTGTATAATTACCTCTGGTTTGGTCTGTGTTCACTTGGGGACATTTACAAGCAGACTGTGTTTGATGCTAGTCGACTCCTGATTGGCTGTGGCTGCTCTAAAGACACTTTATGATTTCTAAATAGACAGACAACTACGCAGACTGATGTCGGCTCTGCTCATCGCTTTTTATATTGTTTGCATTCATCACTGTAAGCAAACAATACAGTTTGAGAATAATAATATGGTTGATGTTCTGGAGTCGCGGAAGCTGCTCATGGAGACCGTTCAGGAGAAGGAGCACGTTGATGCTCCTGAACCAGGACCTGCTCATCCACCCAGACTGTTTGTGAAGCTCTGTCAGGTCTGCCTGTGGTCTTAAGTGTTTAGTGATGATGAACAGAGAGGATCCACGGTGGTTACTTCCTGCAGTTAGGTCTTGATCTAGGTCGCTTCATGTTCTTACTACGAACAAACCACACCAGAGTCTGAAAATGAGCAGACAGAGAGCCACCTTTCTAAGCGGTCTCAGTACAGTTGTTTGATCTGCACCAGGGTTTGATTGACAGCTTTCAGGCCAGAGGAAACGAGCCGCACTAACATGGCTAGCGGACTTGAGTTTGTTTTGACAAAACCAAGCAGGTTTTGTGTGAAAACACCTGCAGACCGTGTCCTAACAGCACGCAAGCCTTATATATAGCGTTGCATCGTGCATGATCACACGCAGACTGTCCACACTGCGTCCATTAAATGTTTCACTCTCTGCTATGTGGATTTCGGTTTCCCCCGTGCATACAGAGTTAAATCTAATGCTTTTATTTTGAAGGTGGACAAACTGAAGTGTGGTGCTTGTTATTGATGAGCTGTTTACTCAAATCACAACACAGAGATTCGTCAATAAACAGCCAAAAAAAAATTTTTTTTTCCCCGGTGTCACAGCTCTACATTTCAACCGTGATGTGGATATTATTAATGCAACGTTATCTCCACTTTGTACAACAAGCTAACGAGCTTTGACGATAGAGAAAACAAGTGCCAGTGCCCCCTCCTTTCTCGTTTGTTGCCCGTCTACGTGAGCGACAGAAAGGCGGGCCACGTCGTGCTGCGTTAGGACACTCCTATAGGCAACACTGGACGGCATGCCGTTAGTCATTCACATTTCAATTGTAAAGCAGATCCAAGAAGTTCCAGATCGATTGGTTTAAATAATCGGGGTGAAAGCTCCCAGATCTCTGAGATCACTCTGGTTACCAAAACCTTCCACAAAATGTACGCCCAAACCACGACAATAACCCTGAAGTCATATTAAAGAGGAATAATGCACCAGTAGACGAAACGGGGTTGTGATGTTTGAAAGCCGAAAATAAAACGAAACAAAAATCGACATGAAATCAGTTTGACATGAAAACAACGAATATGCATTGTTAGCAGGTTGAGGAAGTGTCGCAGGAACTGTTGTCAAAACAATCCCACTCTGAGCACACACACATTAACCGCAACGAGACAACAATCTGTGAAGATGTCGAATGACCCGAAAACATTACTAACACAGTCACCAGAGTTTAATTCCACTTTCCCACATTTCTCATCTGTTTTTTAGGAACAGGTTTGCATAAGTGTTCGTTTTGTTCATGTGTGTGTGTGTGTGTGTGTGTGTGTGTGTGTGTGTGTGTGTCTTGATGTTTGGTCCATTAACTCAGCAGTTCTAGGTAGGTGACAGGAACTTTGCCTTTGTCGTTCCCACGCTCTCCGATCAACCAATCAGGGTCCATTCCCAGTACGGTGTAGACGGTGATTAGCTGCGGAGACGGAAACAGCAAAGACGTAAAATGTTATCAGGCATCGGGTCATAAAAATGTTGGACCCCGAAATAAAAAAAAAAGAAGTTGAAGAGGAAAGCATAGAGGAAGTTAGTGATAACCTCCAGCTCATGTTTGACATTTGAATCTTTTCCTTCCTCCCTCCCACTCCTCTGTCTGATCATAACTCTTTGTGAGAAATGCTCTTTTCCTGACCTAATGTTCTACTCTGACTCATTCTCCTGTGCTTCCTGACCCCCTCCCCAGGGATCCAGTCTATCCAGTGTAAATGTGTCTCTGAGTCATGACTGTCTACAATGAGTGAGAAGCTCGAGTCACGCTGGCTGTGTTGTTGTCAGAGCCGTGTTTACATGGACGGGACGGCCGGCTCCTCCCCTTGTGTATAAAAGCTGTTTTAGTCAAGGACTAGAGAGAAGAAGAAGAACATACTCACTGATTATTTGGATGTTAGTAAGAGTTTTTAGATCACGCTCATTCTGTGTCAGTTTACATGCAATGTGAAGCTACGAGCTAACTAAAGAGCGCTAACATTAGCAATGCTAACACAACAATGCAGCTCAAGCAAAGGATGATTTAGCCTGCTGCTTGTGCTTAATGGTGCGTTTTTAAACATAACTCCTTTGTGTGACCTCGAGTGGAGAGCGGGTTGGAGGTATGTCGCTGGAGGAGAGCAGAGGCTTCAGAATGGAGGAGGCGTGGCCTAACAGCAGTTTGTTTTGGTTTCATGCTGGATCAAGAAGTCACACATCCTTCCTTTAACAAGCGTAAATGTATCTGACACGTTCTGTCTTTAATTAATCAAAATGAAACGCTTTATTTTGACAGCCGTAGTCTTCGGTTTACAAATCACCTGCTGCTGTTTACGGCTCAAACATTCGCATCAATGTTTAAGTGTTACTCATCTGTGTAACTTTCACTGCTGGTTATTCATATCCCTGTCCACATGAGATGAGCGCTTTAACTTCACAATGTTTTAGGACTCTTTTCTTTTGTCTTACGCCTTTGACATTAAAGTGAAATCACTTCAAGGCCTTCATGCACAGGAAGAAAGAGTACAGCTCAGTATAAGTTTCTTTGATTGTAGACGTGGGAAAGTTATTTGAAGACAGTTTCAGAAGAAATGTAAGCGTGTCCTGTAAAGAGGGCATCCTGCATAGAACAGTTGGGTTAGACAACGAGTCGAATAAAATCAGCTAAATGTCTGCATCCTGGGGAGTCTCAAGTCTCATGGTCAGGTATTGCTCAGATAAACAGTACCACGTATGTTCCTGTGACTCACAAGTTTCTCACCTCATCAGCCAGGAGGGAGAGCTCGCTGACATCGTGAGCGTCGTAGTCATACAGGACTTTGGCCTTTCTGGCTCCTGTGACTGGGAGCTGCATTTGTTCCATGGTCGGCGTTCTTGGCTTTTGGTTAGATGAGGAGGAGGAGGAGGAGGAGACCGCAGCCCCGATGGATGGTCCAGACAGGAAGGCTGAGGAGACGGGGTTTGGGCAGATGGCAGCGGACGCAGGGCCGCTGACAGAATTAGCACATCTGCGTTGGAATCACAAGACACATTAAAGTTGTGAAATGGTGCATTTAGTTTCCAGTCCAGAGTTGTTGTTTTTTTTAGCTGTTTGTGTAAACGACGTGTGATATTGATCTGCTGCAGATGTTAGACATACGAGTGAAAATCATGAAAGGTCCAGAGAATTGTGGACGTGGTGGGTGAGGAAGAAACACATCTGGAGATAGATTTTGTTTGCAGTTCGTTTGCGTTCATGGAGAACCTTGCTGTAGGTCTGATTAGCTCATGTCTCGAGCGAGACGCACTTGAACGCTTTGATCCACCCAGACTGTTTGTGAAGCTCTGTCAGGTCTGCCTGTGGTCTTAAGTGTTTAGTGATGATGAACAGAGAGGATCCACGGTGGTTACTTCCTGCAGTTAGGTCTTGATCTAGGTCGCTTCATGTTCTTACTACGAACAAACCACACCAGAGTCTGAAAATGAGCAGACAGAGAGCCACCTTTCTAAGCGGTCTCAGTACAGTTGTTTGATCTGCACCAGGGTTTGATTGACAGCTTTCAGACCAGAGGAAACGAGCCGCACTAACATGGCTAGCGGACTTGAGTTTGTTTTGACAAAACCAAACAGGTTTTGTGTGAACGCTTTGATGGCTCATCGTGTCTTGATTGGATGAAGGATAAGAGTTATTCACAATAAAGCACGTACATGACCTGATTGACAAACGGGGCGCGGTGTAATAGTTTCGTCAGCCTGTCATTAGGTTGACTGAAAGTTGGACTGAGACAGCATTTCCAGCATGGAAAATCAAATGCGAAATTGCGAAAACATATTACGCACTTCCAGCTTCGTGAGCTGCAGAATATGGTCTGCGGTCTAACCTTTGTGGTGTAATTAAAAACACATGTTTAACATTCTTTTAAAATGTGCCAAACCTCCTTTGCCGTAAATTACACTTTCATACAGTATGTCTGAAAAGATGACGCAGTGATCGTTCACCTGCTGAGCTCCCGCTGGAGGTCCTGCATGTAGTGATGACACTGGGCATAGTAAGTCGCCTGAGCCTCCGCAAAGTCCTGCAAACAACGCAGGTGGTTGAGCTGTGGGGAATAAAGAAAAGACAGACACATGATGAATACATTCTCCAGCCGTATATAAAGAAGGTTTGATATATTTCCTTCAGATGAAGAGCTTGTGTGTTAAGATTTTAACCTGACGATCGGGGGACGCTCTGATTTGAAATCGTGAATATTAAACGTGTTCAATATTTACAGAAATCCTGTTGTGTGGGGGAGAATAGCCAATCAGGAAGCAAGCTGACTGAAGCAGACGGAACCACAACTAACGTAACCATGGCGACTAAAGCAAACGAAAAACATAAAGTTAGATGGACGTCATTAATTCAGGATCAACTTGTTAATTTGTGGCAACACCACGAGTGTTTATACTGGCTCTAATTCAAAATACGTCCCCACTGACGTAAATGACTGCAACCCATTTTCTTTCTGACTCATCCTGAGCTTTTTGTCTTCATACGTTTCATATGTTGGAACAGATGACACCTTGTTGATTTGTGGCAACAACTCAAGTCGTTATGCAACGTGTCTCTAAAAACAAACCACATTCCAACTGACGAGGAAACAAGGTGGACCAAAGTGTTTTTGGTAATGGATGTACCAACTAACAGCTAGCCACATTTAGCTTGACAGTTTACTCTTAAAATCGAGATTGAGCGCTCGAGATGACGTTTGCTATTTGGTTGTCTAGACATCGCTCTATTTTGTATCCGTCTGGTACCTGTGACTACCAGTTCACCAGAACTGTTAGTCACTCATGAAGATGCTAATTGTTGTGTTGCTCTCACATGGGTGCTGCTGATCCCCTCCAGCAGCAGTCTGGTGACCTCGGCCTGCCGGTCGAACTCTGTCTGAGCAACACGGAGTTCATGTTCTGCCTGTTGATGGATCAAAGCACAGGAAGGAGGTATTTAGAAATGCTGCAGGAGTGCATAGAGGGGTCCTCGCTAATTAAACACACATATGAAGGACCCTAATCCCTAATCGGTCAGGTGCTAATATATATATATTCATTCTTATTACAAAAACATAAATCCTCCTCCTCTACACTTTTCTTCACATGTATTGTTGTTCTGAGATAAAATGCATTTCATTGTGTGGAGAATATACAGTGTGTGTGAGAGGTCCAGAATTCATTTATTCACGCACGCACACACCCACGCACACGCATAAGCACACACACACCAGTAGCAGGGGTACTTACTTTGTCTACTTCCTCACTCAGAAGCTGAGAGGAGCAGCGTGAGGAGAGAAAGAAGCCGTCATAAACCAAACTTAGACTCAAGATCACGTTTCACCAATAAACTACAAACTCTATCAATGAACTACAAAATCGACGCTCGGATCACAGGACAGTTTGAAACACTCCACATGTGGATTAAACACTCAAAACATTTCTTTCTAACAGTTTAATTTAAAGGAAACAAAACAGTGCTAACATGTCGTGTTTGTAGTGACTGAAACATTTATCTTAAATATTTTACCGTAGACAATCATGAAAGTTTAACATTCAAAGCAGCTCTGCTCTCATTTAGTTCATTCAAAACTTTGTTCCATGCGGATTTTGAAATCTGCACAAATACTGGCATTTAAACCATCAGCAGCATTTTCTCATTTAAATAAAAAAGCATGATATTAAATATGTGAAACTCAAATCTGCAACATGATGCATGATTCAGAGACGCTTCTGTAATTACTGACGTTTAAAGAGAGTTTATTTGGTGAGTGATCAGAACTGCAGATTAAAAGCTGAACCTGCTCTTTCTGTAAGTATTGACATAGTCTGTTGTGATTTTTTCTTGTCTCACAGCTGCTGTCATTGGCCGAACGCCTGGAACCTTTACTCTACATTCTGCAGATGTGACTGACTATCGTATTACGCCCCCTTGTGTTTAATAAAGGTTATCATGACACGAGGCATCCTTCCTGCACGGCACTTAAATATTTAAACATACTTATTTTAAAACTGCATTGAAATTTGAACAAGCTTTTTTTTCCTTTACCCCTTTCTCTTTTTACCTCTTAATTTTGTGATATTTCCTAGGAGATTCCAAAAAACATCAGAGTAGATTCATGTTAAAGGTCACATATTCTCCACCTCTTCAACCAGTTTAAATAAGTCTCAGAGCTCCTCAAAACATGTGTGTGAAGTTTCTTGTTCTAAATTCACTCTGATCCTGTATTTGATCATACCTATAAACCCCTGTATTTCAGCCCTGCTCAGAACAGGCTGTTTCTGTGTCTGTACCTTTAAATATGTAAATGAGCTGTGTCTGACCACACCCCTCTCTGGAAGGACTTGGGTGTACTCTGTCTTTCTCACTCCATGTCCTATTATTTATGGTGAGAAGGCAGACTCAGAGGGCAGAACAAACACCTAGCTGTGGGAGTGTCACCCACCTGGGGGAGGGGTTACTGCCCTTTGTGATGTCATGAATGGAAAATCTCCACACGGCCTGTTTGAGCACACATTTTCTGAAAAGTGGAGCAGGCAGAAGACAGAGAGGATGGACTTTTCTCATCATTGGGGGGGATTTGTAGACAGACTAGAGACACATATTAGTGTCAGTGGAGAGAGAAATCACAACACAATGATTGAGGTTGTCTGTGAAGTCCGACGTTTTGGTGACAGAACCAATGAGACTGGTTGTGGGAGGCGCTTGTTGCCAGGGCGAAAAACATGATCAAGTGTAATTCATAATATGTGACCTTTAACTAAATTGGGCTAAACTACCAGGGCTTGTAAAAACTAAACCACACACGTAATCCCAAGAGACAGACTAGAGGAGTTAACACCTTAAAAAACTATCATGTTTGTCACTGTTTTGGGCACATTTTTACAACCTTGCCCTCCTCGGACACATTGGGTTCAGCCGTCAAATCCCAGCTCTCCCAGCCGCTCTGCAGCTTTTAAATCACAGAGCCGACACAAAGAAACACACATCACACATTTCAACACCTTCCAACGACATAGAAGTGTTCTGGAGGAGATAATCAACCCCAGTCTGTTCCCACATTCTCTTTGCTCAGTGTCAGGAAATAAATGATTTCAAATATAAAACATGCACTAAAAAGTAACAGAGGAGTGTCGGTCATGCAGCAGCCGTTGTCGTAGAGACAGGACGGACGTGCAGCACTTTTCTTCTCAGTGCACAAACGCTTCATTCAAGCGCTTCCGAGCGCACAGCAAGTGCTTTTCTGCACGGAAAAAAATGCTAGGTGGACACGGGGCCTAAATGGATATAAACTGTTTGTCGAGTAAGTTTTGGTGCATTTAGGCCACCGTACCTCTCTCTCTATATATTCTGTGATTTGCTCCAGTGTGAAATGAACTCTGTCGTGTCGTTCCTTCAGAACACACACAGGTAAAGTTTGAGCTTTCAGGCAATTCAAACAACAAAAACATAAACATGCACAAACATGCTTGAGTCCTCAGTTTAATATGAACGTCACAGACATCATGCAGCACGGCTGTTAACACGGCCTGACGAGCCTCGCTAGGAGAACTGGACGTTTTTTGATTTTTGAAATTTTACAGCTGATTGTGTCGGATTCTTGTCGTGTGAACAAAATACTCCCACCAGTCTGAGATCGAGACAAGACCAAGTCAAAATTACGGTGGCCGGTTGAAGTCAAACGCTCAGCAACTGATGAAACGACATGCATATAGAAAATACATATAGACATCCAGCAAAGGGACTCATCCCATAGCTGCTGCAACGAGGACTTTAGCCTCTGTTCATGTGAGAAAGAGGTGTGATTCATATTGTCATGTTTTAACTCATCGTTTGTCATTCAGCGTTCATGCTTAGCCTTAAAAGCTAATCCTCTAATGCTATACCCCTGCTAGCTTGTCAGCCCGGCTTGATTTCCCACGTTTTTGTTTCGGGCATGACTCTTACCGCAGATGCACTGGCAGACAGAACATAATTTCGAGGCCGTGTCTCCTGAAAATCGGGTGCAGCCTAAAAAACGAGAGGCAGGGAGGAGGGAGGAGACACATGTTGCACAGTCATGCAGTCACAATCATTGAGCAGAAAAAACGTAAATAATGAAAAAGTTAGCCAGAAGCAGAGCAGCATAAAGAGACACATAGAGAAGCAGCAAACAGCAGAAACATTGAACACATTCAGAGCAGAGTGCTGTTAGTCTTTGTTTGTAATTAAAACATATAGAAACACTATTTTATCTGTTTTTTACTGCAGTATTTAAAGGAGCAACATGTAAGATGTGTAGTAAATTAAATGATAAAGGTATCTTACTATATGATCAGACATTAATGAAACATGCTATGTTGAAGTGCTGGCTTCTCTGACAACAATGCAGCAGCCAGTATGTCCTCCTTCTAACTTTAGATTCTGGTCCTGAATGATCTGGATTTGTTTGGACCAGAGAAGGTAGGCGGTTTTAAGACACCCCCACACGGCCGTTTTGGATGCCCCTCGGTTTGCCAGATATGAGAGCAGTTATCAGGTCAAACCAACAGCTGTTGCAGCGATGGAAGCAGCAAGAGAAGTGGTTCAGATAGAAGTGATTGTACCCGACCTAAAAAGCCTCTGCATGTTTCTAATAAGCTCCACGAGCAGAAACGTGCTCAAACTAGGATCAATATTGGAGATGATTTTGAAAAATGGAGAGAGGTTAGAACACAGAAAGGTTTACAGACCGATGCAGAGCTGGATAAACACTGAAGCTTCAGTGTCCACCACATGGTGACCTGTGTGAGCATCGACTCTAGAGAGGAGGGGGCGGGGGGAGACAGCTCTCTACAATGTTTTGTATTCAGACTGCAGTACCCATTTTAAACACTAGGGGTCAGAGTTACATATTGCTCCTTTAAGTACAATAAAACACAGGACATTGCATCTATTAGTCAGTGTAAGGCGTAAAGAATCTCTTACTGAGGTTCAGAAACATGTACCAAGCACTGCAGACAGAATCTGAATATTTTTTTTTTAATTGTTATGGGGATATTTCGTCAGAGTGGTCATACGACAAAAAAAAAAAAAAAACTTGATGCAAAACAAAACAACTGCTGACGTTTCTATAAAGAGGGAGACCTAATGATTTCTGTTCCCTGACATGTGTGATATTTATAACGTTATATCTGATGATGTTTGTGTTTATTTAAAGCTTTTTCCACTGAAAAAGCTTTAAATAAACCGAAAAGAGTTTCATTAAAGTCCTTAAGAGAAGCAGAAGAAGAGTCTCACCGCTGCCTTGGCTTCAGCCTGCTTTGCTTTTTTCACTCGAGCTTTGCAGATGTCGAGATCGAGGCGACGGTTCTCCAGAAGTCGCCGCTCTTTCTGCAGAGCATGAATGAATGAATGAATCATTATGTGAGGATCCGCTGCAGGGAACAAATAAGGGCCTGGTTGTTCAGAAGTCATCTGATTAAAGCTCCCAGATTGAAAACAGGAAGTTCAAATTTCCAGTTTGTTTTGTTCAAAACTTTGGAGTAGGATTTTGATTTAAGAATTGGGATTTTCAGATTTAGAGGAACTTCATGTAAGACAACAGATGAGGTCAAACAACAGAACACTTTTACAACAATGTTTAAACTTGAACTGCTAAATGGCTGCAGGAAGAGAGATTGAAAAATAATAAATTAATACTCATGAAATATTTCACCAAGTAGCATCAACATCAAACATAAAATATTTTATTAATAGCAGAGGTGAGGATCTTTCAGTTAGTGTGGGTTTTGGCGCCCCCCTATGGACAAAGTATGTAGAGCATAGTCTCATTTAGAGAACTGTTTATCTTTAAAGGTCTGTGTCTGGATCAGTTTAATCCAATCCAGTTTTTCTTTGCATAAAATCCAAATCCTTTTGAACAACCAGGTCCTGGAAACACACGAGATCTATTCTGCTACCACAAGGAAACATCCGAGGTGCCATCCTCCTCCTCACTGTAGTGGTGATAACACAAAGAGTGGTAAATGAGTGAGTGAGTGAGTGAGTGAGTGAGCGAGTGAGTGAGCGAGCGAGTGAGTGATAGAGTGAGTGAGCGAGTGAGCGAGCGAGTGAGCGAGTGAGCGAGTGAGCGAGCGAGTGTGCGAGTGAGTGAGAGAGTGAGTGAGTGAGCGAGCGAGCGAGAGAGCGAGAGAGCGAGAGAGCGAGTGAGCGAGTGAGTGAGAGAGTGAGAGAGTGAGCGAGCGAGTGAGTGAGAGAGTGAGTGAGTGAGCGAGCGAGCGAGAGAGCGAGAGAGCGAGTGAGTGAGAGAGCGAGCGAGCGAGTGAGTGAGTGAGCGAGCGAGCGAGTGAGTGAGAGAGTGAGAGAGTGAGTGAGCGAGTGAGTGAGTGAGCGAGCGAGTGAGAGAGTGAGAGTGAGTGAGCGAGCGTGAGAGAGCAAGTGAGTGATAGAGTGAGTGAGTGAGTGAGTGAGTGAGTGAGTGATAGAGTGAGTGAGTGAGTGAGTGAGAGAGAGAGAGAGTGAGAGAGTGAGTGAGTGAGCGAGTGAGAGAGAACGAGTGAGTGAGTGAGAGAGAGAGTGAGTGAGTGAGAGAGTAAGTGAGAGAGTGAGAGAGTGATAGAGTGAGTGAGTGATTGAGTGAGAGAGCGAGTGAGTGAGTGAGTGAGAGAGCGAGTGAGTGAGAGAGAGAGCGAGTGAGTGAGCGAGTGAGCGAGAGAGAGAGAGAGTGAGAGAGCGAGTGAGAGAGAACGAGTGAGTGAGAGAGAGAGTGAGTGAGTGAGTGAGTGAGCGAGTGAGAGAGTGAGTGAGTGAGTGAGAGAGAGAGCAAGTGAGTGAGTGAGTGAGCGAGTGAGCGAGTGAGTGAGCGAGTGAGAGAGTGAGTGAGCGAGAGAGAGAGCGAGTGAGTGAGAGAGAGAGCGAGTGAGAGAGTGAGAGAGTGAGAGAGAGAGCGAGTGAGTGAGAGAGAGAGCGAGTGAGTGAGTGAGAGAGAGAGCGAGTGAGAGAGTGAGTGAGTGAGAGAGAGAGTGAGTGAGAGAGAGAGCGAGTGAGTGAGCGAGTGAGCGAGTGAGAGAGTGAGAGTCAGACTTACAGAAATGGTCCTCCAGTCTCCCTCCAGGAAGTTGCGGAGTGGAGTGAGGAAAGTTGTCGCGGAGGTGTGGAGGAGCTCCCGCTCGGCTCCTCCCAGTCTCTTCTGATATTCTCCCACGGTGATCAGAGTGCTGCCTGCAGGAGACAAACACACAAACGTTCAGCTCACCTTACAGGGATCACTAAGCTGTGCTCATTATTTAGGGAAGACGTAATCATATAACAGAAATGCTTTCAAAGTGTGATGAACTGCAGCGTCTTCACTTTTCGCTTCATCTTCTTTACTGACCGTACGGTGTCTCTGGACCGAATTCCGCGGCGGCGTCCAGCATGTACTGTCCCAGCAGCTCTGCGTTGGTGGCCTTGGAGGGAAGCTTCTTGTCCAGCTTATCGTAGATGTACTCTTCTATTCGAGCGCCTGGAGGACGAGTGAGACAGACAGTTACAGGTGTAACATTCATCATTTAAACTGTGGCATTACCTACAGAGAAATTTAAGGATTAGATTTATTGCGCTTGAACTCTTTCTAAAGACTTGAAACATTTGGAGGTCGACAGTTTGTGTTCAACTCATCATGAATAAATGGTGACCAAGGAGGGATTTAAAGATTTTATCTCAAGTCTTTGTAAAGGTTTTTATTTAGTTGCTTTTTGAGTCTTTACTTAGAGACATAGGAGAGAGGATAGAGTCAGAAATCAGAGTGAGAGATAGATAGAGAGAGAGAGTGGGCAATGACATGTGGTACAGGAGCCACATGTCAAACTCAAACCAGTGTCGGCCTCCTTTGAGGACTTCAGCCTCCGCACATGGAGCATGTGCACTAACCACTAGGCTGCCGGCGTCCTCATGTATTTATACAACATGATTTTTGTTTTTCTGCTGTAGCGGTGCATTCATGTGGTGTCGGACATTTCTGAGTGTCCGAGTTGTAAAACGCACATGAACGTCTGCTCAGAACAACTACTCGGAAACTCGGAGAAGAATTAGATGCCCGACTTGACGTCAGAATCGTCATCACGAGGGGGAAAATATGTTTTGTTATTGTTAACATACTTTTGATCAATTCAAGTAATGCACATCAACTTTTTACTCAAATATAACTCTTAACAGTTACATTCCACTGATCTTCTTCATAGCATCAATGCTGTTTTGTGCCATTGTTACAACATTCAGACTTTCTGAACTGAAATCATGTTAACAATGTCATCGCATTTTCTTCTCACATTGTACGTTCCTCATGTTCTGATATGCTCTTATTGTTTGGTGATATCATGTTACAGGTTTAAACTCTAGACAGTCACTGCGTCTGAAGCTAGCTGTGGTACGATGCATCAAATGGGAACAGGTATGTTTAATGTTGAACACGGCCCCTTTATAAATAAAATAATTAAAATGATCTGTGACGGTTCTAGAGGAGCTTCAGAGAATTCACACATTGTTTTTCTTTCAAAGCATTCTGGGTAATGACTCACCTGTGTGATCGACTGGAGCGTGAAGGGTTAAAAAAAAAAAATACACAGAGCAACTGTTAGACAAGAAAATATCAAACAAAGAAAATATTCACCATTCTTCTGTCAGTTCTATTAAAGGTCAAGGCAGGAGGACCGTGTGGCAGTCTAAAGGTGTTACACTTTCTTTAGCTTCATTATAAAAGCTGACAAAGCAAATTAAAACGACAGATGTTTATAAGAAACACACACGTGTTGATTCAGTCTGCTGCCTTTTAAATGAGTGACGCATGTTACATTTCAAAATTACAACATGTTGTGTCAACTGCTGGTTTGATTTTTATTTTAAAGATCTGTACATGTATGAAGGTATGTTTGCTTAGGGCTCTTTCACTATGGAGTCCCAGAGGTGACAAATATTCTGCAACCTTTATAAGTCAGTGTATTTTTTATTAAAATGACTAAATGCTCTAATACTGTAATTGACATGTAATTGACCCATCTGTCACATAACTGCATTTTTCTTACTATCATGTTACTTCAGTATCTTTTGCACTATTCACCACTGCACTGTTTCATATTTAGTCATGTAAATATTAGTCTTTTCTTATTATGTTTATTGTTGATATTTAATGTTGTACCTGTACATAAGAGAGCACAGTTCACCAAAGTTAAATTCCTTGTGTGTGTAAGCATACCTGGCCAATAAATCTGATCTGATTCTGATTCTAAATGCATTTTTCCCTCTTAACACATTCAAATGTGACTCATTAGAAAGTGATGAACATTATTCGTTTCTCCTAGGACTCGGTTTGGTTTGCTGATTGGTCGACAAGAGATGTATCTCCTGGTTTGAAGGTCAGATAAATGTTTTTTATTCTCTTACTCGGGTTGGGCTGCAGCAGCACTTCTGTCTGTCTCAGGATCTTCTCGGTCCAGTTCTTGGTGCCGTCCCCTCGACTGATCAGGTTCTCTAAGTGGGCGTCCAGCTCCGTCTTCTCAGCCTGACCGAGCTTCTCCTCTGTGAACTGAGACACAAAGACAAGACCCTGAGTGAACACAGCAGGCACAGGTATAAACAAACGTATACTGCAGCAGTTTTCAGTTAAGTGCAGCAAAACAGCTGCTAGCATGTCTGTAGACTCTTAAAGGTCACATATTATACTAGATTCTCTTCCCCATGTTTCTCTAACACTAATATGTGTCTCTAGTCTGTCAAACCCCCAATGATGAGAAAAGTCCATCCTCTCCATCTTCTGCCTGCTCCACTTTTCAGAAAATGTGTGCTCAAACAGGCCGTTTGGAGATTTTCCCTTCATGACATCACAAAGGGCAGTAGCCCCTCCCCCTGGTGGGTGACACTCCCACAGCTAGGTGTTTGTTCTGCCCTCTGAGTCTGCCTTCTCACCGTAAACAATAGGACATGGAGCGAGAAAGCCTGAGACACCCAAGTCCTTCCAGAGAGGGGGCGTGGTCAGACACCGCTCATTTACATATTTAAAGGTACAGACACAGAAACAGCCTGTTCTGAGCAGAGCTGAAATAGAGGGGTTTATAGTCATGATCAAATACAGGATCAGAGTGGATTTAGAACAAGAAACTTCACACACGGTTTGAGGAGCTCTGAGCCGCCTTGTATATTGTCTGCAGGAAAGTCAGAGTGAGCTGATGTGAGAACACAGCAGGATATAATCAAGAGAATTCACCTCCAGGGGGTGGGAGGGGGTGGTCACATTTATTATCTAGCGCATTATCTGGTGCAAGACCACAGACTGTCTGCACACAACGACAGATCTCCGAGCACATAATTAAATTGTTTTCTGTTCTCAGCCTTGATGGGGATTCTGTCACAGTCTGTCATGAATAACATCTGCAGGGATGTACACTCTGCTGTCAGATTGTTATTTTCCCATGAGCCATGACACAGATCATAATACCTACCTGCTGGTTAGTAGTGTAACCTGTGACAGGCCGGACTACAGTCTCTACAGTCTCTTTCTTTTTAGCTTCATCCGTCATCGTCCTCTTCTTCTGAGCCTCGGACGTTGTATCAAACAGTACAGAGACGGGCTAACTGGCAGCTTTGTTGCAAAAGGCTGCTGTGTGAATTAGTGCAGTAAAGCTGAACGCTCTTCTCTTGCAATGACCTCAGCCCGCTGCCAAAGTTACATAGAACGCTGCCCGGGCGCTCTGTGGACATGCTCTTCATGTTTACAGATCGCCCCTGAATGCACTCTTCAAATTCAGTCATCCTTAATTTTACCATCATGAACCAAAACCAACAATAAAGCAACCACCATCATCCTCTAAACATCCAACATTTACAAGCTGGTGAAAGTAAAGCTTTGTGTCTGTTAATGCAAATCATTCCCACCAATTATTCCCACCAACAGCTAAATCCAAACAGTACAGATTATGATGAAGTCACCCACTTCTGCTGCAAATGTTGTCATTTATTTCTGAAGCTAAAAAAAAAAAATCCCACGACCATCTGTGGTATCAAATCGAGCCGTCAGACTTCATCCAACTTCCTGTCAGGTTTTCATGTCAGACAGACAGCAGGAAGCAGCCAGCTGAACTTTTAACACGCACAGATGAGTAAGACATTCATCATCACTGTCACATAACAGGAAGGAACAACTCAGACGTACAGCAGCTTCTTGGATGAGATCGGATGACACAACAAACCTCGGAGTTATTGACATTAAAAAGAATTCAGGAGGGAATACAGGAGACGGACAGAGTCAATCTAATGCTGGATTACCAGGCCTCTCAGTCTGGACCCTCAGGGACCCTCTGCTTCATCCTGCGGTAATTGGTTTGTTGGAATATGATTAACCTTTTATCCCCTAGAGTCCAGCCCAGAGAAAACCAGCATCACAAACTGGAGGCAAGGTGAAAACTAACAGCCATGTGAAGCAGAGTATGAAAGAAATAAAAAATAAACACACAATGTCTGACTTCAGCCAAGCCAGACAGTCAAACAGTATAAAAAAAGGTTTGATGCTTTGTGAATAAATCAGTGAAACCATCAAAACTCATAGATTTTGGATAGAATTTGAGCATAAAGGTGTAACAGCTTCAAGCATCAACGTATGCTCTTACATAGACTCTCTTCTCCCAGCACTGTGGGGGGCCTCCAACCTGCGTTTATCACACTCGTCTGACGCTTCTTCCTCTTTTTCCCCGTTTCCTTTTTCTCTTCTATAGATGGATAATTACCCTTCATTGACACATTTTGTTTTTCACAGCAATAATGCATGAGTCCCTTAAGCAGAGCAATGAGAGGGAGTGCTGTCAGATGGGGACCCATTGGGGAGGTTTCCTGCTGTCCTTGGCCCAAATTTTGGGCCACTGCTGTGATTTAAGTTTGTGAGCCCTCAATGGCCCCCTACTTGTCTGTGGCCCCAAGCAATTGCCTACCTCTCCTGTTGACAAGCAGCGCCTCTGCTGACAGATAAACAATGCATCTGACAGCTGAATTAATTAATGAATCCCGTTGCTCCTCTTGTTGTTTACAGCTCGCTGCACGAAACAATCGTAAAATCGTATCTTTTTTAAGGAGGTTTGGCGAATCAATGACATGAAAATACACATTACATGCGCTTGTTGGCGTGTTATGTGACCGCGGAATTTCTGAATGACTCCTGCTGAGTCGTGACTGACGTAGGTTTGTTTCTCCTTTCTTCTTGCACCTCGTAATACAGGAGGAATTACTAAATGCATACTTTTTTTTACATGGGGTTTGGTTTGGTGTGAAGTTTCCTAAAGCACGAATGTGCAGGTTAGGCATGAATAATGTAAGCTGTGTGAGTGTCGCTGCTGTCACATGGGTGAGCCACTCGAGCACAGCCCATCAATAATAGATGGAGGCTTGGACAGACCTTTATCGGCTTACAGCGCTGGCAGTCCTCAGACAAACACACAACATAGAAACACCCGATTTCTCCCTTTTTAATGTCAATTAAAACACCTCGCAGTATGGGATGCTGCATGCATCAAACAGCAGGCCTCGCAGCAGGGTGACAGTAAATGCATCCACATAATCAGGAGCAGGCTGCTCGGTGTGCGGCTGCAGGAATGCCCCGCAGATCATTTGCGTGTAGATTTACCTGCACAGCGCGTGTGAAGAAGACCCCCGCATCGGAAGCCAGTTTTTTGACGTTGAAATCCATGGTGTGGTGCTGGTCTGAGCTGAGCATTCAGGCGGGCCGGGCTCTTGATTGTCCCCGCAGAGGGAATCCTCCGGATCAGCTGAGATGATGTAGCAGCAGACGCAGGATCGTTAATCCGCTTCATAGAGGATCGGAAATCTGCTCTCCGCCCTGCGTTTAAAGAGACAACAACACGTCCAAGCAGCTCACGACAACCCCCCCTGACATCTTGCAGCATGCAGTTACCACCATACTGTATTTATATACGTCAAATGTTACGTAATGAATCACAATGATGAGCCAGAATTTCACAATTTATCCACTTTATTAATTGCAGATGTCCTTATTTTAATTAAATATTGATTGTATCCTTCCTTCTCAAGTGTTGGTGTGAGGGAGAGATAATGCTCTGAAGCTCGGGCAGAAAGGTAAAATAACTTGTTATGATGGCACATGATAAAACCAATTAAAGGGAGAAGATAATTTGTCCTAGGACTATTCCTTGGTGTATGCCACAAAAAGTAAAGTCTGTGAGCAGAGGTAGAAGTTTAAATATAAGGAGATTTCTGAGGCTCTAGGAAGATTTAAGTGTTTTAAATACAATGTAGCTCCATTGTCACAAACTGTGGTTCCCTTACTCACCATTGTACTTTATATTCTAAAATCAACATGGACTGCTTTAAGTAAACGCTGGCTCGGATATTATCTTAATTTAAAAAAGCTATTGTGGGAATGATTCCAGACTACCTTTCGTCCTGTAGTGATTCTAGACTCGGTTGTGGCCCGAAGCAAAAACTCACAACTCACAGACCCAGTGTTCATTATGTTATAAATAATCTGACACCAATAGTAACTTTTAAGGGGACATATTATGAAGAATCCACTTGTACAGTGTTTTTTAACATATATTTGGTTAACCTGAGTGTCTACTGACCCACAAAATGTGAAATAAACCCATCCAGTCCTTTGTTTGTGGTCTGCATAAGTCTTACAACACAGAGAAAAATGCTCCGTTTCAAAATTGCTCTCCTTGTGATGTCACAGTGGGATTCTGGTAAAAAAAAAATCTCCTCCCCTCCCCTGGTATCTCCACCCATGGACTCTACCTCCAGCCTAGAGCAAAACTTTTGCGCAGGTCGGCCATTTTTATTCTTGCTAGCGAAGGAGTGATGTCTATGGGGAAAACTCAGGGGGGTCATTGCATTTAAAGAGACACACACACCAAAACGGAGTGTTCTGAGAGAGCTGGTTTATACAGGGTCACAATCCTCCTCTGGTGCTTGATTCATGTTATATTTTGACCAAAGCACAGCAGATGTTTCATTTAGACCACTGGGGACTGTTTGAAAAGGTGGAGAAGGGGATAATATGTCCTGTTCAATACACAAACTTAAGTTTGCATTGGAATATTGTGACAATTAGCAGCACAACAACGTGAGTAATGTCAGATGGGGCCCTCAATACTAATTTAAAGTTTGTTAGCCCTGAGCGCTGGCACCCTGCTGGGCTGGGGCCTTAAGCAGTTGCCCGCCTTGCCTGTTGAAGCAGCGCCTCTGCTTTCCTCTCTTTTAGTTCTGAAGGATGAATCCACAAACCTTCACTTGTGGACTTTGCTCCCAAAGTTAGAACTGAGTTCGAAAAGTAAGCCTTTAGGTTTTCTGCACCTTTTGATTGGAAAAACTTGCAGTCTGATTTTAAACTGCAAAACTTCATTAGTTGAGAACCCAACCTGTCTGCATTCAGCTGATGATTTTCTTATTATGAAACGTATACTGTATGAGTTTGATTGTTTTTGTTGTAATCGCTCTTCTTGGCCCCTTGTCTACCTTAAAGAGATCTCTGATCTCAAAGGGACTAACCTGGATAAATAAAGGCTTACATAAAACATGTTTAGATGTTTGTCTGGTCTTGTTGTGTTGAGTGAGTGGTGAGGACAGCGGAAAAGATCATTGGGACTCCACTTCCTCCCATTCAGGAGATTGCAAAGATCCGCTGTCTGACCAGGGCTCAGAAAATCAGCAGAGACACCTCCCACCCCCACCAAGGACTGTTTTCGCTGCTGGACTCTGGAAAGAGGTTCCGCAGCCTCCGAAGCAGAACTTCCAGGTTCTGTAACAGCTTCTTCCCACAGGCCATAAGACTTTTGAACAGGAAAAAATAATCCCTCCATTCCCCCTCAAACCCCCACACAGGACTACCTCACTGGACTGTAAAACACAATATATCGTGCAATATATTTATCTGTATAGTATTTTTACTCATAGTTTTTCTTTTTATATCTATTTATATCTGCACCTTATTTTTATTTTTTATATGTAAATACATGCTGCTGTTTTTATCCTGCACTACAACGGGCCAAATGCAACGAAATTTCGTTCTTATCTGCACTGTAAAGTACAAGTTTGAATGACAATAAAGAACGTCTAAGTCTAAGTCTAAGTCTAAGTTAATGTGTAAATTAAAAATAAAGTATTAAAACGGTTTAAGTATTCAAATGAAAATATATTCTAGGATGTTGACTGGTTTCCTGATTATTTATCACAGCTCTTAATAAGACAGAAGACAGAACAAAGTCACTTTTTTTGTTTTTACCACTCCATCTTTATTGCTTATTCATTTCTTTACACTAACGACCTGGTACTATTTAGATCAGGAAAAACTGGAACCCCATAATGTTTGGATCAAATATTCCTCACTCCATTTTGGATTACACTTATCAGCAGTTACAAAAGAAGTGTGACAGATGACATTAGTGAAGACAGACAGCAGTTCTCCTGAAGCACAAACACCTTTATAAATTAAAAAAAATTAACCCCCCCCTCTGACAGTAGCTTCCTGCTGTCTCTGACATTCAGGACTTGATTTCTTCCTGGAAAAACACAAACTTAAACATTCAATGACTTCAAATCAGAGAGAAAAGCTGACGGAGAAATACCCAAGAATCTTGAATCAAACACGAGCGAGATTTTGTTCTGATCACGTGAAAGTGTGAAATCCTCTTGACACCATCACGTCTGACCTCTGGACAGTAACATGAAGTTAGTCTCTAATAATAAAACTTTCATCTCACACCATCACTGCCTAGGAAATGTTTAATGTCCACCATGACTGTGAAAAACAGAGCTGGACCAATCACACAATGAAAATCTGTACATGAGAACCAGGAAATCAAGCTAGTGGGTGAACCAGAAATATCCGATATGAGAGCGCTTTAAGAAAACCAGTGAACGTAATCCTTAAAGGGGAGGTCTGCTAGTTTTAATCTGGGCTCTTTGTTTCTCATATGTTAGGGTTTAATATGATGAAGAAGTGCAAACTGTTTTTGAATTGCTCCTTCAGATTGCTTCCTTTAAAAGTTGTTTTATTGTGTCTGACATCATGACTGAGAGGATCCCTGCAGAGGTAGACCTTTGTGTTACAGAGGAAGACGATCCTGTTACATCACTCTTTCAAACTCACCTGCTGGTCTACCGCTGCGTCGACTTATTAGCGTTGTTGTGTTAATGTGTGCTACATCGATTTTCTATTTGATTTTAGTGTTGGAGTCGAGACCACACTGACCGAGACCGAGACATACCCAGCACTAGGGTGCTCTGAGACCGAGACAAGACCAAGACCATAAATATCACAGAAAAATCATCTTCTGTGCAGGGGGCGTGTCACTCTCTTTAGACCGTAAAACCAGGAAGGTTGCAGACGTAACCGGGGGATAAAAATCAAACTACAAATGAATTCAAAGGGGCGTTTTGTCAGTGGTGGTCTTGACTGGTCTTGATTTAAATCTGGAGTCCGCCCAGTCCAAGACCGAGACAAGACCGAGTAAAAATGCTTTTGATTCTGAGACGAGACCAAGACCTATTTAGAGTGCTTCAAAACTATTTGATTCTAATTTTATAAAACAAAAAAAACAACAGCCCTTTCAAGGTTGCAATAACACAACAGCGCTGTGGAGGAGGTCTTTGTACTTTGACACTGATTACACCGTGGCGTAATTTTGGTGTTCCCGGCTGTGATATCACATGACATCACGGCGTTGCAGAAGCACAACGAGAACACAAAAAGCGGCAGCTCCACAAACTGTACAGACACACTCACCACCTTCTCGCAGTGATCCCGTCCCACCACTGTAACGCCTCTGTGTACTACCCCGGATGCTTAGAAGGGGGACGAATTGGTCCCACCATAACGCCTCTGTGACATTCAAACTGTAGGCGAGGCTTAACAGCAGTGTAAATATCCTGACTCAAACTGGTCATTTAAATAAAATGGCTAACAGCACAAACAAGTTAGGCAACTGAGGTAACGGGAGACCAGCAACTACCACGATCTACCAAATTCTGTCAATGGAGCTTGGTGACGTTGAAGAGATGTAACAGCTGTTTGTGATAAAAACAATCGTCTTCCTCTTTAACAGAGAGCTCCCTCTCTGCAGGGATCCTTTCTGTCCTGATGTCACACATTTTGAATAACAACCTGAGCCTGTGAGGGACAAAAACAACATGTGCCCCAAAGGATTACGTTGCAGCGCTGAAGCTCTGTATTCAAACAATTCAAAATCATTAAATCCCTATAATATGTTGAAACAGGGGATTAAAAATAGAGGAACTCCCCTTAAACTGTAGTAGACTCTGATGACACAATGTGGTTCCTGTGCAATATTTTACAGGTGCAGGAGAAACGGTGCTGCATGTTCATTTGTGTGCATGATGTTGAAGGTTACTGGCTGTCCCAGGTTTAGGAGTACAGTGAATTAAATTTAGTGACTGAAAGCTTCTCACACCAACGGCATCATCCAAATCCTGTTACTGTTCTAATCATCAGCACCGCATGAGGCAGAGTGAGTCTTTAATCCCCCGCTCTGACTGCTCATTCAACCTCATTAAAGTCGTTTATTAAAGTCAGATTTAAATAGAAATGACACGATGATCTTACAGGTAACCACGGTAACACCAACATAAAAACGTTTTAATCAAAAGTGCTCGTTGATTTAATGGAATTAAAGTCTGTAACAATTTTGATGACGGCTAGATTCTGATTTTATTTTTGTTTACAGGAGAATCGTTTCAACTGTAACCCTGTGTGACCTTTCAGCCTGGGACTAAAACTCGTAGTTGGACTTTAAAAATAATGTTTCCTTACTCTTGATCCTTGTTCATTCTGTGTCTTCAGCATAATGAACATAAACATGAAACCTCCGTTATTTATTGTGTATAACTGTAAATGTCCTGGTGAATAATTTAACCGTCCTCTGAGTGTAAAAAACCTTTTAAAGATGGAGCGAACTCAACGATCATAAAGTCACTGAAGAAATCTGTTATGGTGAACGATGGAAAAAATCATCATGCAGGTCTGACATGTTAATAAATAAGGAACTAAAAATAATGTTAAAATCAATAAAACTCTGTGTGCTTGCCTCGTCTGAAAAGTAAACTGTTTCACATTTGTTGTATATTTCAGTCTCATGTTGTGCGAAATGCCAGCAGAAAAAACTGTTTTTGTTTAAAGGTGCCCTGTGGAGTTCATCACATTGGACCACAGCCTGTAAATATTAAAGGATGAAGCCTGAGTGAAGTGACCCGTCTGTTCCTGCAGGGGGCTTTGGGGGCTCATCGATGAGGCTGAGGCTGTTCATGATTTTAGCAGGAAGGAAGTGACCATATTTGGACAAGGGGGGGGGGTACTGGAGAGGAGCGAGGGTCTTCCCTCTTGTCCACTTCTGGTTCTTAAAGTATAGATGGCAATGATGTTCATTAAGTAAATTATGGTCCCCTTCATAGTCAAATTGAACAGAAAGCAGGGGATTATTTAGGGCGGGGCTACTTAGAATTGACAAGCTGTTGCCACGGCAACCTGAAAATGTCTTATTCAGTGTTTGGTTGCACTAAAAGAAGCTCTGAGGAGATGGCGCTTCATGTTTTCAGCAGGAACGTTTCTGTGTGAGGAAGTGACCATATTTGGACAAGAGGGGTGGAGCGAGGGTCTTCCCTCTTGTCCAAATAAATATGGTCACTTCTGGTTCTTAAAGTAGAGATGGCGATGATGATTATTTAGAGTCAAAGGAGACGATTAAGGGCGGGGCTATCTGTGATTGACAAGTAGCTTCCACACAGAGACCTGTCAATCAGGACAGAAGTGTAGCAGCGCGTATCCACCAACGTTTCCAAATATGGTCATGTCTGGCTCTAAATGACCAGGATGGTGTACCAAAATGCCAAACGTAATGCCCAGGAACGACAGCCTACAAACTAACGGATGGTATCACAGAGCTTACTCCCAGTTCTTATGTAAAGTCTACATGTGGACCATTCTCAATCTGCTATCAAAAAAGGAAAAAGGAACAGTAGTTTTGGTAAATGTTGGTTACTAAAATATCTCATGCTGAACTCGTCAGTAGAATTTAAACAATTGGAATTGGATGTCTGACATCTAGCGAATTCAAACTAAATCGAGGCCATGGACTTTTCTGCAAAGATTTCAGACTACATGAAAAATTTTGAGCTCCACAGGGCACCTTTTAAGTCCCACAAGAGTTTGATTTTAGTCAGGAAGAAAAAGATGCATTCAAAATAAGCCAAAATAATATAAACAGCTCAGGAAGACAATTAAGCTAATGTTAGTGAAGGTGGGGTTCAGACTTGATTATTCTGTATTTGAACCACTGACGCAGTCCATTAGCATATCGGCCTGCCGTGATTAACACCCTGAACAAATCATCACAGTTTTTAAAACTTTAAACAAACACATGAATGAACCGTTTAACTTTTCGCCCATTGGTTGACGCCTCGTCTGCTGTTTGATGTTAGTCAAATCACTCCTCAGCCTCACAGGATACGTGTTTGATTTAAGTGATCAGTTACTGAGCAGCATGTTGATCAAGAAATGACCTTACACAACCCCCTGAACCTCCTCTTAATCTGTGCCGGAGATTGAAGGTGCTAGAGCGGTGGTTCTCAACTGGTGGGTCTGGACCCAACAGTGGGTCGTAGAGCCTTTTTCATTGGGTCTCTTTGGAAACATGGTTTTTGTTTGTGTGTCCTTCTTCTGTCACGTTTTGTACCGTCTGACATCCAAACTGCACCATTTTTCATTGAAGGAATCTGATTGGTTGGAAAATGTCTGAAATTTGGGTCGTGGTTGAGAACCACTGTGCTAGAGGACGCTAGCAGCTACTAGCATAACACAAAACAAGGTCAAACAGTCAACGGCTGACTTGCATTGTGGGTAATGTAGGCACCAGCTTTTAACAAGGAAGTGGAAGGTTATTCCAAAAACATGAGAGTTGGATTTGCTTCTGGATCAACCTCCATTCTTCTGATCGGACACAAGCTGACAACTTTTAAAAGGCTTGTTTTTTTAAATGGAGTTAGGTCAGAAAATGTCTGATGCTACTTCGAAATGTCAGGCGAGTCTTAACAATGATACGCTTTAGGGACACAGCGAAAGTTTCTCTCCCAAATCTGGTAGTTTGAAGTCACTCTAGCTAAAAAAAATTACGTCTATTAGCGTCTTTTCGTTCGCATTTGCACCTCCAGAGAAAAGTGCATCACCTTTGGCGCGGTCACACCTTGAGATGGGGTAAATGTCAGCAGGAAAGTGAAGCTCTTCTGAGAATAGAAAAGCATTTATTCATGGAACTGTGTTTGTTTTCCAGAGCCCGCCTCTTCCTCACACATTGGGACACATGATGTATTTCTAATTCTTTATGTTTAAATGACGGATAATAAAAAAAAAAAAAAAACTGAGGCATGGTACCTAAATCAAAAACGACCCTTGAAAGAGCAGAGCATCCAGGATTGAACAGACTCCATGTGAATGATCAGACGTTCTCCCGTGTATAGATTCCTAACACTGACCATGAGCCAAGTCCAACTTAAACAGATTTAAATACAGAGTAAATTCATGAGTGTTTACAGTTATATTAAAAAACAGACACACAGTAAAAGGATGAGACAAACAGAGAATATTTACATATATAACAAAGAAGTCCGTCATTGTGCCACGAGGTCTGGGAAGACTTCTCTTCCGACTAACATCGGTGTGATGCTTCTCTGCAGCCTACACACATAATGGCTAAAATTCACTGTACATGTGAGCGGCTCCACGAGCGCGAGTGAGCGGCGTGAAGCCTCTGACAGCGGTGTAGGACGCCGAGCGGCCTTTTTGTTCAACGTTACACAGCTAACCGAGCCGAGCATAACTCTGTATGCTTTGTTCTGTCGTTAAATCTTCGTCACACACACACACGCGCACACGCACACACACACACACACACACACACACACACACACACACACACTGAGAGATAACAGTCACCCACCCCCCACAAACCCATCCCAACAGAAGAGATGTGCAGCCCCCCCCGCCCCCCCCAACAACAAAACACCATGCACCACATCTTAAGTCCTATGTGTCATATATTAAGTTTTTGTGAAGAGGGTCAGAAACACGTCTCTGCTCTAAATAAAAGAATGATGGGAGTAAGAATAACGCACACGAGTGACCCATCTTGTGGTGATGACAGTGGGAGGGGCCTTAGCTTGCTTTGCTTGATGTTTGCTGGGAATCGTGGCTCCTTTGTGCGGTCAGCCTCTCTGTCCGTAGTTCACGTCCTGTCCGGGATTTGTTTCCATCGGGTCGTCTTTGAAGTTTTCACACTGCTCCATAACTTTGCTGAAAAAATAAAATATTCTAAAGTCAGGTAAGGTTTGGTCCGAGAGCTTCAGAGATGGTTAAATAATTTCTAATTTTCCACATTTGAACTATAATTACAGTTAAAACAGTCTGCTAGTGAAGGGCATCTCTTCCTGTTAAAGGGATACTTCACCCATTTGCATGAAGCTTTGTATCATTAGAAACCTGGTAGTATTTTTGAATGGTCGTGCATCCCGTCCTCATTTTCCCCTGAGACGGGACAGCTCCGTATTTCTTGTCTGAAAAGGAGCCTCCGATGACGCAAAAAATCGTCATTTTGCGTCATCAGAGGCTGCTCTGGTTATAGGGGGTGAAACTACATTACTAGTTCCTCATGTTTTCAACCCGCCCATAGGGGGGGAGACGACCTACTGAAGCTACAGACCTATCAAAGATCAGTGGGAGGGAACTCACTATGCTAACAGGCTCCGTGGAGAAAGCTGAGAAGAACCAACAAAGTATGTTTCAACTTCAAACTGATATGGATGAAGAGGATTTTGAAGGTCTTGTGTTCGAATCGGATGTTCATGGCTATCTCTACGAGCCGCAATATAGCGACGAGCAGTTGAGGCTGATGGAGGAACAGGAGGCGGCTGCTGTGCATTATGGGAGTTGGTGTCTTTCATCCAAAATTACACTTTCTGCCTTTTCTCGGTCAAGAAGACACCAACTTCAGGGGTGCTGGTGGTGCAGTGGTTAGTGCATGTGTGGAGGCTATAGTCCTCCAGAGGGGGCGGCCCAGGTTCAAATCCCACCTGTGGCTCCTTTCCCGCATGTCACTCTCCACTCTCTCTCTCCCTGATTTCTGACACTATCCACTGTCCTATCTCTCCATTAAAGGCACAAAAAGCCCCAAAATAAATCTTTAAAAAACTAAAAGAAGGCACCAACTTCAAAATGTATTTCACATTTCTACTACATGTATGACCCAATGTCAATACAGATTCATGTTTCAACCGTTGAAGTATCCCTTTAATCTTCTTCCTGCTGCACAACTTGAGACTGAATCATCTTCTAACAGAATTGATCTTGGCACACAGAGCCTTTAGAAGAGATACAGAGAGTACAGTAAGAAGACGTTTAAGACGGTGATGGTGTCGGTCTTACCTGGCCATGTCTTTGGTCTCTGGATGTGAGCTCTCAAGCTCCAGAACTTTCTCCAGAAGACTGATTCCTCCTTCCTTTATGAGCAGGGGACAATACTTACTCGCTGTAGGTGGAAGAGGCAGAAAGAGTGTGAGATTATTTAATGAGGTTAAAAAGAGTCACATTTAGAAACTTAGCCAGACGAGTGAACAGTTTTATTCTAGTTTGCCGACAGTTCTGAACACCTCTGAGGATGTAAACATTAAACACTGAGTGTGTTTTAACACCTCCAGGGTGGCAGATACTCACGGTAAACTGACACCAGGTTGAACAGAGCCCATGTGGCCCAGTGCTGACTGACAGGCGCGATGCCCTGAGGTAGCAGCCGCAGGATCGGCTCAAATGACCTGAGAGAGCAAAGTCCATTTAAAAATTCAAACACTGACGGCTCTGCAGCTTGGCAACCCATCATACATCATGACTGATGTTTCATCTTTTATAACTTGTGGGATTAAATGAGCAATCGAAGCCTCAGTTAACACCTTTCTGCTCATGACGCAATGTTTTTGACAGACCTGTAGTTGATGTTGCGTCGTGAGCTGACGTCCCAGCTCTGGATGGCGTCCCACATCTTGTCCATCACCGCGTCTCTTTTTGGCTCTTCCATCGACCAGACATCAGGCCCGTCAAACATGATGTGCGAGAGAACGCCGCACGCGTTGTACGACACCTCGATGCCGTCTGCCTTACTGTCCAGCAGGTTACTGTCAGAGCACCAAACAGAGAGGAGAGAAGTGTTCAACTCGGACCACAAACGAGAAACACAGTCGAGTTGTGACGTTTGAAAATCACATCATGCACACTGGATTTATTTGTTTTTCCTATCAACATTGTGCAAACTGTGTGGAAATGTTACTGTGAAGCTGTTTTCACATCTGCACTCCTGAAAATATCTAGGTAAAGTGTCTTGTCCAAGGCCGTATCGGACATGTTGCTGCAGGAGCCGGGGATCAAACTCACAACGACTCTACCAACTGAGCCGCTGTACAACTGTGGAAATTTTGAAAAATGAATTGTGCAACCCCTTCACCAATTAATGTAATAAAAATATCGATACATGTCGGCCATGAATTGATATATCGCCTCGCAAAAATTATGCTGTATTGACCCCCCCCCCCCGCACCTCTCTTGCTTCCCAACAAAGACACGTCCAAAAACGAGTTCCCCAGTGTTCCCCCACAGAGGTTTTTTAAAATCATTTTAGATTTGCTGAATAACAAACATGATTGTACAAACAACCAGTGCTATAAATAAGATGGAGGGCATGCCCGTCTATATGATTAGTCATCCTGATGGGCTCGTACGTGCGCTTTGTAAAAGTGACAAAGGTGCAATTATCTTGTCAAATCTTCTGTTTGACGCGTGTGTTTGGAGGCCTGTTGCCATGGCGTCATTGTTGAGGTGCAGCAGGTATGAAATGGTATGTGTCCTCTGCTATGTCATCTTCACTGAGTGCTTACAAACTGGATCCGACCCTGCCATGAACCCAGAGCGTCTGACAGTCAGGAGTCTTGTGTTTACTGTACTAAAACAATCTGTTTCCTGCTGAATTAAAGCCTCGGTGTGAGGTGGTTTGAAGAGTCTGGTTACCTGAACACTGTGATGAACTGTGGGGTGAGCAGCTGTGGCCTCAGTGCTTTGACCTCGGCGACATTCCCCAGAAGCCCCCAGCATGTTGCGATGCAGCTCCTGCTTGTCGGGAAACTCCTGGAGGAAGACCATACGAGAGGAGAGGTGAGAAAACCGCAGCAGCACTCTTAAAGTACGAGGTTAAAACACAGCAGCAGGTAAAGCTTGGTCATGTGGACTCACCTGTAGACAATCCAGGAAGAGGTTCATGCCCCGACAGTTGAGGAACATCTGACAGTTGTCGGGCGTCTCGTCTGTGATGTTCCACAGAGCGCTCCATGAGAACTCCATCACCTGATCACACTGAGGACAAACAAACATTTTAATCAAGAATCCTTCAGCATCTGATCTTTACCAGCCCCCCTTTCATTTTGTTCTTAGTAGTTCATTTGTCGGCATACACTTTACAGGTGGTACTTTTTTTTTTTTCATAATTAGGGGCTTGACTGATATGATTGTCTCGAGGCTTTAGGCCTCGCCTCTACTCCACCGCTTTGCATGTTACTAGCTTGATCGAAAGTAAGGTCGAGACAGCATTTTCAATATGACGACCGCCAACTTTGGGCTTCAAAATTCCCCTCCAGTAACCAACGGGTGACTCTCCATGTTTCATACAGCTCATATCGTATGGAAACGTTTCAAAAGGTATCGTATCTTCTGGCATACTTAGGCGCTGCTCCTGTGGCGACCGGCAGCTTGTGTGTTTGTCCTCTGTTCGTCTTGATCTAGCATTTTTATCAGGTGCTATTTCATGTTATCTGGAGCCCAACAGAGATCCAATGTGTTGCTTGTGCAGCACATGAGTATGAATTGCACTTTATCATTTTTATCGTGATGCTGGAGCATCTCTGCTGGGCCTCATGCTTCATGTTGTATGTACTTATGCACTTGATGTTTGGATGATTTATTAGTGTTGTTTATGTATGTGTCTCCAGCTGCAAACAAACTTCCCTGTGGGGACAATAAAGATACCTTTGACCTTTGATCGTCTTTGATACATTATCTAATCACCTTAGACTTAGTCAGGCTTGTGTCCATAAAATAATAAAATATTAGGCACTCAAAACCAAAGTGTTTAAAGAGACTCACCATTCTGTCCTGCAGCTTCTTCTGAATTAAATTCAACATCGTCTGTGACGGAGGAAAAACAGGAAGACCAAGACCAACAATTAAAACACATAAACAGCCGAGGCAAGTTTGCTCATTCTTCACACAGAAAATTACAGAAAATCTAAAGAACTTAAAGCCCACTCGCACAAAAATCAGCTGAAAAATCTTTAAGTGCATTTCCACAGCGGGATGTTTGGAGGTACTCAATGCTTTGCCTCAGCAGGGACCAGAAACTAAAGAAAGTGCCAGGGACTTAATTTCATTCCTCAAAACAGAAGTATTTTTCTAACATCTCGTGGACTTTTGCAGGGAGATTCAGTGCTAGTCATTTCTGATTGGTTCACTTCTCCAAACATTCAGAATACCATAAAGTGTTTGACCATATCTTCATCTTTCAGACAGTTCCATGTTTGATGACAAGAATAAAAAGACCCTCGTCTTGCTGTTACCTTGACGAATCCCATCTTCCCCACGGCCTCCTTGTGATGGTTGTCCACCTGGCAGACCAGAGCATTGCAGAGGTGCACGGCGATCCTCTGGATGGACTCATCCTGTCGGGCCGGCTCCAGGATCTTCAGCAGCAGCTGGTTCACTCGACTGTACTGAAACTCCAGCTCCTCTGGGATGCTAAAGTTACACAGAGTCAGGCAGCAGTTCCTCTGGACCTGGAGTGGGGGGAGGGAGGAGAGGAGGGAAGAGGGAGACGCGTAGAAACAAGAAGGTTTTAGTATGAAAGAAGCAAAAAACCCACAGGCCAAATATCTGAAATCGAGGACCCAGACTTACAGTGACCTCCTGATACTCCTCCATCCCGTTGAGCACCACCTGAATCACCTCCCTGCGCAGCCGCACGCTCTGATCGCTGCGGTACTCTGTGTTGGTCAGGTAGAACAGAGCGGCGCTGCCCGTCACCTGGATGCTCTTATCGTATTTATGACACTTCAGAGCTGCGATGACCAGCTGAAAGAACACAAGGAGGGCAGAGTGAGAAACCTGCAGAATCCCTGTTATCACCTCGTCTTAAGAACGACCAAGTCTCAAGCTGATGGTACCTGCAGAGCTCGGAGCAGCTGGCTGCAGTGTTGTATCCTGGCGATGTCAAACAGCTGATTGATGGCTCTGTGGGCGAGCTCAGGACGAAACTCTGTGTACGTCTCGATCGCGTTCAGGACTTGGTCCTCGTTTTTTGATCCAGTCACCTGAAAAAGTCAGTCAACAGCATATTGATGTAAAGTAAATGTAAAGTTTGATAGATTCCTTTTTTTTAAACTTCCAAAGAATACCCAAAGCACCAGCCTCAACAGGAAGTTGAGAACTAACAGAATCTAACTTACAGTATTTCCAATTTCTTATGATTTTCCTTCACATAAAGGACAGCTTTCTCAACTCCCAGCTGTGATATTAAAGGTCACATATTCTGTAAAATCCTCTTCACCATGTTTCTCTAACTCTAATATGTGTCCCTAGTCTCTCTACAAACCCCCTAATGATGAGAAAAGTTCATCTTCTCTGTCTTCTGCCTGCTCTACTTTTCAGAAAATGTGTGCTCAAACAGGCCGTTTGGAGATATTCCCTTCATGACATCACAAAGGTCAGTAACCCCTCCCACAGGTGGGTGACACTCCCACAGCTAGGTGTTTGTTCTGCCCTCTGAGTCTGCCTTCTCACTGTAAACAATAGAACATGGAGCGAGAATGCCTGAGTACACCCAAGCCCTTCCAGAAAGGGGGCGTGGTCAGACACAGCTCATTTACATATTTAAAGGTACAGACACAGAAACAGCCTGTTCTGAGCAGGGCTGAAATAGAGGGGTTTATAGGCATGATCAAATACAGGATCAGAGTGGATTTAGAACAAGACACTTCACACACATGTTTTGAGGAGCTCTGAGACTTATTTAAACTGGTTGAAGAGGACGAGGAGAATATGTGACCTTTAAGTCTCATTCTCCTTTGAAATCAATGCTTATAATGACTTACAACACCTGGATCAGGAAACAGCTCATTTAAATACATGAACATCTAAACATTATAGACTTTGTTGTTTTACTTGTGATGTCCAAAATACACCCGAACAAGTCAAGAACTGTAACGTGTGTACAGCTCTTTCTATATCCTGTACCTTATAAGCAGGTATGTGTGTCACATTACAGAGGGTGGTGTCATATAAACCCAGAAACTGCAGCGGCCTCTTCAGCTCCTGGAAGGGATAGATGCTGCTCTTACACGGCTCGATGCTGAGACAGAAAGAGAGCATGATTATCTGGATGTTAATGCAAAAATAAAATCTCCACAAACTGTGATTTATTTTATATCCAGTAAAGATTGTAAAGTTTGTTTCCCACCTGGGCCGACCCATAGCTTCCTCAAAGTGCGGCACCGTGCAGTTGTCGAGCATGATGTGGCCTGAGATGTCCAGAGACACCAAGTTGACCAGCCGCTGCACGATGGCAGTGAGGATTTTTCTTGTCATCTTGAACTTTGAGCTCCGCCGGCTCTCCCGCGAGATGTCGAGATGCCTGAGGAACACGGAGTCTCATTAATGACAGAAACACTTTGCTTTAAATGATTGGTGGGCGCTCAAAGAGAAAGACACAAGTACTGGGACATTAAAATGAAAAACAATTCAGTTCTGACAGTGAGGGGCGTCAGACGATATCAATGAACTTTGAGTATTGTAATATGATGCTGTGTGGTACAGTATTGAGTCTCTCCAGGCAGCTTTATAAAGATACAAGATAGAAGAGCTACACAAATTAAAATAATCTTTAATTACCTAAATACACAAGAAGCAAACACTAAAAAGTAGAAAACACAAAAACAGCGTGCAAACCGTGCCAGAGACTGAAGAACGACAAAAATAGCACAAAAAACCAACAACATGTTGAGAAACTCAAGACATCAAAAACATATTAATAACCTACGCTGGGAAGCAGATTTACATTTTTGTTTTCACTGCCAGAGAATTCAGAATAGAAAAAAAACCTTCATGCATTTCAAAAGGCCAGAGCGTAGGAGAGCAATGCGTCCCCTGAACGGGAGATGAGGATGTTTCTGATGTGTGTGCTCTCAACCGGGAAGCTGATTAGTTAGTTATAGTTCATTTGTTGATTTAGAGCTGACGTCATGATGATAAATGGTAAATGGAGTTGAGCTTGTATAGCGCTTTTCTAGTCTTCTGACTACCCAAAGTGCTTTTACACCGCAGGCCAGACCTACACATTCACACGCTGATGGTGAACAAAGTTCAAATTGAAATGTTTAAAGTTCCCCAACATAAAGGGAGGCAGATTCTTAAGGCCCTGACACACCAAGGAGATCCTCGGCCGTCAATCCTAGTTGGAGCGTCGGTGAGCGGTCCTCGCCCTAGTTTTTGCTGCGTGTCCGGCTCCATCGCTACTCATCGTCCTCTGTCTGCCTTTTTCAGCCGATTCAACATGTTGCATCGGCGTCAGTGAGAGGAGTCTCTGTGATTGGCTGTTGGGAGGTTTCATTTCTCGACACAGGTTCTGTAAAGCCCCTTGAGCATGCCGCTGTAGTATCCATGCTTTCACCCATTAGTGTGGTTTCTCTTAATTTGTCTCCTTCGCCTCTTCTTTTCTTTTTCCACTAAAAGACCAAGAGCTGACAATGCCAGCACCATTTTAAACTTTTTATCATACATTATTCTCCATTAGTAAGCTACATATAATACGAGTGGTGACCGACAGCGGTATGAAAACGGTCTTCTCGTATCATAACAATGGACTACCGCCCACTGCTGGCATGGAGAGTTATTTCCTCTAACGCATGAGCAGAACGGACGTGGTGGTTGGCCGCTGGCTGTAGTCTTTGTGGTGTGTTCAAGTGTAACTTTTTGGCCGTGACATGAGACGACTGCTTGATGTGTCAGGGCCTTTATTGTAAGTGTTCATTTCTACAACCTCAGCACACTGATCAACTGGGTAGCAAACTGTATATGATTTTTGATTCTGTGTTTTTTTTCACATGGGAGTAAAATCTTTGCTGTGCCACTAATATAAAAGTAGCAGGGACCAATCATCTGGTAATATACATTCTGACTCCCATGCCTGGGTGTGTGCACAGCATTGTGACAGTTTACTTCTTATCTTACCTGAGATTATTGATCTCCACCACCGTGCTGACCAGCTCCTCTGACAGGTCCACATTGTAGAGAACAAGAGATGCCAGTCTGTCTTTCCACTGTGTGAGAAAAGCCGTCCCCGGCAGCTGAACATTGGAAAGATCTAGAGAGGTGAGGGACTTCAGGGGTTTGAGGAGGGTCTCTGCATCCACCTCTTCCGACAGACCACCTAAGTTGAGCAACCTGAGGCGGTTGAACCCCTGGAAGTTAAAGTCTGTCTCTAAAGCTTGTCGAGAAGCCGGGGTCCTGTCCTCCTCCTCGTCTGTGTCCTCGTTACAGGCGAGTGGGGCGCCGCCCTTCCTGTAGAAGATGTGACTGCAGCCGAACAGACAAAGAGAAACCAACGTCTCCCTGAAGCACGTCAGAGTTTTTAAACTGCAGGATGACAGACTGTTGCAGTACGTGAGGTGGAGCTCAATCAGGTCCTGGGAGGAGAAATAAAGTCAAGAATTACTTCAGCGATAAAAAGGAGTCTAAAAAGCGCTAGTGTCAGAAATGATTCTTGCTTTTGTATACGTTGACATCCTTCAGTACCCGTTTACTTGTTCAGTGTAAAACCAGGTCATTCAATGACAGAACTGCATCAAGAGTATCAGCTACTATTGGAGCAGAGTTTAGGTTTGCTTATGACAGCAGGGACATGTCCTTCTCAATTTGTTAGGACAGAATAGTCAATCCCAAGAGAGAGAGACACCTAAACACATACCGGAGAGAGAGAGAGAGAGACAGAGAGAGAGAGAGACACCTAAACACATCTGACAGAGAGAGAGAGAGACACCTAAACACATACCAGAGAGAGAGAGAGAGAGACACCTAAACACATCTGACAGAGAGAGAGAGAGAGAGAGACACCTAAACACATCAGAGAGAGAGATATATACCTCAACACAATAGAGAGAGAGAGAGAGAGAGACACCTCAACACATCCCAGAGAGAGAGAGAGAGAGATACACCTCAACACATCCCAGAGAGAGAGAGAGATACACCTCAACACATCCCAGAGAGAGAGAGACACCTAAACACATCACAGAGAGAGAGAGAGAGAGACACCTAAACACATCACAGAGAGAGAGAGAGACACCTAAACACATCAGAGAGAGAGAGATATACCTCAACACAATAGAGAGAGAGAGAGAGACACCTCAACACATCCCAGAGAGAGAGAGAGATACACCTCAACACATCCCAGAGAGAGAGAGAGAGAGAGAGATACACCTCAACACATCACAGAGAGAGAGAGAGACACACCTAAACACATCACAGAGAGACACCTAAACACATCCCAGAGAGAGAGAGAGAGAGAGACACCTAAACACATCACAGAGAGAGACACCTCAACACATCCCAGAGAGAGAGAGAGACACACACACCTAAACACATCACAGAGAGAGAGAGAGAGAGACACCTAAACACATCCCAGAGAGAGAGAGAGAGACACCTAAACACATCCCAGAGAGAGAGAGAGAGAGAGAGAGATACACCTCAACACATCACAGAGAGAAAGAGACACCTAAACACATCACAGAGAGAGAGAGAGACACCTAAACACATCACAGAGAGAGAGAGAGACACCTCAACACATCACCGAGAGAGAGAGAGAGAGAGAGACACCTAAATACATCAGAGAGAGAGAGACACACACACACACCTAAACACATCACAGAGAGAGAGAGACACCTAAACACATCACAGAGAGAGAGAGAGACACTAAACACATCACAGAGAGAGAGAGAGACACCTCAACACATCACCGAGAGAGAGAGAGAGAGAGAGACACCTAAATACATCAGAGAGAGAGAGACACACACACACACCTAAACACATCACAGAGAGAGAGAGACACCTAAACACATCACAGAGAGAGAGAGACACCTCAATCCATCACAGAGAGAGAGAGACACCTGCAAGCTACAAACAGCTGTTTCTACACACGTCCCCCTGCTGACTTTTGACAGAGAATCTTTCCTCAATTCAAAAACCACAATACGGCCTCACCCTCTTACTCTAAATGTGACTCAGTCTTTCTCAGACTGTGTTTAAAGTCAGGATTTGTTGAACTTTCAATACCTTCTCCAAACTAGGCCAGGTTAAAGTGTCCCTCCTTATGCTGAGACAACAGCAACGCCCTCAGGTACCCTTAACTACAGTTCCTTGATCGACGCTTGACACAATTTGTTTGAGTGGTAACAGAAAACCAAACAGCTGCTGCCTCGGCGCTTTCAGGGATGATGTAACCATTGCAAAAACAATCCGACATCACTTTTAAGGTGAGGTGTCGGGTATCAGACTAATACTTTACAAGTGTTTGAGAAACAGCCAATCAAAACCCAAAGACATGTTTTTAAAGGAGACGATTGAAAATAATAATTGCTTGAACAACAAGAACAACTTCAAGATTGGATGTTTAAACAGTAAATAATCCAAATTGAATTTAAAGGTCACATATCCTCCTCGTCTTCAACCAGTTTAAATAAGTCTCAGAGCTCCTCAAAACATGTCTGTGAAATTTCTTGTTCTAAATCCACTCTGATTCTGTATTTGATCATGCCTATAAACCCCTCTATTTCAGCCCTGCTCAGAACAGGCTGTTTCTGTGTCTGTACCTTTAAATGTAAATAAGCTGTGTCTGACCACGCCCCCTCTCTGGAAGGGCTTGGATTGGCTTTCTCACTCCATGCCCTATTGTTTACGGTGAGAAGGCAGACTCAGAGGGCAGAACAAACACCTAGCTGTGGGAGTGTCACCCACCTGGGGGAGGGGTTACTGCCCTTTGTGATGTCATGAAGGGAAAATCTCCAAACGGCCTGTTTGAGCACACATTTTCTGAAAAGTGGAGCAGGCAAAAGATGGAGAGGATGGACTTTTCTCATCATGGGGGGGTTTGTATACAGACTAAAGACACATATTAGTGTTAGAGAAACATGGTGAAGTGGATTTTGCGTTACATGTGACCTTTAAGAGTCTTCAGAAATTCTAGCAGCTGTTTTTCTGCATGTCGTCCCTCCACTTTCTCAAAAATGTCACGTCTAGAGGCAAAAAAGGCCCCAAAAAAATCTTTAAAACGGTCAAAAGTGGGGGCAAAAGGTTCCCTCTCCTAGGAGTACTAGTTCAGTTATTATTGGACTTTTCTGTTTAAGGTTTAGGGTAGAAGTGAACTAAACAATGAAAACATTGCACTGAAGATTTCTGACTTTATTCTGACATAATAACGAGCAGCATCCCACCTGTTTTCTGATGGCCTCCAGATCTCTGTCATGTACTGAGTTCTCTCTGAGCTGGACCCGGGTCAGTCTGGTGCTGCGAGGGTCTGAGAACAGCTGGAAGAAACTCTCCTCTGATTTAAAGTTGCTGTCTGTGTGGACCAACTCCATATATCTGATTAAAAGCAAAAGAAGCACATGGTCAGTGGAGGAATCTGTAATACTATCAGGGACTAAAACATTCAGATTTGGAGGTAAACATAAAATATCTGATTGTGTAACATACGTGTTGACGAGCTTGTCGCAGATCTCACTGGGGAGGAAGATGTCCGAGCGCAGGCAGAGTTTGTTCCTGGAGCCCTGGTAGCACATCGTCTTTCTGAGGTTCCTCAGGCAGAACGCTGTCGCCAGAGTCATGAGGCTGTCGGGGTTGTCTCCTGCTTTGGCTGCCATGTTTGCCTCTTCTTCTCTGGCTCAGATCACAGACAGGGCAGAGCAGGGGACCTTGGAGGCCTGTGGTGAAGAAAGTTTAAAGTGAGGGACGATTTCTTTCTCGCTACAGGCTGCAAAAAAAAAAGTTCCCCTTGGTTTTCTAAGTTGATTCTAGGGAAACAATACCAAAATTTTGAACTTTGCTACGATACTAGTCAAAATCGAACAACATAAACTCCTGTTCCGAAAAAACAGCAACAACAAAAAGAAGTCCTAGAGATGCCCAATAGTGGATTATTTCTGTTTTCATGAGTCAAAAATTGCAATTTAGACAATGTGCACAAGTGTTCTTGTCATTTTTGATGTAAGCGTTCCTCTCTCAGGCACCTGTCTCATGAAAGAGAAGACGTTTCTTTAAAGCTTTGGGATGTTTTAATTCTATCAATCATCAAAATAACTAAACTAGTAGTGCCTAAAATAACAAGATTTGTAATAAGGATCGGTATAATAAGCCAAAGCTTCAGCCTACACCTTTTCGGTCAAACTTTTCTTCAAGTCTTTTCTTGAAAGCACATGACAGAGGTACACATGACTTTGTTATTTAATTATTTTATTCTACTGTTTCTATGCATATTCCTATAAAAACTGTATATGTGGACCAAAATAAATTACTACTACTAAAATAAGTGAGATTGTATCATTTAAAAAAGCAGATAAGGGTTTTCTGGCACTTCACCAACTACCTCTGTGAATAGAGGGTGAGAGGCTTGAAGAAGTCAAAAAGCTCCAGCAACACTTGTGGTACGAAGATCTACTTTATCAACTTTATTAGACCGACGCCTTTCGATTGTGACCTTCATCAGGGTCATCAGGATCTTAACCTTCAAACTGAATAAGGCCTGCAAGCCTAAGCAACAGCCTGAACTCCCTTCTATCCAACATCCCGAGAGGCTACAGACTAGAAATCGCACCTGCAGTTTCTCTTAGGCGTTATTATTCACTACTGTACTTCAGGCTGTCAGGTGCCCTGTTTTTAACCGTCTATCATCCTGTCATGGATCTTGATCTCTTTTTATTTCTGTATGTATCTCTGGAGAACGACATTTCACTCCCATGTATGATGAGAGTAGATGAAGTGTTACAGGAGTGTTTTGACCCATTGTATCATTTAAAAAAACAAATGAATCAAAACAGTATTGAACATATTTACAGCCTCGGTTGATAAATTCATATAGTTTCCAGCCCATCATACATTTCTGGGACTTTAGGAGTTTTGTTTATGTTAATTTTAAACCCATGAATGACCTTCTGGTTCTTTTGGTTTTCATGCAACATTTTATTTTCCAGTTAAAGCTCCTTTTAAGACACAAGCTTTAACTGGAAAAGGACACATTCGCTGCATGTCTTTGGCATTTATTGCAGAAATTAATCAATGATTTCAGTAAAAACTTGTATTATTAATGCAAAAATAGTCTGATTGTTGCATTTGAGTGCATTACCAAAATAATCAGTATTTATACTGATTATTTAAGTGGATTAGTCAGTGTGTAAAATAATTTACAGTTACATCAATGTCATTCAAACCAAAATAAAATGAAGCCCACTGACAAGCAGTTTGAAAAAACTTAAATTATAAGCAAATCTGAGAGTGTTTCTGTTTCTACTAAATCACCAGGAAGGCGTGTTACTGTACAAATGTTTAACTGCAATAATAAACCTGTAATAGACCTTTGCATACCTGGCAAAGTTAGCCTGGATTGCTGTTGTTAGCAACTTTGAAACAACTTATCCCAACACAAATAACACATTATTTAATGTTTTCCTTCATAAAGTTACACGACTCTTGCTGTTAAGTTGAAGCTGATATCATACAGAGTCTTGTCTTTGAGTTGGTAAAGCTAGTTTGTGAGTTAAACACACACACACACAGCAATGAATCCTGAGGGAGACACAGCGCTGCTCCTGAGTTAGCTCCTAAGCTAGCTGCTGTGTAGAATAATATACTTTAACAACACTAACGCTACAAAGCTACATGCTAACAGGCATCAGCTGTACTCCTGCTTACTCACAGCAACACAAACCACCACAGAGTAACACTTGTTATTCTAAGTTTAGCCATAACTTGCCGATACGGTGTCACCAGTGCATTTCAGCGTCTGTGTTAGCTTGTGGCTAACGATGACTTTCCCTGCTACTGTATGGTGTTAGCTAACTTAGCCAGCTGGGCTAGCGCTAGCTTAGCTCTCTGTGAGTAACCGCAGGCTTCGAACAGCAGTCAACGGGGTCAGAGGTCACGGCACATCAGGCAGGACTGTACCTGAGCTTCAGCCGAGGCTGCGTGTCTCGATGACGGCGAGAAATTCAGTATTATCACCAGTCTTCACTCATCTGATTTCGGTTTTCGTCCGATGTCAACAAACAGACTCCTCCTCCTCCTACTTCTACTCCTCCTCCTCATTTTCCCATCTCTTCCTCTTCTTCTTCCTCTTCTTCTTCCACTTCCTCCTCTTCTTCCCATTTGTCCGTCCAGGTAGCCTAAACAATGGTCATCTTAATTACCTGTCAGCTCATTTAAATAATCATATTCCTGTGTTTGTTTTACACTCATGTAGTACATTTTTATTAATCTGCCTGTAGTCCCCAGGAACTTTCTGTTTATTGAAATAATAAGTATGGATATAACATTAGAGGGATTAGTAATTAGTCTGTACTGGGGTCCAAACTCAATTAATTAATACTCAATTAAGAAGACCACTACCCCCCTGAGGAGACTTGCAGATCCAAGGGTTCAAGGTTCAAGGTTGTCTTTATTATCCCTGCCAGAGGGTAATTTGTTTTGCAGTGAGCGGTAAAATATACATACAGCCCGCAATCAGCACACAATATAGAATGGACAGTAAATAAATACAGTAGATACAGATGGAAACAGAGGCAACACAGTTAAAAGGTGATGGCAGCAGGGACAAATGAGTTTCTCATCCTCTTTGTCCTGGATGCTGGCAGGCTGAATCTGTGGACGACGGCAGTCACATCTTTTAAAATGTCTTCTTCAAACTCACTTTTATAGACTCGCTTTTATGTGATGTCGTCTTCTTCTCTTCCGCTATGGTATGATTTTAACACTCATATAGTACTTTTTTTTCATCTGCTTTTACTCAACAAGAAATGTTCTGCGTTTCTTTAAATAAATAAGAAATGATTATGAATATAACATTAAAAAGATTGGTAATCAGTTTCAACTGGGGTCCAAACTCAATCACTTAATTAATTTATCAGACATACATCAGAGATTAAGAACACAAGCAAGGGTCTAGAGAGGAGGAAACAACGTCAGGAAGTGCAAACAGCTTTAAGTCCAAATAGACACACAGGTGCTGACAGGAAGTGACCAGAGGCAGAGCACTTTTTGAAAATATAATCATAGTTAATATATTGTTATAAACAACATCGACAGCTGTTCTTGAGAGTTTTAATCAGCATCAAAAACATCTTCATGAAGGTTGTAGGTGTTTATGAAAGAGCTGGGTCTTTAGCTTTTCCTTAAAGGTGCAGAGGGACTCAGATCAAATGGAGTTTGGTAGTTTGTTCCACCACCAGGGGGCGTCAGAGGAAAGGAGTATATTTAGAGACATGCTGACAGACTGGACTTTAGGGGTGAAGCGTGCTTCGTCGCGATATGCATTGTATCGTGTGAGGGCAACCTAAGGACCCTGTTGTGAAGGTCAGATCAGCCTTTCATTGGCAGAGCGTAGTGAGCGGGAGGGAGTGTAGACGTGGATTTAGTTAAGGAGGAGGAGCCGTTTTTGTGGCTGTTTTGTAAGCGAGCAGCAGGGTTTTAAAAATGTAATCACTTTAACGGTGAAATAAACAAGTTGAAAAATTAACATTAATGTGTACAGAATATAATGCATGATACTTCTGAGGTTTATTTTTTACTTTTTAAATCTGCCCTGAATCAAACCCACTACCAAGATTTGGATAATCCCAAATTCTTACATGTTCGATCCAGATCCAGATCAAAATCAAAACTTTATTAGTAATCTAATCCACTTTCAGAATCCTTTTTTCTTTTCTTTTAACAACCCAAAACCCAGAATTAATCCGCTTACTTTTCCTTTATCTGCAGCTCAATTTAACTTCCTTTATAAATCTCTTTTCCTCCATTTAAGCATGCAGCCCATAGCGCTTCACCAAAGGAACAACAGAGTGGAAATAAAAACAGAACTGAACAAGAATAGATAAGATCATAAAAGACTAAAACAAGAAAGGCTAAACACACTGTGGTGTCGCTCTGTGGAACAAACTGTCTGCTGACCTGAGGTCTGTAGAAACATTAAGCAGTCTTAAGCTATTGCTTTTCTCACTCGTGCCTTTGGCTCCTTGTTTTCTGTGTTGGGTTTGAGAGGAGAGAGACAGAGAGAGAAGGACAGATAGAAAAAACAGATCAACAACCTGAATGAATATATTAGATTTAGAGCTACGATGCCAAGTGCAAGTTCTTTTCACCCCCAGTTATTACCATGACTATTATATTTGTATTTATCTGTTGCTGGTCAGAGGAGGCCTGGTAAACCTTGAAGGTTTCTGTTTTTATGAGGGGGCTGTTTTCTGTCCCTTCAAATAAAAACATTTAAAATGGTCCCATGCCTGCGGTGGTTTCAGGACTTCTTTGTGTAGCTGTTAGCATCTAATGGGATGTTTGGGTTCATGTGGAGCGCTGGTTATCAGGTTTATGTTATCTTGAAAGGTTTGTGTCCACATCAGGTTGATTCAATTTGAAGTTATTTTGAGAAAAAAATGACACAATAGTAGATAGACTCATGGTCCATTTACAGAGTCCAAAGATTTAACTTTTGTAACATCAGAGCCAAGAGGATGAAACTCATATGGGGCGGCAGTAGCTCAGTCTGTAGGGACCCGGGGTTGGGTGGGGTGGGAAACTGGAGGGTCGTCGGTTTAAGTCCCGGTGTGGACCAAGTCTGGACAAAAAGTTGAAGAGGTGCCAGTTCACTTCCATAGCACTGCTGAGGTGCCCTCGAGCAAGACAAAGATCCCCAAACTGCTCGTGCGCTCTTTCATGTGCAGCCCCCTCTCTCTGACATCTCTCAGTTCAAGCATCATTCAATCTAATCCTGACCTCAAAACCTAACCAATAGCTTCAATCATAGGGACATGTGAGGATTCCTTAGAGAGAGTAAATCATTTCAATATTCCATCCTTTTATTACAAATATTATCAATCATTAAACCTGCTTTTAAAAGCTACAATGACTTGCAGGTTCGGAACTGCTGTAAAGGACCCATATCTTCATTTTCTTGTGTTCAGGTGAATCAGAGGACAATTTCATCTGCAAGAAAAAACCAGAAAGAACTTCTACATCGTGTCTTATTGCATCTAATAAACCAAAGGTAATCAACTACATTTGTACAAGGGCCAGCTTTTTCTTTGACAGACTCTGTGTTTTTAAGATAAAATACCAATGCTAAATGACGTCAGATAAAAAATAGCATGTGAGACAATAAAACCAAATGCAAAATGAGAACTATACCAGTTTGTCCTCAGTCTTAAATGTAGACAGGATAAGGCACATTTCAGTCATAAAAGATGTTTTCAGCTTCAGCACTATTACGTGCAAATTCAGTGCAGCAGCAAGCACAGCTTTTTGGAGCTTGTAGCTCACTAACTCCTAGTGGAATATTTGGCATTAATAGCTCACAGGTGGATTTCTGTAAAACAGATCAAATATCATTCCTGGTAATAAATATTTCATACTGAATAGTTTTTTGCTTTAATAGCTTTATGGATTAAAAAAAGATAACCTTAATATCACAACATATTTTTCCTCCTCACATGTTCTTAATTTTATTATATTCTGGGGGCAGGATGGGAAGCTTAGGGGGGCCGGATGATGATCACTGTAATAAAATGTATTCACCTGCAAAATGTTTTCATTAGAAATTTAACTTTTTAATTTCTTTACCTGATGAATTTTGTGTTTCTGGAAAAGTTATTTGCAAGAGAAGGGACAGAAACAGAATACATCACTGTCTTTTTATATTCTCAAAACATGTCTGCCCTCTAGCGGCAGTCAGCAGGTATGACACCTTATCAGACAAACTGAAACATTCAGCTGATTCACCGACATTAAAACATAAAAACATAAAGAGTGGTTATAGTGCCCGGTTTTGCAGCCATGATTAAATATTTATATGAATTACTATATTGACAAAAACACATTTATAGGATGACCTTAGAGAGTTATTGTTGTCATGAAATAGGCTAGCTCGTCAAGAACCTGAAATGTTGTTGAGGCCAGATGAGCATAGACTGGTGTTTAATGTGTTTAATTTGCTATTTTTGTCCCAGAAGGCGGTCAAGAAGAAAAGATAGTCTGATGTTTAGTGTTTATTTTTGTTTTCATACGTCTGTACCATTACAATATAAACGTATGTCTTTTTTTAAAATCAAAAACTTGTTCAACTAAGATTCAAAATAGAATATGTCTTTGTGATGATGAAATAACCCCCCCCCCATTCCTAATACACACACACACATATTTTTGTAAATAAAGATTATAACATACATACATAGCCTAAATATAAATGTATGTATGACACAATAATAAATTAAAAACGTCAAACTATGTAATTAATTCATGAATGAAGATGAAGTTATTATAACGAAGTCCAAACATAAATGTTACTCTAACTGCTTTCATGTAAATTTAAAACAACATGATGTTTACTCGATTAAGACCTTTGCCTTTCACAATGTTTCTATGGAATTAATCCATAATGAACTAATGTTATTATCTATTATTAGTATGTTCTTAATGTGATGACAAAAAACACTGAATCATCGTGGAGGTAAAGCTGGAACACCATGTTTAGGACAATTTGTATTATTTGAACCCACTCACTGCTGTGCGTGTGTTTCCTTGTGCGTGTGTGTGTGTGTGTGTGTGTGCGCGTGTGTGTGTGTGTGTGTGCATATGTGCATATGTGTGTGTGCGCGCGAGCCCACACAGTGTTGTGGTGTAGACGGAAGTGAAAGGAGGACTTCCCCCTGCCCAGTAATTCATTCCTCATTGGAAACAGTTGAAGGAGTACACCTCCGCCGGTGCAGACATGTCTACTGCGTACAGAAACAGGTGAGACACATTTACACCTGTGTTTTCACACAATGTGCAGTGCACGCGGACAGTCGTATCAACCGCTAGCTAGCTGGTTAGCATGCTAACAGAGAAACTTCAGCGTTTTCAGCTAGCCAAACACAAGCTAACTTTTAACAACATTTGCAAAATCACACTTTTTATATATTCTATTTTTATTTTGCAAAATGCACAGTAAACGTCATAAAAGCGAACCCTGATGTTGTTAGCGAAATGTTTAATCAATATTAGCGTTTTCAGTAGCTATGCTAGCTCCCAGTTAGCA